AACAATTGCTCCTTCGCAAAAGAAGAAAGCAATATTGGAAAAGTGAAAATGTCTACACTAATTTTTTGAACGAGAAACAGTCTACGAGAAAGCGAGCCCGAAGATGAGCATAATATCAAGAGACCATAGCACTTTTCACCCTCACCCTTACGAATGTCATTGAAAATTTTTCTCTCTAAGATGGGGTTAGGGAAATGATTCTTTTCGACAACCAGGCAGCTCTTTCCCGTTTTATTGACATAGATATAAGATACTTTTACCATTGAAAATAACAAATATGCCTGCCAGGGTTCTGAAAAGTTTTCAGCGCCCCCACTACCAACTGCCCCTCCTTCATAGGTGATTCACGACTGATTTTAATGTCTTAATAAAATGTGTGCCCGTGGACAAAGGCCATATAGCGTGCTTCCTTTTTTAACAAAAATTTGTTTGTTAAACTTGTAGGAACGTAAGCATCCAGTTGACCTCGCTGTTCCAGAAAAGTTTCAAGCTATGGACATGAATGCTACATAGGCAAACAAATTTTGAATTTATGTTTGAAAAAACGTTATAAGAAATACATAATTTAGAAATATAGTAACCAATTACAAGCATTATTCCCTCACTGCATTTTTGCATCACCGCGAGGGTGGGTGCATTTTTAATTTTTTATGGTGGGCACTTTCGATGGCGGGCGCTTTTCAGAGGAAATACCTTATTAATGAATAAGTAAGAACAATAATATATGTTCACGCATCCTGCTCAATGACAATTAATTGCTAAGGCAAACATTTCCATTAAAAAGAAGATAGCATATAAGGGGAAGGAAATTTTCTATCTTCACTCAAAAAATAATTCTGTGACTCCTTTCGAACTACTTTTTATCAACTTGTATTGCTTTTCCCAGCATGTAACAATTCTCTGTACTACAGAGTTTTTATTGATATTAAAGCACACAAATGAGAATATAAAATATTACTTTTATTACTAAATCACTGTAATTTGGCCAAGGGTCCAGAGTCTTTTGATCCAGGCCAGAACAGCAGTAATCTTCCACTAGCGATAAATCAGCAAATTTTTAAAGTATCAAATCAATATCAAACTGTTTCAGATTTCTTTAGATCATTTGAACAGACCTTCAGATCAGATAATTTCCCCAAAGTCAAAATTCTGCAGTTAAATGTTTACGTACCCTGGGTGCCAGTGTCTCTATTATTTAGTCCCAGAGATATAGTTCGAAACTAGTCACAGAAATATGCTCATTCTTTGCCACCGTCTACAACACTTTGTCCCCGGATTCAAGAGGCACTGGTATGGAGGGTAGTGTTGATGACGTCATCATTCAGTGACACTTCCATCGATTTTTTCTTATTTAACCAATATTCCAAAGTTACGTGGTAAAGGAAGCCTTATCAAATAAAAATCTCCATTGTTGCAGTTTTGGCTGGTTTAATGTTTTACTGAAAATTATCTTGCTCTTTTTGGGATGGGCCATGCTGTTATCTTGAATTGTAGCCCACATTCAAACTAATGGTTGCTTTGTAAAGCCTATGGATGGTAATTAAGCTTTTTGTCGACTAATCGGAAGTATCCGAAATTCAAATTTTTAGCGAAAAAGAAACGGTCCTTATGATATATTGTACTGTAAAGGAATTTAAGTGAAACACAACATTAGTGATAAAGTACAAATTTAACTGACCCATCTTGTGAATTCCTTTAAAATTATTATCCCTGTACAGTTGTACTCAATACTCCTAAATTTTTCTTTAAGTATGTGCAATATATCCTGTGATTTATGCAAAGAATTTTATGAATGACTGAAGGTACATTATTTATGGCAACTTTGCCTTATCACGCTATACGAATAATCAAACTGTAATAAAAATAGTTGCATCAATGTAAGGATGTCACGAAATTTTGCGAGGTGGATTCCAAAATAGCCATGCAACTGCCTCAAATACTTCATAAGACATACCATAAATACTTCACGAATGACATGCTTCGAACGACGGAACAATCTTTGGTAATTGCGATTGCTGTTGTATAGATCATTCTGATTCTAGCTGAAGCTCCGTCTGAAGTTAAACAAGCAATTTACACAGTAAACACCAAAAACTCCATAGAATTGGGAATTATTATTATTATTACCGTATAGCTTCTCAGGCTAAACATTCTGTCTGATGTTCTATATTGTGCATTTAATTTGACACAGTTTGCCGATTAGCAACGAAATATTGGAGGCACTGTTGAAGATATTGACACTACCGTTCATGCTTTTACCAAAAATTATTTAAAAACCATCTACCAGATTTTTTCTATATACTTCTCTCCATAAAAGTCTTTTTCGTTTTGCAAAAACTTTGCAAGAACTCTGAATTGTGTATTCTAACTAACTTCATACCATAAATCCAATACAGTAAATAAGCCTACAAATAAGAGTGCTCTAATCTTTTTCTTCATACCACGAGAAACCTTACATATTGATCACATTTTCGGACAGTTTTTTGGTTAAGTTTCTGTCATATTTGGTTCTTTGAAAAACCAATGTTTATCATTACTTTTTTTAATTATTTTGAAGTTGAGTTGGTAGCAATGCTAGAAAGTTTAAGACCATTATTAATATTTATGTGAGCGCATATCTTGAAACTTCAATTCATCATAAGCACAATTCTTTTCGCAACGATAACTTTGTTAGCAATAGCTCTTAAGAGCAGATGTTGTTATATCCAACATGATTGATAAGACCAACTTTCTTACAAGAACTCAATTTTGCGAAATAATTTGAACAGTTAGCATGGAAATGTACTAATGTAAATGGCCCCTAAATATTTAGGTCTCGAAAGATTTAGTTTTTGGCATTTTTGAGTCAGGGCTTTTTCAACATGCTAACTTGGGGGCGATTGCCCTTCCCACCCCAGAAGTTTTCTATTGATTTAAAGAATAGGCTATTGTCCCCCTCTTTGTATAAATAAAGGCTCATCATCGCAGCTAATTTCTCTTCGAAAAGACTATGCTATGCGGTGGAAAATATTTACTTTCCAGCAACCCGATAGACAGCACGATGCAAACTTTCCTCCTTTTTTACACTTGAGAAAACTTAACTGGTTGTGTAAAAAACTGTCATAAGGAATAGCAAATCTTAATACGAGATCCAATTTTGGACTACTATCATTTTTAAATTATTCAAATTTTAGCTCCAATCCACCGACGAGTTCATTAATACATTCTTGAAAACATTTTTCGTATTCACATCTGAATAATATCTCAAAAAGGAAAATTAAGAAAATATAGGGATTTCGTGATACGGATCAGGACTCCAGGATTTCGTGATACGGACCCACTAGCTAGAAAGTGTCGTCACGAAAAACAAAATCTCGCGAAGCCTTCAAAAAAAATTATAATAGCCTAGTCAGGGTGGCAAGATTGGGGGGGGGGTAAATTGGGAAAATTGGGGGTCCACAACATTTTGAACGCCAACAAACGATCTTTTTCAAATTGATTTTATGCCATTTGAGGGCGTTCGCCCACCGTTTGCCTCCCCTTCGCTACGCCACTGATAAAACACATTTAAAATTCAAATTCCAGAATTATTTTCGAATTCGATCAAAGCAATCATAGAGGTAAAGCCCAAATGAGAATATTTTTCTAGCGATTCTACTTACCCAACAACTGAAAACATTGGTTTCCAACTCCTCCGCCTCCGGATTCATTCTGAAATCCCTGCAATTCCCTAACGATATTTGAGCTGCCTTTTCAGCATCTAAAGGCAATATTTAAACTGCCAGGAAAAATGTGTGTTTGTTTCTTCAGGAAAAGCCGGTATATGTAAAGGCAAAGTCATTATATTTACATCAAAAAATGCGCAGGCGTTACTTTTTCATCCGAACGAAACACAACCTTTAGAAAAAGACAGGTCATCCAATACATTTTGCAATAAGCATTAATAATTCAAGAGAGCTGTGATCATAATGAATGTGCAGTCAGGTAATCTTCGCAAGCATATTGACAGAGTACGCTTATATTTATTCAAAATTTAGTGCCTTTAATGGAAAAACCTAGTCAACCTTTATAGCCCGTTAATAGACCGCAGTTTCTGTACATATAACCTAAAATCAAGATGGTTCGTCCAGGTTTAAAATAAGGTAATTTTAAAATATTTTTGAAAAGCTTAAAATCAATTTGCAGTTAATACAGTACACTCACTATATATACACCTTACTAAATTTTTGATCGGTGAGTCTAAAATAGAAAAACGTCCTTAAAAGTACGTTGTTCTAAACATCCAAAGAATTGTCAAAGTCTGGCAAGGTCTGAGATAGTTAATTCGTCCACAACCAACATACAACCAATGGTCAACAAAGAACATAAAACTGTGGTTCAAAAAATTGTGGTAGCTGTTTTGCTTTCCACCCCCTCCAAGCCAATATAACTTAATACACTCGATGTGAAAGAAGACAAATATTGCTTCTCTCCGAGCTTTGCACATATAGCCTGTGTATAGTCCCACCGTATTTGGATTAACCGTTAACCATTTCCATAAATTCAGTTCAATGACATGATTGAAATAGTAGGGCTGCACGCCGTCTTGGCATATCCTGCGCAAATGGTTTTTGCATTCTCGCTTACCAGGCCTGGTTTCTGGGTAGGTGTCGTGTAAGATCGCTGCAAACAAGACCAAAATAGATTCAGGCTCTTACTCGACCACGGTTGCAAGGAACCAAAAATAACTGAACAAATTCTCACTGAGGCTGAATGACTGTTTAAAAATGACTGTTTACCGCCCTATCATAACGTGCTCAGTACCGAATAGGCAGAGCTGTACACGCTTGGACGTATAGAACAGGACGGCTCTAAGCTGCGACTCTGAGCTTGACGCTTAATGACATCATCAGGCAATTAAAAAATACATATTATTGAAGCCAAAACGTTACACTGCAAATATTTTACTCGAATTACAACAAAGACCTGGTATGGGAAGTATTTTGATGAGCAGAAACAGATAGCCAGAGTATTGATGAAACACTACCTTATTACGTATCATTTATATTTACTATAAAAAACGTGATTGGATTTCAATTGTAACACAGCTACATACAATGCAAAATGTCAAGGTAAAGGTCGGCAATACTTTCACCGAAGCACATAGATTTTATTCATTGCGCCTTGCAGTTTCCCGAAACAGCTCCGAGAGTGGGGCATACAAAGCCAAGGAGACTTTGAACAAACCTTGTCTGCATGTGGGGTATCAATACCAACTGCTCGATTACAAGACAGTTAAAGTTCCCGATTGCTAGTTTCACATCCTGGTGGTTAAATTCTTTGGTTATGACTGCCATAGTTCAAACCTCTAATTAATTTTGCCAGTATCATTCTTTGATCAATGTGTCCAGCAAAACTGATTGCACATCCAATCACCATCCTAAAAGATAAATATATCAGTCAATAAAAATTGATATCATTAAAAAATCTGTTGAATGATCCATCACAAAAAAGTATTACAGATTTGACTGTTAAAATAGTTGAAAGAAATAATCGCAATAAACCGGATTATATGAAAACTGAGGAAGAAAGATAGAACGATGCAGGGGAGTAACGGGCAATTAGAGTAGAGTACCCCAGGGCTTTTATTTTTGTTTAACATGTGATTGGATAGTGAAAACGCACCCGTACAAGAACCTAAAACTTCGCTTTTCAAACTGAAAAGTCTCTTTTATCACGGGGATTGAATAAAAAAGTTTTTTTAGTTTTGCAATGTAATTATTAAATGCAATTGCTTAAATAACTTTATTATCATCATCATCATCATCAGGTACCATCTTCTATCACAAGGTTGGCTGCCATAACCCTCCAACTATCCCAAAGTCTGAGTTTTGGTTTGTTGTCATGGTCATAGATAAATAGCTTAAAGAACTTTATACACCAATAAATCAACTGCATGTATGTTGAAGGTGATCGATGAGGCATTTGAAGCTGTTGAAGCCGAATGATAACATTTAGGCTGCCTGGGTCTTTTTCTGAAGAAATCCTAACTCCAAAATCTATGAAGGATCTCCAAATACCTGGTTCATATACGCGGGTGTCTACTGAATGGTATTTGATCACTCTTCGTTTAATAAAAAGTACGAGCATTGGCTCGGACTTAGAAGCTACCGTTTATGCATCGATACTCTATGTGATACTTAGATTACCTGCTATCCAAAGTAAACCCCACAGTGATTAATTCACAGGAAGTTTATCAATATACTAAAACTAATATATTTCATATTTATTCATGTGTATTCATATCGATACTTTTAATGTTTGCAATAAATTACCATCAATCAAAAAAGGCCTAAGTGATATTCCTAGCAAAAAATTTCAGTCTATAACGGCACTTTCAGTGTCTTTTCTTGTGTAAAATGGTAGGATACCTTTAATGAATGAAAGTTCGAAAGACAAGTACACCATTATGAAAAAGGGACACCGGGGCATTTTAGAGTGGGTCAGCACCGTTTTCGTCATATCAAATGAATCCTCTAGCGCTAGTTTTGAATCTGGTACCACCCAAAAATTGACTTGATGCAGATATGATATAATCATAAATTTTATACAGTTTTCAAATTTGGGTTCTCAAACTTCCTAAAGGAAACTTTCGAATACTTGATCCACTCTTGGAAGCATACAAACTCCCGACTGACTGCAACCTTTAATCTTTACAATGTTTTTGAAGGCAAATCCAAAACTCAAGAGTTGATTTTTGAAAAAGAATCATAGATTGAAATAATGTTTATGTTAGTTTCTTAGTAGTATAGATTATGATAAGTGCTCTCAGCGATACGTGCGTTGCAGATGTTCCAGGGAAACTTAAATGTAAATACACTGATAATGAAGAGTGTGGATCAAAACACAGCACTATTATCAGGAGATTTCGCAATGCTTATCTCTACGTTTACCAAATCACCATAAAATGATCATCAGGATAAGTGATATGAGCTGTAATTCGAGTCTAAAAGCCAGCACCTGTTTTTAATTGAATCACAAAGTCAGTTTATGGCTAGGCCCAGCGACTGGAGTCAGTGGCGGACTGGCTACCATTCGACCTACCGGGAAAAGCAAGCAAAATGGCGCCAATAGGTGCTAAAAACTTTGCCTTAGCTCATCAAACGGTTATATATAAAGTTTTGCAGCATATCATTGAGAAATGTTAAGGGGTGCCTCAGCACCTGCTAGCCTAATGACTATGTTGCTCCTGCCTCCACGCTACAGTTACATATCATTTACAAAAGATATGATTCCAGTTCATCAGCGTGCGGAATTATGATCAGGTATTGAACATGTGCTTAAAACTGTAGACTTGTCCGGAAGATATCTGATAAAATATCTTGGACAAATGAATGCTAAGAGATTCTCCTGCCATCCGTTTTGTGCAAATTGATGATTTTGTACATTAATAGGCTCCTTCTGTATGAGTAACTGTGCGTAGACATGGTAAAAGGGGTAAAGAATTTTCTTAAGAAAAAGTACAGTCTCTATTCCGGGACAGAAATTCTTTAAATTTGAAGAAAGAATGGAATACTTTAATAGCTAGTTGTAAATTTGAAACCAGTTTTTTCCAAACAGCCTGTTTAATTTTATATTAAATTTTTCAGGAGTTATAACAAATTCTGCATAAAGTTTTTGAAAATTGTACAATATTTTTTTTCAGCTAGTCATAATTTCTTTTTGGTACGAAACTCCTGGTTTTAACGTACAAAAAGCAAGATGACTATGAGTTGTTAGTTAGAAGAAAATAGAATAGAAATAAAATAGCTTGCCACGGAAGTCTTGTTCAGAAAGTATTATTCTCTATCATACCTAGATCAGTTTTCACTATCAAGGGATAGTTGATGGCCCAAAGGTGAAGCTAAACTTTTTATGCAAACGTACTTTAGATAGGAGGTCAATTGATGATTGTAATCAATTTTAGTTCTGTGCGATGATTATTTGCCTTTTGAAAATTTTCAAGTTTTTGAAAAAAATAACTTGGGGCAGAGGGCGCACCGGGAAATTTCCCGGTGTCCCGGTGGGCCAGTCTGCTTCTGACTGGAGTAATCTCTCGGCCCAAAGTGGCCCTCAGTGAGCATGTTTAAAAACACTTACTACAAGCTGTGTTGTTGCTCCATGTTTACATCCTCGCCATTATCAACATATTTCTCCTGAACCCCTGCTTTTCTGTTAGACGATTAAGGAAGAATATGAAAGCGACACTATCCAGCTTTAGGGGATCTTGGAACAATGAAATTAGTCTCTAAACTACCCAGTATGAAAATATAGTTAAAGTCCATAGCATGGAGTATTGTAGTGTTAAGGCTTTTACGTATGCGCTCAACGAAGAACAACTGACAGCATGATCACAATTTATTTAGTTTTATCCAGTGGCGTAACGGAGGCATCTGGGGCCCTAAAGAAAAAACAGAAACCTGGGGCCTCTAATTACAGACTGCAAGAAAGTCCCATTCAGGGTGTAGTAGAGCATGTCACAAATCCAAGCTTCACCTGAAGAGCTTTGAAGATTTTTGAAAATGAGTTGAACTTGAGCGACGTCTTAGAAACATGGATATAGATATAACTTGGGGGCTCCTTTTACTCAGGAGCCCCTAGTTACCGGATTAGGATGCCTTAAACTGAGTTACGCCACTGACTTTATTTCATTTCTAGTGCAAGATCAGCAAAAACTGTTGTGAGCAATATGAGTCTGGGATACAGGCTGCTTATTGCTCCAGTGCTTCCAGAAAACCCCTTTTTGCTGTGTGTGATTAATATTTTTCCGATGCAAGTATCATAGTATCAGCGGTTGTTTCAGTAAGAAGTACGAAATGCTTTATGAAGATCGAAATTACATTCAGCAAAATACAAATTTTCACGAGACACTTAACTTTTTAATTTTCCGTGACTTCAGCAAAACTCTAGGATTTGACCGGCAGTCTGTACGTTGTCAGATGAAAAAACTTCAAGCAGCAAGAGAAAGCTATAGCTAAGTTTATAAACTTACTCTTTGGCATTCCTTTACTTAGAATTCATTCAATACATTTCTGAACTCTCTTTCGCGCAATGCAGTCTAACTGCGAGACGACTGATTGAAAGGATACACAAAGTAATCGAAATCTGCCCCTGCAGCACATGACATCATAGATGCCATGTTATCCTGGCCTTTGATTCCAAAAACATATCCACTTGCTTTGTCAATGAGTTTTACTAGACTTAGCATCGTCTCTTTGTCCTGGAAAAAGTTTTCAAGTCAAAAATAGCGAAAATGAAAGTAAATAACCACAAATTTAAAGGCTTTGCTTTTCGCTTTGACATAAACATTGGCATTTAAATAAAGTGAAATCTATATGTAGCGGATTGCTACACGCAGGACCAGAGTGATTGTCTGTGGCAGCTCCCTTTCTGGAGGTTATATTTTCAAACTTTGACCATAAAATGTTGGAACATAAGTATTGTTCGCAATTGTTAGGTTTTTGCAAACATAGGTTTTACTGTAATATAACACAAAATATATCTTCTGTATACTACAAAAGAGGCCCTCATAAGGAATACTAGGTTGTGATTCAGGCACGGCAATAAACACAGTAAAACAATAAGCAATACGTTGGTTGGCATTTTGAAAGGAAAACAGCACAAAAAAGAAAACATTTCCAAATACTTAGCTTGCTCTACCCTGCTTCTACATAGTTATGAAAATGACACTTTCTAGGCCACAACAACAAACCAGATACCTTTAACTTTCACTATAATTATTTTCAGAAGGAGATAATTGCATCACATCTATCGACATTACATTTTCAGGTTATATTTTGTTTCATTAGTTGTTTGAGGGATGGGAAAATCTAGTAGAATCAATCAGGATTGCTTACTTCAATGCAAAGAGCTGAGAAGGAAACCAATCCATAGTCTTCAATGACATCTGTTAAAGCTTTATTCAACTTTTTGTACTTTTTTAAAAATGGATCTTTATCAAACATTTCAACAAGATAGCTTAAGTCCAATACATCAGTGAAGAAGTCAAGGTTGAAGGCTGTCAACAAAAGAAAGAGAAAATATCAGAAAAATACATTGCTTGATTCTAAAAACTTGGCGTAATATTATTTGAACAAGATTTATAGATAACAGTTAATAAAATTATAAATAAAACTATAGATAACATTAAGATAGCAATCAAAAGTTCTCTAGCAATTGGATTATATGGTTGGTCGTGTTCAAAGATAGCAGAGTTGATTGCCTTGTGGTAATACATCAAAGACTGCAATCTAAAGACTAAATTCTAACCAAAAATAAAATAATACACTCAATACTTACGAAGTTTTCCATATTGTTGGATAAGATCCATTTTTGATAATACATTCACATGAGGGAGCCCGATTTGAAGCATTGTTGACAATGATGTCAGCAAAACAGATATAAACTTGCCAGGGTCACTGCAATAGTGTGAGTCAACAAGGTGTACAGCTACAAGCTGAAAATTTACAGAAATCACTGAAATTGTGCCAAGAAAAGAATATTTGCAAAAACACCTTTCTTTGCTGAAAGTTGCAACAATCTCTATCATTTTTTATCTTTGAAATTTTAAGGTACATTAACCCAAGCATAAATGATATAGCAGCATTAAGACAAAAAAGAAAAAGTTCATGAAGTGGGAGCTAATTAATTGACCATATTGTTAAAAACCTTACTTTATAAAAATGCTATCCAAGAAGCCTCCTTTTAATAACCCTGACAAGAGTTCTAACCAAGGGGCAAAAAGTAGAGAATTAAGGAGAGAGTACTCACCCTAAATCCATATTTTTCTAAATTCTGAAAAATCTGTCTAACTGAATCATGATGTGTATACAACTCTACTTGGCCAGGACAATCAAACAAAAAGTAATATCCAGCATCTGAAAAATCTTTCAGTTTATTTTGAAACCAAGAAAAATTCTTTTCAAGAAATTCCATGCAATAAATAAGTCCACCATTTGGTCCCAACTTTAAACATTCCATTACTTCCGATAGAGTAACTAAGTCCGAAATATCAATGGAGCAGTCATATGGTAAAGAGTCATTTGCAGGGTCCATATTAACAACAGCAACTTTGCGTCCCATTTTAGTTAAAAATTCTGTCATTCCTTTACAATATGTGGTTTTCCCTGAGCCAGGTGGCCCAATAACAATTTGGCCAAAGGACTGAGTTTTTTTGGACATCTTCTTCGAATTTAGTGCCTAAAAATAAAACAAAACATAGTTTTTTGCTCCATAGTATGTGTTTGCAGATTTTAAAAGCAAAAATTTTGTGTTTGCAGGTTTCACCACTGATTTATAAAAAAACTGAATTGAGCATCTATTGCAACAAGAGTGTTGTCACTCAAGATGAGGCTCCCAGAACAACCCAGCCAAGAGGAGGGCCTTTACTAACATCCCTAGCATTGTATTGATCTGCTTTGGCCCTTTAATTTTTTCGACACTCATTTACATAGCATTATGTCTCTTGCCTTTAAACATCATTCAAGCTATGGTTTTGAAGAAAAGCTTCCTGCTTCTGTTTTAGACCCTCTTTACTTCAAAATTGAATAGGCTTCAAACTTTGGTGTTCAAAACAATCAAAATCTTGACCAAGAGTTTTTAGATAAGGTGGTTTTAATGTTAAAAGAGTGGGAATAAAACAAAATCATTAAATGAGAAAATAATACACTTTCATGAAAAAAGAACATTAAACTTCTAGGGCCAATTGATTGTGAGTTAAAAATTGAGGTGTCTGAATTGATACTGTTGTAGCATTAAAAAAATGTCCATCAGTGTAAACAAAATGTTTCTATCATTTGAAAATAGTAAACATATTATTGTTTCAAAAATATCCTGAGGGATTAATTTTCAGTTGCCCTGCTTTACCAAAAATAAATTCCACCAAAAATTTTGGTACTTAATGTAGTCCAGGAAATTTGGAGGATACACCTGATTTGTTATCATGGCATTTCTGCAAACTCAATCAACACAGAGAGTCCACAAGATAAAGGACAAACAAATACAATTTGGGCTTTTTTAATGTTTTCTTTTCTTTTTGCATCACTTTTCCTGAAATTTGATTTCAATTGTTCATGGAAAAACTTTTGAATTTTCAATCAACCACAAAGTAATTAAGCATCTACAGGCTTTACAAAAGATTTAACTGGTACAGAGCAGTGATGAATGAAAGTAGTGAAAATGTGTTGTAAAAACCTGCTTGAATCCAATTATCAGTGGCTAAATTTTATTAAAAAGTTCAAGGTAGCATCAGATTTCAATCGTTTTTGTCATTCATATATCGTTTCTGCAACTCTAGAATAATGGCACCAAAATATCATTCTTTCTGTCACAGGCACAATAGTTTGTTTCCCTAGATTCTGAAAGTTTTCAGGCATGGCTTATCTTGCTTATATCCCAAAAACAAGAAAAATAATGCTATTTACATGTCAACATAAATTCCTTAGAATTGTATGGTTTAGAATTATATGGCATTAGGGTTTTTAAATTCATAGTTTTCAGATATGCCATAAAGAAAGATTCTTCTTGTGACTTTTTGCTTAAAGACAACAGAAAAGAAACAAGAAAAGGTGTTTTTTAATATGCCGAAAACTAAATTATAAACAATTGGAGGGAAAATATTGAGGATAGGCCTGACTAAAGTTTTGCTGCATGCATCTACCGCATCTTGAGCCACTATACTTTTCTTGAGAAGACTCAATGTGCTGATTGTTCATCTGCAATGGCTACAATACATATGCAGTTAAAAAAGAATGAGCTGGCCCTCAAGAAAATTTGGCCTTCTCTCCGTACTGTACTTTTATAAAGAGCTGCTGGTACCACTGGAAGAGAGATTAGCTATGAAGAAAAAATCAAAATGCAAACTTAATTACTTAGGGCTAAATGTGAACATAAATTTTGGCAATAATTTTACCTGCATAAACACCAAGTTTCAAGGTATAGCCTACTCTGCACTCGATGGGTGGCAAAGCTGCTTCAAATTTAGCCCTAAGTAAAGTAGATAATAATGTATCATTGTTAGAAAAAGCTACACACAATCTAATCTTAAACTGTGTTTCCAAAGCTTTTCAGACCGAAGTAGTAACTACTGTCTTGCAGATAGAGTTTCATTAGATTGTTTTCTATGGGTACAGGCCTATAAGTGCTTAAGTGTCTGTCTCTCTGTAATTCTAGGCGTATGAATCGCGAGGTATCGTCACATCGAAAGGAAGGATCAGGAAACTGCTCGATAAGAAGAGCGTCTTAGCTTCCCCGAAGCCGAGGATGTGAGCGAGTTTTGAGGAACTTCTCCAAATATTTACATCACAAAATATAGCAAAGAAAGAAAATAAGCCTTCCACAAAATTCTCACCATAAATTTTAACGAACTGTTATTGTATACCAGCGTTTTTACACTATCTTCAGTTTCATTCAGAATTTGCAAATAGAGAAATTATTCCACAAGTGCAAATCTGCTGGAATTTTTATTCTGCCTCGTAATCACATGATAACCTCTTTGTGAAAATCAACATGGATCAAAACTTACATGTGATTCATGGAAGTACGTGCTGAGAAAAATCAAGAAATTAAAGCCCACCAAGATTGAAGTAGAAATGGCGCAAATAGTGTAAGACTCTGTCTCCTTTTAAGTTTGTTTTTAATATTAATCCTAACAATGATATATTCGAAAAGCAAGTGTAGGCAGCCCTACACCAATGTTCAAACACTTGAAATGGCATCGCTCCATCAGCGAGGGATACTATACTAGTAGTTTCGCTCAAGTAGGCACTTAGATCTTCCCAATCGCATCTGGGTTGGTTTGCGAATAGCGTAAAGCTATTGTTGTCAAAGCCCTTATAGCCCAAGACCTGTTTATCTTGTTTTGGCTTTGAAAATGGGGGTCTGTGGTTGCAATATGCTCAAAGATGTGTTTTTATGAGCTTCTGAATGAAAGTTTATAAAAAGGTTTTTTTGTAGCTGTTGCTAAGTTCTTGTAGGGTTTTCAAAAAGCTTAAAGAAATCACCGAAAAGTCTTTTTCTTTTTCCTAACAAGTATTATAAGCAAAATCAACAAGTTTACATTGCTTTGATGGTCGATGCTATTTCAAGAAACTTTATCATTGGGCATTATGACACTTAAAACAGCTGTAAAATGTAAAATTGACAAGGTTTCAAGAAACCAGTTTGAAACTTAACAACTACAAAAATAAAGATAATAATTATCACATAATATTTTAAGTGATAAAAACAATTGTTTCAATGTGAATTAGATGAAAGGCTCAATTTAATGAGTGTGAATATGAGGTAGTGAAACATCAAAGGCAGGAATAGAACCTGGTACCAGTGACAATGCACATCATCACCCTGTCAACTGAACCACCTGTTCACATGATATTCTATAAATTTGATATTGCCTTTCTTATATCATTGAAGATTGTAAAGTAATAAGATAAACAACCCAGACAGATTGAAAAATTGAACAAAATGACTTTCAGCTTCTGGATTTAAAAACAAAGTGTGTCAATTTTCATTCCAGTAAAATCAAAGTATTTTTTTCTGATGTCAATTGACAAATTGTTGTATACAAGCACTCCTTGGATAGCAGACATTTTTCTTCTTAACTCACATCTCACTTTAGGCCATATTAAAAGAGACCCATCTCCCTTTTTTTTGACACAATCAAACCATTTTAAATTTTGTCATGTTAGTTTGATAAAGCGTACAGGTAAAACAGTAAGCAGATAAGAAATACAAAAAAAGAAAAATATGAGATTAAAATTGTATATAACATAATGATTACATGATTTTTTATGTTATTTGTTAAATTATTAGTACAAGATGTGGATGTTAAATATTACCAATCATTATTTTTCAGGCTAAGCTTCCAATGTTTGTTACCGTAAAAGCTCTATTATCAGTACCCTTGCTCTTTTCAGTACCCTTGCTCTTTTGAGCCCCCCTGCTCTTTTGAGCCTCCACTCTATCAAGCAAGATTGGAGATACTTCAGTCAATTGGAGAAAACGCATTAAGTAACCTTTTCTTGAATAGAAGCAATTTTTAGATTCTAGAAAAAAGAAAGTCTCACCAGCTGTTGAAAGTATGTCAACCCAGTGAAGTTTCTTCTGGTTTCTTTCTGCTGGTTCGCATACTTTTTAATGATTTTTTAATTGTTTAATGATACCTTTTTTCCTGTAGAAAGCCAAAGACCCAGAGAGGGAAAAGGGCTATTGAGAAAAAAGAACCCAAAATCTTGGAGGATATCAAGTCAGCAATCATAATCAGAGGAGGAAGGACCAGTGAAATAGTTACAGATGTGTTGAAAAATATTGTAAGTTGTGCCATTAATGAAAATGAGAAGTTAAATATATAGAACTGTTTAAGTTTATTTTAAATTGAGATTTAAGAACTTGATATTTCAATGTTCTAATGTTTAATTTGTCACTTATTGTAAACATAGTTCAAAGAACCCAGACAACAAGGCACTGTATATTAGGAATTTTGTGATTCATAAGTAATGTAGAAAATGAAATTATTCTACATTATTTTCTTAAATAAGTATTCTAGAACTTTCTAAGCAAACCTTATCACTAAAGATTTTTGTCTACTTATAAAGCTTAAAAAATATTGATTTTTCATTCAGAATTGCAAATGACAACAATCAATTATTTCTTACCTTAGTATATATTGAAAAAACCAAATGCTGTGATGTTTCAGAGGTAAGTTCTTGCATTGAAGTGTTTTTGAAGAGAATTTGATCACCTAGAATAACAAAACCTAGCATTCATTTGCTATTAGTCTTTTTCAACCAAATGATTATTCTTCTTTTCTCATTTCTTCCTGCCTTAGGAATCATATTCACACCACTGTAAAACCCTGCGTAAAAAACTTTCTAACATTGCAAATTATTATATAGCCAAATAAGTTGATGATCAACTATGTCATTTAATACCTTATGATAGAAAACATGCAGTTCAATAGCCAACAAAATGAGTTTTGAATGTATCATCAAGCTGTAAATGTAAAGAATAAAAATCGGTTTAAATATATAAGGACTTAACAACCATTTCTTGCCCTGAATACATTATTGATACATTTTTATCATTTATTTTTGTGGGTATGGTATTGTTTTTAGTTTGGTGTAAGTTAGGGTGTTGCAGTGTCAGAGGCAGCTCGCAAACCAAGGTTCTTTAATTGTTTCTCACCCTAGCAAAGTAGCTACTCTGTGTGTTTGATCTAGCATAGTTTAGAGGAATATAATTTTATTCAAATTTTTAATAATAATGTAAAGGTTGTTTTTTCATTAGCATTTTTGGATAGCAGGCTAAAGGCTGCAGTATGAGCTACCATTCATTGATAATGCTAATAGAAGGTTTTTAGCAGTCCTTGAACATTTATTGAAGTGAATTGACTAAAGTAATTAAAAAGTGATAGATTGCTGGAAATGTATTTGAGCTACAAAAAGGGAAATGGGTTGCTAACCCCCCTCCCCTCCCCCAGAAGATTGCCTATTTGTGGCCCTGAGCAATGTTACTGGTTTTAGTATTCAATTTAAAACGATTTTTTGAGAACAATTGCAGATTAACTTTTCTTTTCTTTTCATAGAAAAAACATATTAAGGCCATTTGAAGATCAGAATTCTTTGGTATGTTTTCATCTTTTTCTTGATTTGCCTAAAAGCCAGGAAATTTTATGCCTTTGAAAATTGTTTTAAAATTGTTCAGTAGTTGTTGGAGTTTGAAATATTTGTGTAGAAGAAAATTCAACCAGTTCCAAGAGATCTTATGAAAGGATTGCAGAAGAAATTTTCACTAGTCAAGAACTGAAGTAAGCTTTCAACTCAAAATCAGAATGGCTTTTTTGCATATTCTACTTTCTACTTGTAGAAAATCAACTAATTTTTTTGAGGTACTTTTTAATTAAGGCCAAAAAGACTGATTTTTACAATTTATTACTATAATTATCATTATTATTGTTGCTATGAATTAGAAATCTTTTTCCTTTCCAGGAGTTCTTCTCACAGAAGAATGATGCATCTTTGTTTGTTTTTGGTTCACATTCTAAGAAAAGACCAAATAACCTCGTTTTTGGTGAGATATTATTGAAATTCATAACATCCAAATTCATTGCTACACTTTTGCAACATGCAGATGATTGATGCTATCTGATTTACCTTTATGGGGTTTTCAACACTAAAATATTAGATTTGCTGCTAATCCTTTGCGAGTAACAATAATAAAACGCTTTATTTATTGATTTTGCTATTAAGCAACCTTCGTAAACGTTTCAAAATCTAACCTCACTTGGAGAAGTAAAATGGAGTTTCTACATTTTTATAAAGCTTCCACTACAAATCATAAAATGATCTTATCTTGTTATATGATGTGTTTACAGTAAAGTTGAGGCATGCCATTGATTTTTCCGTTGTATTTTTCCTTTTAGGTCGATTTTATGATGGACACATCTTAGACATGGCAGAGTTTGGTGTAGAAAACTACATTCCAATATCCGGATTTAAGGTTTTCAATATTCTGATACGATTAACTATTTTATGAGATAAAAAGAATAGATAAAAAATTAACTGAATCCAGAAATGTATGTTTTTGAGCTCTTATATTTTTGTTGTTGTTTGAAGAGTTGTCTTAGTCCCAGAATATATACTAACATGCCTTTGAGACTATATTATGAAATGAAAAAAATGTCTGTTTCATAGCCACGATTATTGAAATGTTTTAATCTTCAAAAAAAGAACTTGGCATTTGCCTGTGAAAAAGCCTTTCCTTATTCATATAGTAGGTTTGAATTCACTTCTTATTTGATTTTTTATAGACTGAAAAGTGCACATCCGGAACAAAGCCATGTCTTTTATTCAGTGGTGAAATTTTCGACTCAGATCCTGAATATAAAAGAATAAAAAGCATATTCATAGGTAATTATTTTTCAGCATTCCTTCCGAAAAAATGGAAGTCATATCAAATTATTTTTCAAGGGTTATTAAAAAGGAATATTACATTTGTTGCTTCAATTTTTGTTCTTTGTCATTGCCAAAAAAATTCAGTGCTGTTTAACTGAATGTATTAAAGTGAAAAACTGTTAAACAGATACTTCAGGACTGTTCTTGGCTCCCTGCTTTGGAAGGAGACTGACACTGAACTGAAAATGAGAAGGGAGCCAGGAGGTATAGTTACGCTGCGAAGGAGGACCTGGCCACTTCTTAGCCGGTTTAATCGCTCAATCGATCATCGGAATCGACTCTTATAAACTTTAATGTTTTTAGTTTAAGGCAATAATTTGATGTACGCTACAGTAAAAGTGAAACATTCAGTGCAATCCCGTTATTAAGAATTTTGTCGAGACTAAGTACATATAAAGATCATAATGGCGGGAGTTCGTTAAACGGAGGACTCGTTGTACAGGAAGGTTTCCAAGAGACCACACTTTTAGTTTGAAGAAGTTCGGATTTTGTAATTAGCAGCGCTCGTGTTAGTGGGATTCCACTGTACATTTTTTTGCAAGAATTCATTTTGTCTTGAAAAAAAGCAACGATAAATCCCCAATGTTTATGTTATGGAAGCGATCTGCAAATATTTTATTAGCTTTGATCAAGACAATTCCAGTACGCTTTTCTTCAGCAAATTAATGCTATTTCATCAAACTGCATTTTTGTGTCAAACTTTTAGCTGCCTAAACTTTGCTTTGAAGAAAATCAAATATTGTATTTTTGAAGGGTATCGAGGGTTTATATCGCCTCCTAATTTAGCGATAAAAGATAAAAGTTTTCAAACTTTGATGCACTGATAAAAATGACTCGTGTTTATTGTGATTGAAGAAGAAAACATTTCTTTGTAGTCATTTTGAAGAAGATAGATCAATAGTTTTGTTTAAAATCTAATAAACAATTGATGTTGAGAGCTAATTTCAGGCATAGTTAAAGGCATTTAACACAGATAAAAGTGGCTTACAACCAATCGACCACGAGCGGTTGCCCCATCAAAATGCACACAGAGAAAAACACGTGAACAGTTTTCGCCTTTCTGCAAATCGGTGAAATCCTAGAGAAGCGCAGTGGTTTCACGTGAGCAGTTTCCAATTATATTCTTGTGCGCGTGCTCTGATCAATTTGGCCTAAGTTATTTTTGGATTCGCTGTACTTATGAATGTCAAATGCCTTTAAAGTTCAAGTACTAAAAAAGGTCCAGCAGGCACCCTAGACGTGACTGTATCGAGTTTTTGAATAGCAAATTTTAGATATATGTATTGATTCGGTCGTTTTTAGCATATTATCATTTATCAGTTAAGATTTAAACTTAAACGACATTAACGTCTCGATTAAAAAGACAGTTCAAATTTCGTCAGTGAGACATAGTAACTTGACATTGTTTTATGATGAACTGGCGTAAATTTGCTCCTTAAAATCAATGATATTGTAATGTTTCATTTAAACTTAAAACGAACGAGTCCATTGTCTTAAAATGCCTAAAATTTGTTTGAATAAGCAATAAGATTGAGAAACGTTTTTTTTTAGATTTTTGGCGTGGCCCACTTGTGGAATCAATTCGTTTACAAGGACTGGAACATGTTTTACAGTTCACAGCCATTGATGGGAAAGTCTTAATGCGCAGTTACCGGTATTTTTTGTTGTTTTCTTTGTTTAATTAGTGACATTTGGAAAACAGAACCAAGTTCCTCTATGGTTTGTTTACAGAAAGGGCGAAAGATCATTCCACCGTTGTGTAATGTATAAACTCCCTTTTAAGGAAAGCTGATTTCAGTCTACTCCTATTTGATATTTCTTTTTAGTAAATCTCTGTAGAATGCTTATCAATACAATATACGATGTAAACATAAGGAAGAATTTTATAGTGTTAACTTCAGCATTAATAGAGGTGGATGTTCTCTTCTTGATTTTCATCAATTACATGTTTCAAGTATTTTTAAATCTCGAATTTATCTGGATGTAATTCTGGAATCTAGAACTAGGTGTTTTGAAGTATTAACTGAAAGCGTGCAATGACAAAGTTCATTTAAAAATACTTATTAATCATCTCTTTATGTTAAAAGCTTTTCCCTTTGAAAATTGACAGCTGATCTCCCCCTATAATCCCAATTTTGATATCATACTTTTTAGAGTGGCCTTAAAAAAGTCTGGCTTGAAAACGCCTCGAATCGAACTGGTAGAAATGGGGCCCTCAATTGATTTCCTTGTCAGAAGAACGAGGCTGGCCTCTAATGACTTGTACAAAGAAGCTTGCAGGCAACCAAAGGCTGCCAAGGTAAACTTTTCACAGCACGCACAACTTTTTTCTATATTGTCTTCATAACTAAGAGTAAGATAGTGTCGATGATATCGCATAAATATAAGAGTAAGATAGTGGCTCAATGGGTTTTGAGCCAAGTAGCTCTTTCTCACAATTTTGCATGAACAGTTTTCTTTTTCAAAAGAAATAGAAGCTAGGAAGTTAGAAGCCGACTGTGGGTAACGTAGAGGTTTTAGTGATCGAGTTTACGTCACGTGAGAAGAAATTCTAGAAAGTCTTAAGCCTCTTATTTTCAAGAAAAATTTCATTAGAGAATGATGCTGCACTAAAAACGGTTTTCATTGAATTGTAGATTTTGAATGTCTTATGTAGTAAATAAGTAACACCGTAACGCGATGAGAATGAACAACAACAAATACACGTAAATCATTTATGGCTAATATTTCGGCCCGGCATACGGGGCTTCATCAGAGCAAAAGTCAACTGTCTTCCCTCATTTCAATGAAATATAGACCATACATGATAAGTGATCCCTGTGATTAGAACCTTGCTGTTAATTGATGGTCATCTTCATCGACCATCAATTATTGATTGTCAATTTGATAATTGAATTAACCTGCGAATAAAAGTGTATTGGAGAAGTTTTCAGTGTAGGAGGTGATCATGTGGGGCTGTTTTTTAGCCCCGTTACTTTTGAGAAGCTTTCTACATCCTTGATCTGGCCTATCCCATTTGAATTTTGTTTATTTGTTTCCTAGATTCAAAAGACCAAGAACGTTGATCATGATGTCTTTGGGACAAAAACAGGACGCATTCATATGCAGTCGCAGGATCTCGATAAGCTACAAACAAGAAAAGTCAAAGCTTTGAAACGAACAACACAATCCTCTAAAGATGCCACAAAGAAAGCAAAGCGACAAAAGCAAGCTGAGACTTGAATTCATTGCTTCTTCTTCATTTCTGTTGGTTCACCGGAAACTGCTACTTCTGTTTTAACCCGGACGCCTGATGTCTGTCAGACATTAATACCAATACCAGGCTGCGAACTTTTAACCAAAATCTTTTCATCGTGCTTGCAGATTTTTATTTCCTGCTCCCCTTTTGGTATTTCAATGTACCTCAAAGCTCCAAACGACTGCCCTGATCTTTACAGAAGATCGAACCTTAAAAACTGGCTTAAGTTTTCACTACTCCAACGTATAATTCATGTCTTTAAATAGAGCTCGTCGTTACAAATACATTATTTTGAGGTTTCTAACACTTATCAAATTCCTTGGCGAGTATCTTCACTGTCTAAGTTTAGTCTTAATCTATCAGCTCATTTTTACTAACTGAATCCAAAATACCCTGGTGTTCTTCACCTTTTTTCAGAACAAGGTCATGTGAACATATTCGCACTGAATGAATATATTTTCACATATTTTCAAGACGTTAAGTCGTAAAAGAAGTTCATTCAGTACTTTTTGTTTTGGAAATTGCTTGCTCCTTTTTCCTTTATTATGGGAAAACTTGCAGTTAAGTAAACGTTTTCTTGATAGCATTGAATCAGAAGTTGATCAATTGTATGTTACATTGAAGTCAAAACACTGGCAAACATAACATCACTTGAGATAATACCATGGTTGCTTTCCATATTCTTATGTTAATACCTTCGTTGCATCGTCTACTGTGGTTTAACGTATGACTGCAAAATTGAAGAGATATCAGACTGTCGAGGTTTCCAATTATTTTGCGTCAAGGAAACATGATTGGAACCCGTTCTCTGACTGCTTTTACATAAAAATTCTTCTGAAATGACAAGATTCTGTCCATAGTAAAGATACCTTGAAATGTGCTGCGAGCAAAGGAATACTTTTACGGGCTTCTGAACCAGCCACGGGTATACTGTTTTTAAATTAAGGTCCAGCCAAGATCTAGTCAAAGGTATCATATTGGGCTATATTGGTGCTTTGACAATTTTTGATTCGTAATGTAGGCTCCACAAAAATATACATTTTATTGAACTTAATTGAATGGGCACGGAAACGAGACTAAAAATATCATTTAATCAATGATATAGAAGCCCCGAAGGCGCTAGATGTTCAACTCACAGGTACGTTGTGAGTCAAAATTTGTTTACTTCCGTCATTTTGAATAATGGCAAAAGGAACTTGCTCCATACTGAGCCCTTATAAATTTGGTAAAAGTAAGGACTGATTTCGTACACTTCTCTTTCGAATATCGATGTGAAATTTAGTGAGTGGCCTTATATTGCACTTAAATTGATAAATTGATGTCAATATTGGAAAAATAAGCCGTCATTCGCCAATTCCAAGTATTTACAGTCGCGGTGCTTGCTGTGGTGTTCTCTGTCTCGTCGAAATTCCAGAAAATAATGATTTATCTGTTTTAAAAAGGATCCAGCAACAATTTTTAGCCACTAAATGCATTATTTTCTTAACACATTTGTGCAAAGATGTGATTTAGTTACTTTTTCTTGCTTGGTGTACAGAAACTGCTATGAAATACCTAGGCCTAACTCTAGAAAAAGCCGAAAATAGGTCATAATTCAATGCTTGGATATTAATAACAAAATTTAAATATAGTAACTAATTTTTAATTTGAAATAATTATTGATATTTTTGGACTATTTCAAAACCACACTCGTTGCTTGTAATTATTCTTCAGCACAATGCGTTCCACCCCGTATCTTTAGGGCAATAAAATACTTTTAGGGTACATTTTCATGACAAAGATTACTAATTTGGCCTTATCAAAATAAAAGAAGTTTAATTCATATCAAATTTCATTTCTACAAATTCAATTTGACCAAGTAAATATAAACAATTCGCACTTTTCTACTGATGCCATATTAGGTTCTAAAGGACAGACAGAAAAATTCAAGAATTATATATTCGAAATGGTCTATATTATTAAATAATAGACTGAAAAAGTTCTTTCTAATTTATATGAAGATAAAAATTGCAGACACACTTTTTCAACTCATAAAAACACGACAGGCCACTGCTATATTCCCCTCGTAATTGCGTAAACTGAGAGCCATATTTTTTAAAATTCTCTTTAAAAACCCCAAAAAATTGTCATGTGTTGTTGATTGATATCTCCTCCAACTACCTGCAGCAGAAAAGGCACTGAAATAGTTGTGAGCCACGAGAAAATCAGTCCTTAAAACAAGCAATTTTCCATACTCAACCCTATTGCAGCTCGCTTTTTGCCACTTTTTAAAATGCTCGATTTTTGCTTTTAAGAATGATTTTGCTGGTCTCTTAGATAGTCGACAAGTAGGTGTTGACACTGGGAGTGTGTTGCTTGTAGTTAGAGCACCCTTTGGTATATTCTCATTTCTCAAGTATCTTGATTTATTTTTGGATATTTTTGACTAAAACTTAAGTCTAAGTCTAAAACTAACTGTATAAAGTACAGTATTGTTTATAAGTATACATCATATAATTATTTGTACAGGGTTGCCTTTTCAGCAACAAAGGTGCTGTTATCAATAAAATGAAGCTGATCTTTTTCTTTCTATCATTTTATCATTATTGTTTCTATAATTATAGTTTATCAAAAATTCGATTTCATTTATTACTGCATATACACTTATGTAACACAAGTATTAGGACGATCGCCTCAAAGCAAATGTGGTTAACCCTTTGCTTAAAGAACAACATCGGTGGAACGAGATTGCTGGTTGAGATTTTCAATTGCAATTTTACCCCAATTGTAAAAATAAAGATATTTTTAATAAATTGTAAAAAGTGTAATTTTTTAGATAAGTACAATTTGCTTTATCTTATATTTTGTTGGATGACCTCCAGGAATCTGGCAGCCGCCATTTGCACTGGAACTCACTGAATTAATTTTGCAACGAAATGGATACAGTAGGAAATCTCAAGAAATTTCCAAAAGAGTTATCTTTGGTCTGGAAGTCCTTTGTTTTTTATCCTTTTGTTTCGCGCGCCGACATGCTTTAAGCCAGTCTATTCGTAGGTCACATGATTAAAACAAGTGCAGAAACAAATTTTGATATGGCGGGTGCTGATGTTTAAATGCATAAACAAGCCTTAAACTCAAAGCTCAAAGTCTTTTACACAGCATCAGCAGGTTAATCACATTATACTGAATTAAAAGGAAAAATATTGGGTATCGTTTTCACCTTAGGACCTAATCGGTAAAATTCTTAATAGGCAAGCGGCACTGATTGGTCAACCTATACAGTCATGTGCTCGTGTTTCTGATTGGCCTATTTCGATCCACAATTGGGTATATATATTTCTTAGCGTAGAGTTTTCGATCTATGTTCTGACGTTTTAAACTCTGAAGAGTGTCAGACGAAAAGCTTTAGTTTACTAAATGTTTGCTTTTTTCAAAGCCATTTAAAGTAATAAAGTTTTACCGACTGATAGTAAATCTAGTGCTTTTGGAGCCACAACGGGCTCTAGCGTCCCAGCTTTCACAGCATCAGTTGGCAGTTTACCCAGCGAATATTTTAGATTTTTTGTCGAAAATAGCTTGACGAACTGTTAAACGACGAGATTTTTCCCGACGTGGATGGCTTAGTATCAGAGAACTCAGTTGTGCAATTTGCAAAAAGCACTACAACAAGAAAAGTGGCTGTTTCTTTAAAAAAGCGAAGAACAAGCAAGACATCGGTGTTGCCAGTGCAGCTGGCCTATCCGCCTTATTGGATATGTCAGATATTATGAAATTAGTGAAATTTTCGCAAACTGATTTGCAACATAATAGCTGCTAATATTGGGTCTGTGCACAGGCTACGGCCATCCAGAAGCACTACCAAAAGCGATTTTTCATCACCAATTTCATTTTAACGGACTCTTTGAAACAATGATTAATGGAATGTAGTCTTATCGAACGGTAGCGATGGCGAACAGTTTTTTTCTACTTTTATTCAAAATTGTGCAGTCAGCTCTTTTAACTTCTATTGGTTAAAAATTTGGGAGACAAATTGTTAAGCTTCTTCAGGAGACCACAGCAACTGGCCTTAGAAAAGCAATTGCCGATGAGCGATAAAGATGTTGATTGCTTACAATACTTATCTGGCTAGACTGAACAAAAAATTTTGAAAAACCAAGAAACAGCCCAAAAACATAATGTCACAAATAAGACATTAACCAGACTTTAATTAGGTTGCTGAAGAGCTTCATTGAAGAACGCCCTGTGTCCCAAAGAAGAGCTAAAGAAATTGAGAAATTCTTTACTCAAGCAGAGACAGAAAGTTTTTCGCAGATACACACTTGGCCATTCTTCAACTTTTCTCTGAAATTAGCATCAATTTCACGATATTTTAAAAACCACATCCAAGATATCCCTTCGCCGTTTCGAATAAAAACGTTTCTCTTCCTTTTACTCCACATTTATTAAACGCACAGCTAGTTCCAGGCATGTTAATAATATAGCATACTCGATAACCTGATGATAAGTTGAAAATATCATGTTAAAACGACACGCAAATTAGAAATTTGAACTCTACCGAGCGAAAGTTGTGCACTCATTTTGATCACGTGACATCGTTAAAATGAAACAAAAAGTTAGAAGAATGGGCTTCCAGACCAGAGATTTTTCTATTGACTGTGCTTATTGGCAATATAAGTTATTGCCATTCCTTTTTTCAATGAATTTTTGTTATCTTTTAAGTCTCCGAAGAAATCATATGTAACAACACTTATTACCTCGCTTGTTATTATGTTATTGTGTAATACATGCCAATGAGTGTCCTTTTTCCATACAAAACAATGAAATAAAGGGATATTTGTCCTAAAGAATCTGCTAATATTCTTTGAATTTTTACAATCGTTATTAGGACTAGGCATTTCTTTTAATGACTCATTACTTTTTGTGCTGTTTAATCTCTTTGTTGAATTTCGCAATGTGTTGAGTTTCAAATACAAGACGAGACGAAGCCAGATATTCTAAAGTTGAGAAAAGTAGCTTATCTTATTTGATCTGTTGTTATCGCCTACGGCGGAAAGAAAAATTCGATGCAAAGACAGGCTTTTTAAATCCTGCAAGTTGTGCGGCCATTTCCTTTGCCGCCGACACATTACCAGTCCCTATTGTTCAACGTGATAATAAAAGGACGTGATTTCGTGCATGCCAGCCTTCCAGGTGAATAGAATCCGATAGAATCACGCAATGGAATCGTTGGTTTTCTGGGCGTCTTGAGACGAGCTCTCTGTTCAAATTTTTGTCTGGAAATTTGAAACAGTACATGTCAAATTCATTTCTATCTTTTTATGCTGTCGCCAGGTTACATAGGGGCTACATTCATTCAAGATAAGATTTAATCTTGATAGGTACTGGAGTCGTTTGCATAAATAGAGAAAATCTTTACATAAAGAAGAAACCAAAACTTTGAAACATCTTATCACAACTGCCTTATCCATTCCCATTGATAAAATCAAGACCAATTGAAAACTGCTCAGAATATTTCATATGATTTGGTTTCTTTTTTATGTAAAGATTATCTCTATTTATGCAAACGACTCCAGTTGAAAAATATGGGAAGGGCAATGTGTCTAGTGCTCAGAACGGACATTAGATTCAGTTTTGATGCACTGTAAGTGCGCAATAAGTTTTGTAAAGCATAACTTTGTAAAACAAACAATGCTGCCAGGTTTGCTTAGGTTGCAATTCGTTTGCCATGAATAGAGGGTGCGACGATTTGATCCCCAGGACTGGATATGAACTCATCTCTGCCGATCATGATTCATCTGTCATTGTTTGTTTATATTCAGTGTCATACATGTCAGGGAGGGGAGTTTAGGTTCTTATTTATTTCTCGACTCATTGAATTATAGTAGGGAGATGTAAATTACACATTTGCATTCATTGACTCAAGATCCATCTTGACATGCAACATAGAATTATGATTTATTATTGGTTTTGATAGCATTTCAGATTTTCAGAAATAATTTGGCGTGGCTAAGGTCCATCAGCCCCATCTTCTGCGCTCCAAGAGTTGAATTGCAAACTCACGAAGTATAGTCTAAAATGATGTATTTTGTTTTGTTTCTATTCCTTGTTGGTTATTTATAGCAAAACGGCTGGTACGAAGGCGAAGAAGCACGATTTTATCTAAAACCATCTAAATTCTAAGACAACAGAAATTCAAGCACACAAAAGCTGTTTAGATTTGGTTTCACAACTCTTTCTTTTTATACCACAAATCTTATTTTTGTTCTGTTGAAACATTTTTATTTCTATGGGACACAGCGGAAGGGTCCCGGGGGTTTACTTAATTCACCGACTACCCGAGGATGTGCTTGCCAAGTGCCAACAGAAAATGCCTGGACAGGATTATAGGTGTTGTCTCTTTTCCGGCACAGGTTTATGCCCACATGAAAATACTTTTTCCAGGGCAGGTCAGATTTGTCATGGGAATGAAAATGTCTCAAGAAATGTATTATCATTAATAAAATCATGTTTGGGCGAACCATCATTCTCCTTGAGCTTATTCAAGGACAGGTACCATGTTTTGGGAATTTTACTCCAGAACATGGTTACAAAAGTTTTTCTGGGAGGCGGAGGCACATCCCCATTATCTTTCTTCAAGGTAAATCCCCCGGGGGACGAGTTCAATAAAAGTTAAAAAGATATTAGTCAATTCTGTTTATTCAATACAAAATATGTTTTTATGGGAGGATAGAGTCTGACACCAAGGGTTACTAGACTGCTTTGTGACGTCATTCTTTGTCCGCAAGAACCATGACATACTGGGATTACATGTGTGAGGCCAACATCCACTAGTTTATTTAGTTGCCGGAGGAGGAACCCTTGGAGACACCTTTGGCCCTTGGCACGGAGATTCGACATCATAGCAGCTTCCGATAAAGGGTAATTATGACACTTTATTTTAATTACAATTCTTTTAACTTTATTCTCTTTGTAAACTTTAATACGTTTGTGTTCTAAAATGCTCAAGAAGTTCACGGTTTAGATTTTACCTGTTGAAGTCACCGGCCTAAGATGTCAATATGGTTACCCCGAAATGTTTACAAAATCTTCTGCAAAGCATTCTTCGCATCATCATTTAAGCTTTTGTCTGGCTTTTTTGTCTTCCTATGGGGGTTAGATTGATGATAACTGTTTTACCACTAGGACACCATTCCTGGATGGATTAGCCTCCAATCGGGACCTCTATCATTTTTACTAACACGCATTTCGCAATATTTATCACGTCGAATCTAATAGCTTGATGAATTCATATGTTCTTGAATACTTCAGCAGAATGGAGAATCACACTAAAGTTTTGAAATACGGACTTGCTAAGAAATCAATCGTATCGGAAGAAAGCCCAGAGCTAATTTAAACAGTTATGAATCAGTTACTATGGGCATTTTTGTCAATTTTATGTGATATGAAATTTTGAAGATGTGTGAGATTTTTTTGCCTTAAGTGCACCGTTAGGAAGCTGCTTGTTTTCTACTTTTGGTTAAGTCTAATTTCCGAGTGCAAAGATACCGTTAGATCTGGCTCGCCTCGCCCATCTCAGCGATTGCTGCTGTCTTTTCGTGAGAGCGTAATCTCTGTCACATTGTATGACTGGATTCTTGTATACCTATGGCCTGAACTTTTTTGGAGAAACAAATGGATTGTGAATTTTTTTGTGAACAAGAAGCAGATCCTTGTAATCAGAGAAAATTAGAATCGATAGCCGATACTTTACAGCTTCTCGATGATATACTTATAAAATTGAATGCCGTGGGAATTTCATTGTTAGGGCTATAATGTTGTAGTTAATGGTTTCAAGTAAACTTTTAGGGATTGGTGGTTAGATTATTGTATGTCCTATGTACAGTGTATTTGAATACAATTTGCAAAGCGTTAAAGAATGAAGAGTCATAACTGAATAATGAAGCCTTTACGGACAAAACGCAAGACATGGGAAACTTCAGTCTTCCAAAAAAATTTAATCTGAAACGTGATCAAGTGTCCCTGCTAACTTACCATCATAACCCAAAATTTTCTGCAACTTAATAATTGGTAGATTTGAAGCCATTCAATGATTGTAAGTGACACCCTAAAGGGTCACTTCGAGAGCCAGATAGTGTTCTTGTGTTCCTTTGAATCCTTTAACTATATGCTTACCTGTCAAACTTTCCCCAGGTATCCAAAAATACCACTTAAGCTTCCCCCTTAAAAAGATTTTCACTATTTTGCGATCTCTGCAAATGCAATCTCATTTGTCTCCATAAACCTATGATCGCCTCCTGTGGCTTTTAAGTTATCTTTTACTATATCCAACTAAAAATACTATTATTTGATAAGCAGTTATTTTTTTCATCTTTACAGAAGTCTTGTTAAGATGCCAGAGATGGGTTTACTTGGTAAAGAAGAGAAGACAGCTTTATGTACAGTTCGAAACTTTGTCAACCAGAAGGGACATTTAGTTACAAATGGAGGGCTCAGTTATCACACACTGGATGAAACTGACTGCGAAATTAATACTAACATATCAAAAAGTACTAGTTTGCAAAATGGTGGATTTGCTACACAAAATGGTGGATTAACAGTGCAAAATGGTGGCCACAGAATACCTAATGGCAATGCTAAGATTCAAAATGGTGGACTTCATACTAAAGAAAATTGTCAAAAATTGACTGATGAAAGGAAGCATGAGCATGATTCTGTTGAAATAGATTTTAGCACATCAAGCCTTATTCAAAGTGGAAGTGAAGCAGTAGTTGAGTGCACTAAAGACAAATCGTAAGTCTAATTATATTGTTATGCCTGTTATTAACTTTATTTTTCAATTTGCAATTTAGTCACTGTAACAAGAAAAACTGTAGTTGAGAAAATTGGATAGATCTGTGATTTGTTGATTCATAAGTTGATGGGTTGTAGTCACACACAGATTTGAGTAAGGTCCATGGGGCTGTGACTCCCAACAGATTTATTACAGTAAGCAATTTTTCCTTCTATTGCTACTTGTAATTTGCACTTTGAAAGGTATGAATCAAACATTGTATATTTGATTTAATATCTCACAACTCATAATACAGTTTTGGACCAATCCATACTTGTAATATCAGGATAATAAGATGTTGAGACAATGATAGCTGTCATATAATTTTTCTATTTAATATATGCTATAGATTCCTGTGTAAGCATTTTGCTTTTTCTTATATGTTTCTGTCAGTGGGCTTAAAATTCAATGCTATCTTTTTAAGGACATTGTTAAAAACCATTATCTGTGGCCAGATACTATCCTTAACTTTATGTGGAGTTGGTACCTCTTCAGCTGCTCTTGCAAAATGGTATGATGTTCGAGTGCCAGGGTTTCAAGCATTCTTGACCTATACAACTTTAGCGTTAACTGCTGGTACAAAACTTGCTTTCGACTCAAATAAATTCAAGGAAATACTGAAAGAAAGAGGATGGAAGTACCTTATACTTGGGCTGGCTGATGTTGAAGCAAATTATCTGCTAGTGAAAGCTTACACATTCACAACTCTGACCAGTGCCCAGGTTTGTAATGTTTTTGTTTAAATTGATACTGTTAAATTATTGAGAAACTGGTAATGCGTTCTTCAAAATTTCCTTTTTTTGCAAGGGGCGTGTTTGATTGCTTGCCCCATTTCTCCAAAATTGTTGCATGGGTGATAATGTATCAGTTTTGTAGGGGGCAAGGTGCAAGCTTGACCATAACTCTAAAAAGGAGGCAATCCTGTCAAATTTCAGTTAATTTTAGTCATTTGATTTAATAAGACCATAGAAACTAAAGGTCCAAAGGAATGAATCAGGGACCAAACAGGATGATGCTGGGGTAGTCTGCCCCCTGCCACTCCTACCATGCACCTGAATAATTGTGTAGCATATCACATTTATCAGATGTATATGGGATTTATTGTTATACCATGTTACACGTTGCTCTTCCTAGGCATCACTTCTGCCACAGTTTATATATACATATAAAGACATTAACATCAGTTCTTCATTACACGTGTACTGGAATGCTGCTGCCAGGGAAACAAAATAAAACCATCCTATCGAATACGGAATTCTTTTGTTACTTCTAATGATATTTTTAAAGTTCTCTGAGTAATTGAAGAAATTCCATCCCAAACTTGCTCCTCAGTTCCCTATAATCTTTACAAACCAGGTAGGTTTAAGCTAACTTATTAGGTAACAATCGAATTCTAAAGTTGCTTCGATGGTTAGAAATTTGCACCCTTGCTGAGTTTCTTGTGAATTTCGCATTGAACTTCTCATGTACATATACCCCATGGGAACCTTCGAGTTTCAAAAAGGGTGTTTTACACGGAGGCCGTTCTTTTACCGGTCTCTGCAATGTTGCGTGATTATCTTTTTGGCATCTTATAAGTTAACGGATATACAGTTTGTTTCTAAAGCAAGTGGGAATATCCGGACACTTGTCTCGTCAATCAATTCAAACACCGTCACTTTTCTTTGTGATATATTGTATAGCAGCAACATATCGCGGGAATAGTACATTTGTAAAGGCAATTGACATTTTCAAAAGGCCACAAATTTCAAAGAATATCAATACTTGTCCGCACTAACACAGAATAGATGTGGCACTAAGATCATGTATGTTATCATTACACTGCTTCATCGATTTCGTTGTCTTGTGTGTGTGTGCTAGCCTACGCCGTACAACCCCCCCAAACGAAGATAGGGGGTCTACGGCGTAGGCTGTGTGTGCATGCTCTATACCGTAAATCTTCGAATAAAGGCTGAAATACACAAACCCCTTTTTACGTCCGTTTTCACCTAAAGGATGAAAAAAGGAATGGCGGTAAGCTGTTTACACGTATCCTTTAAAAAGGACCACTTTTCCTTTTCGTTCTTTTCGTCATGGGTAGGCCAACGAAAAAAGTAGCTGTTTCCTGTTTACTACTGGCACTTTTTGCCAAGCGACAAAAAAGGAAGGTGAAATTGAGGCAATTTGGGTGAAACTGTGACTCCAGACAGACAGTTCGGGGTTTTCGAAACTTTGCTGAATGCAGAATATTTTTGAGAATGAGCCCTGATATTTTGGGCGAACTTTAGCCGCACACCGTGGTGAGAGATGTCCTACACTCTTTTTCTTATAAGAACAACTTTATAAGAACACGAGTCTCAAAATTAGTCAAAAGTTAAAAACAAATAAAGAACAAACTGAGGCTGAGCTATTTTAAAATTCAATTTTGAACAATGCTTTATCTCAAAAGAGAGGATTTTTCAGCCATGTGTGGATGCTTTACGGTGAATATTCAAACATGGCGGCAAATTAAGATTGTATCACGCACTCTGTTGGCAAATGAGGCCTGAACAACACCCCCCTAGATTGAAAAGCTAGCAATCGCACTCCTTATTCCCTATCAATTTAAGAACAAATTAAGAAAAATCCAGCTAAAGATTTTTGAAGAAATTACGAACAGCCAGCCTCAATGTAAATTTTCGGGTTCTTATGAAAAAGTGTGTAGTCTATACCATCATGTATCAAGCTAGAGGCACTGTTTTGATTCCGAACCAAACGCCATGACGTAACATGGAGACATTCGAGACAAAAGGTTTTAGCGCCTTGTCAAAAAGACAAAAGAAAAACCTATCCTTTTTCGCTGCAAAAGTTGAACAGGTAAGCATTTATCTATCTGGAGTCGTCTAGGATGGCATGGCACCCCTGTAAAATGTACCCAAAATATGCCTAGTGCCCTGTCGGTTTGTTAGAGAGAAAACCTCTTGAGCACCAAAAGCATTGTAAACTAAAAAGATTTGTATCCAACGATCGTAGGATTATACTGCTTGTATGAATCATTTCATATTAGTTTTTACGACAATGAATCTTTTTAGACTGACAATAAAGCAATTTCCAGACTTACGTAAGATATATTAATTGCTACATATAGAGAGCTGTTTAGTATTTTGGGCTGCCTTTATTAATTCTGTAAGGAAATTCCAGGTTTTGGACCCATAGAAACATAAAAATCTGATACCATTTTTTGCTGTTCTGACTTTTTGAAATGGCATGGACTTTTTAGTCGAAGGTTGTTTTAGTCTCGAAAAGCCCGAGTTGGCTGGTGCCCTTTCGTTTATTATATTCCGCTTATCTTTGCTTCGTTGACCAAAAAACATCCATATTAATGGGTGATATTTGAAATGACTTATTAGATGAAATATTTTAAAATAATCTTTTAATCTCATTCGCCCTTAGCTTAGCTGCTTTCATATAGATCTTATCGATATGATCATCTAATTTAAATTTTCATCAATTTTATCACTAAGAGGAAATATGCAAAACAAATGAATAATTAATAAAATATTACCAGGCGTAAAAGCTGCTGCCAAACTTTTTAGGCGCGCCCGAGAAATCTAGAATAGGAATGACCTTTTGGAGTATGGATTCTTGTACTTTAATATCCATTTCTTTGTTAGTTTTTTAAAGTTTCTATTGAAGCTGAAAATCCTTTATCAGAATAGTGACTTTTTCATTTAGAAAGTTTGATGCATTATAGAAAAAATGATCTTTTTGGTTCCTCAATTCATATTAAAAATTGATAACTTCGATTAAATTCCAGAGTAAGTTAAATGGCAAGAATATTATGTTATCCCATCTTGAAAAAAGCACGTGAAAATATTGCTATGGCATTTATTCAAGGAACTGGAAATCTGAAAATCTCCTACACCTTTTGTGAAAATCCTATTGTTTTATCTGAAAATTCCCAGGAATCCATTTGTTTTAAGCAAAATCTCGTACGCTATTTGCAAGAGTGAATCGCCCCGCGGAAGTTTCGTTGCCCACTTCTAAGCAATAGAGAAGAGTGGCAACGCCAGACGCCAACAATGGGGAGGGGGTGACAAAGCACCTTCTTTAATAATAGAACAAGTTCTATTATTTGCCAATAGGGAACCCCTTAGACTTTTGGCGACGTGATGGCCGCTGTTCGATGAACTTCGCTAAAATATTACCACTCCCCAGGGGCGGATCCAGACAAAAATTTGACATTCTCAAAACCCATTATGACCGACAGACCACGCCCATTTCCCGGAAACGCCCAAGAAATTGTTTTCTGTCTTTTATGGATGCAATGATTAAAATTATTGTAATTTTAAGAGGAGAAATAGAAACAAACAATAAAAAGTTTAATGGACACCCAGAGGGGATGAAGGAAGGCAATTGTCCCCCAACATTTTGGGAAGACAGAGGTCTTTTATTCTAAAAAGAATGGACAAATGTGATGTCACTTTGTCAAAACAATAGGCTTGCCCCTCATAATATTGCCCAGAAAACAACAATGATGCAACATCTAAGAATTTCTCAATAAGCATAGCAACACTAGTAATTGAAAATTGGGTAATGCAGGGAAAAATAACACAAAGATCAAGACAAAATGTGTGTGGCAAATAGTGCTTGGTTTTCTAATGGTTTAACATACGTGGAATTTTATAGAAAGAAGTGTAGTTTGGTGGACATCCAAATTATTGGTAAAAATTCAAGGGCACAAGACTAATCATAGAAGAGAATTATTAACGAAAGTTGACCAATGAAATTACTAAAAATGCAGGCACTTTTCAGAGTATACAAGCCATAGAAACTTGGGCAAAGAATTTGGTAAAAACCTTTTCTAGTAACAAAAATAGACAGCTAAGGCTATTCAACTTCTTCCTGGATGCTAACTCTCTTAAATGATCTTTTGGCATATGGTAATTGCACTGCTTTAGAGTAAAATATTTCTGCATCAAAGTCAAAGTTTGTATATCTGTTTTAGATTTGTTGTTCGTCATTTGGAAATACATGGAAGAAAAATTACTTTGGGATGACTGTCTATTTAGTAGATCCATCAAATTTAAATTTGAATCTTCTGAGGCCTGACACTTTATACTAAACTTCCCTTTGCTTAGTTTTCAGAGGCACTTTCTTTTGCCAAAGAAAATGAATAGAATTTTTTGGCTTCATAATCTATCCTTCCACAGGAATGTTAACCAAAGTTAGCTTCTTATCCAACCCATAATTCCATCAAAACTTGGTCTGGATAATAGGCTCGATAAAATAAGCAAACAAATGCATTTCTCATCTTTTTTTCTTTTTTTTCATTTTGACATGCATTAAAAACAGATTTTATCTGCCTTTACTGTGTGTACTAACATAATGTAAAACATATTTTATCAGACAGCATTTTCAGTTCCTAGTACCACCTTGTTCAAATAAATATATCTCAAGATTTTGACTTCTGGTGTTGCATTCTCAATAAACCTTGTTCATTATTGGCTTAGTATCAATAAAACAAAAAAGGAGATGCATCTCCAAAACAAGAGTGCAGTGTATGACAATAGGCCCATGCAGCTCATATGATTAACCACAAATTTCCAAAGATGCAACATGTCAAATGTGTTTTTACCTTTTTACCAAAGGCTGTCACAACAAATCCTATTCTGCTTGGTAACAATATGAGTAACAAGATTGTAAGAAAGTAATGACTTCTCTAACTGTTAAAATCTCTCTTAACTTTTTTACAGTTAGTTCTTTAGATTAAATTACAGCAAAAGTGAAATTCAACTTGCAAATTAATAACATGTTATCTAAAACAAATTAAATAGCTATTCAAACAAACTAAAATGTATCCATAAACATTATATTACAAAGATAGGCAACCATATTGCATCATTGAATTAATATTATAGTTCTAGTTAAATTCAGAACAGTGTAATTTTTGTGAATTCTACATTTAAATCACATTATACAAAAACAGAAAGAAAATGGTCAGGTATCGGTGTAAAATTAAGTATTTTAGCAGCATCCAGAGGGGCCAGTCTGCAAACAAAACAAACTTTTTGCAGAATTTACCACCTGAGCCGCTAGGCCCAGTAGCAGCAGCACAAAAAGAACCCCTATATAAAATTTATCAGCAGTACCTTAAAGTCTGACCCTCTCTCTTTCAGCAAGGTTTAGTCAGCAAAATGAAACAATTCTTTTGCCACAATAAATGTCGAAGGTTGTGTGTTACGATCTGGTTCTGGCGCCTAGGCCCTCCAGGCAGACTTGTAAGTAACCATTCTCTAGTCAGCGAAAAAAATACTCCTTGATGGTATCCAAAGCACAATCGGTCAATAACTGTTTCAATTCTTCCAATATATCCATACTTGCAATGGGTTCTTGTGAAATTATTCTCTAATCAAGCACAAACACACATCATTACCAAGCACTGCCAACTGACACTTCCACTGTAGTCTGGAGTGGAGTGTGGATTCTTGATCACGTGAAGTTGGTGTTCCCTGTCAAATTTCGCTACTTTTGTGGACCAGCCCACTAACTTCTCAAGATGCTCAAACTGTGACGTAGGCAAGACCTCATTAAATATATGTTAAACATATGCCAGATATACCCTATTAAAAGTGAATGGGTTTAATATGTCATTTTCGCGAATTTTCCTCTCGTTAAAATCTTTCAGGTCGACCTCTTCTCAGGGACAAAAATGAATTGAAATTATCTGCGTGCGCATGAAGAAACTGCGTGCAACTTTCTAAAAATGCGAAGGAACTTCTCAAAATGCATGGCAACAGTCGATAAACATTCTAAAAATCATGCCTAGATACAGTACGCGGCGCAGCCTCTTACTACCCACCTGGGTACTAGGTTCAATGAAGGAGAATTTGGTTTTTCATCGGAGAAGATCTAAAAATGTTTCGCAAAGGCAAAACGGAGTAAAATATAGCAAATACGGCGATGGTGTAGAAATAAAAACCTTAAATACATAAGAAAAAGATGTATGCTTATCTCGAATCTTTAACCTGAGCTCATTCATTACTTTTAGCATTTTAATTAGAATAATCAAACTGGGAAAATCTGACATTTTCAATTGAGAATGTTGAGAATGTCTCGATCCGCCCCTGCCCCTCCCACAAACATTTTCTGATCGAACTTAGAATTACAAAATCAATCCTGTCTAGATGGAGATTCATTGTGTTTGATGGAGAGGGCACGATTTTTGAAATGATTTAGCCTTAGCTTAGGTGTCCGTAGATTGAGTTGATTCGAAAAGTTTTACATAACTTTGTGTAAGATCAGGGGCATGCCTTTAATTTGAACATGTTTGGTTATGAATTTTCAACAATGTTGTTATGGCCACCCCCTTAGCGTGGATGGTGTGGGCTTATAAAAAATAGTCATGCTCTGTAGACTGTTTAATCATAGTATATTGCGTTGTATTGTAGAATTTTTAATAGTGTATTGCCTTGTATTGCATGACTTTCTTTGTTGGCGGTCAGATCCACGAGATTGCCACTCATGTGTGAAGCGGAATTCGCTACTTAAAATTAAAGGAAAACCTTTGATCCCTTTTTGATGGATAACCCCGGAGTGCATAGCTTTGGCTTTCTTTTCTACAAATGCATTTTATGAAGGTTACAAATGAGTAGCATAAGAAAAAAAGGGATGATGATAATCCATCTAGAAAATAGTGATTTTAGATTAAGCATGTAGTTATACTGTTGCTTCCAAGTCCACTAAATAACAGTTTTGCTTGATGTTTTATAAGCTGTTATGTTTTGTTAACATGAGAGAAAAATTTTCAAAGCACATTGTTTTCCATCTGAAGCTGGGAATCTTATTACGCCTATCTTATTTTTGTGGCAAATCGAGCCCTGTCTCTGCATTCTAATAAAGTGCGTTCTCGTAAAGAAGCAAAGATGTATGGAAACCGCGGTTCTTCCTTTGAAAATTCATGAAAATACGAACACTAAGCTTTTAAAACCTTAATGTTTGATTTTAGGCAGGATGAAAACTTTTGAATGTATTTATTTTCTTACAGTTATGTGACAGTTTCACTATTCCGACGGTTCTTATTCTATCCTGCCTGATCTTACGCGTCAGATACAAGGCGTCACATTATATTGGAGTGGTGCTTTGCGTGGCTGGCGCCGTGTGCCTAATTTTCACGGACACACGAGACACACAACAGAATGGTGAGATATTGAGTATTTGGTCCTTTACTGTAGCTCTTTTAACCGCCATACGATGCTGCCTCTGGGCACACCATTAAAACCAGGTCCCACCTTGAAAATGCCCCTGCATTTCATTAAGCGCCCCTAAAATAAACGCCTTCTCTATATTTTATCAATGTTGAAATAAAAGCCCCTGTATTTTGTGCCATTGTGTTTAGCGCCCCTTTGTATTTTAACGCCCCTGTGCGTGTTTAGAGCCCCTCGGTTAAGCGCCCACTGAAGATGCATAATATTTATTCATTTTCATTTGTTAAAGAAGCATTTAGATAAGATATCTAGTTTACAAATTTTTACAAGATTATGTCAAAAAAGAAAGCTTAAAATGGCAGGTCTCTGAAAGTTTTCAGGGAGGGTGCCAATTTTGCGTCTCTTTTAAGATTGTTCAACAGGCTTACTAAGATGATATTTCTTTTCATGATTTTCTTGTTCTTTCGCTGTATTGAAAATTGATTGTACACATTTTGTAGCCAAAAACGAGTTGCTTGGTGACTTTCTATCGCTCTCTGGTGCTTTTCTCTACGGTTGTTCAAATGTAGCACAGGAATTCATCGTCAGGAGCTTTACCAAAACAGAATTTCTTGGGATGATCGGAATCATCTGCGCACTCATATCTGGAATCCAGACGTAAGTACCATAGCTTTTTACAAACAAACGGACATTGTGATGATGCCACAAATTATTTTTCCGAACTTTTGAATTTGGACCACGTAACCTGAAGGGGCATCATAAAATACTTTTCAAAAGGTGAAGTCAATTACCGTATTTCCTCAAAGAACACCCCGGCGTTTATTACAAAATCCGTTGAAGGCCCCTTTAGCGGCCGTCCATTCTTTGGAACAGTAAACTATGATCCTCCTATCTATATAAACAAAGAATTGTCCCTTATTTTCCTTCTAAAAGGCCTGAAGTATTCCATCTTTGCAACAGTTGGTTCGTTTTTCACAGGGCTCTTTTGATGCTTTCCTTCTCCTGTTACTTAAGTTCACTGTGTACAGTTGGTTTGAATACAATTGTGTTATCTAAGTTGACTAGAGTATGAAATCTTGATTATTTTCATCAGGATTGCAGTTGAAAGAGATGTAATTTACAACATCGAATGGAGCTGGCATGTCAGTAAGTACTGTCTTCCACTTTGTCACATGATGTTCCCATCATATTCACCAATTTCGAACATTAAGAATTGGGAATACATTCGAGCAACCAAAATTGATCGTAATTTAATCGGTTCTTCAAATTCACAATGTTGGTAAAACCGAACTTTTGCAAGAAGCTTATACACCATAACCTTTTTATTTTTTTTAATAGCTTATAAATAAGGGAATGTCTTTGGTTTCCTGTTTAATTGCCGGGTTGTATTTGTATCCCACTGTCGGTAATGCTATCTACTGATTTGAGGCTTGCTGGTTTTCATTGTTTTTGTTGAGTTTGTTAAAATTTAATGATACAATGGCCGCCAAAAGTAGTTGGAACACCGCGATTGCACTCGTAATAAATGCATATTTTTCAGTTCATTTCCCTATTTCAAGCAGACGGATCCCTCTTCCCCTCCCTTAAACAATGTTGGGAAGGAAGATGAACATGTCGCTAAACATGGGTTACACAATTTACGCTCCAACCTCCATTTTTGTAATTTACTAGTCGGAATCCAACATTGTATATGGGGGGAGGGGAGACGTTTAGTAGGAAAGATGAAGGCACTGTTCCAACACTTTTGGCGGTCATTGTCTTTCTGGATTCTTTTTGTGTATGAAAGACTGACATGTTAAATATGACTGATTCAGGGTTTTGGGGGGTGAGCATCCCAATGAAATTAAAATCGAAGCTCTACGGATAACATGTGACGTCATAATTGGTACACGTTCAATGTTCTGTCTTGTTTTCCTGGCAATTACTGTTTATTGTTAATTTTTTCTTTCCATTCAAGGTATTATGACACTATTCGTTTTTTGATCTGTTATCCTTCTCACTTTGTAGTGGGCAAAGTTGCAATTTTTAATAGAAACAAATTCTCGCGCATTTTCAAAATTCTCAAATATTTGTCACTTAGGCGCTGCTATTGCCTAGAGTCTCAAAACAGCGGAGATTCGAAAATATTTTGACCATTTAATCATCAAGCAAACCATTTTTATGTACCCTTAGCACCCCGAACTTCTTCACGGTCTCTTTGCCCAAATATTTGAATATCCCTTGATGATTGAACGAGAAGAGGGTTGATCAACGGGAACTAAATAAAAGGGGATAGAATTAAGAAAATGTGAGGGTTGGGAAATAGATTTGTAATATTCTTCGCCCTTAAAGCTCCTGGAGAAATTACAATGAGGCTCTTTTGAAAGTGAATAATTCTTACAGTAAATAATTTTTATCCTAGCTTTGGTGGAAGTGTGCATGTCTCCTCCCCTCCTCCTGTCTTTTCTCTCTTGCCTTCTCCTGTCATTTTTTCTGCGTCTCCAGTTTATCTTAATTTTCTCTGTCTGCAATCGATAAAAGGCTCTGTAGATGCATGTTATTTCAGTAGAGCTCATTTTTAACAAACGTACTTACCATATTGCTTTTTTATTTCAGTACTGCTAATTGCAAGCTTTGTTATCTGCCAGTACTTGTATTACACGCTGATGCCCTGGGTTATCACGTTGAGTAGTGCTACAGTAGTCAACCTATCTTTGCTTACATCCGATTTGTACACACTCATGTTCGGCTTGTTCCTCTTTGGATACAAGGTTAGGGTTTTTTAGATCTCATGATTTCAGTATAACTAAAACATGTATATTTTGCTTCAGCACATTCTTAATAAGACATTCCAGCCTATAAGAATAACTTTCATATTTAACCATTTTTACATTTAATGAATAAACCGATAGAGAAGAAAAATTACATTTTAGTTATAATTCAAGCCATTTCTTGATTTCCTAATTATTGTTATTTTGTACCGTAGTAAAACTGTAGTTCTGAATGTCGTTACTTTCCCTAACTTTATGCCATAATACCTTTCGGCTGGAACTCAAACTCTACCTTCCCTTATGTTCGTTACACCTAAAGTTCACCTATGTTCGTTACTTTTCAGTTCTCCTATCTATACTTCGTTGCATTTGGGGGGATATTCATTGGGTTGATCATTTACAACTGGAAACCGACTCCTGTCAGCCCAAGAAGAACAAGAAGAGCAAAAGAGGATATTAAAAGACTTGAAACAGATACCAATCTTGTCTTCTCAGAAAAGAAAAAGCTGTGTGAAAAAGAAGAGAAAGTCGGAATATATTCTTTTACAAAGTATTCTGAAGGAAACGCAAATGGACTTAAAAATACACAGGTGTGAATGTATTCTGGCGTGAGACATAGACTTTTTTACAAACTTAGAATTTCTTATCCTTATAGATTTTATGCTTAAAGGCTCACTGTCGGTTCCCTTATTGGAATACTTATTGATTTGTAGATTTATGAAAAATTCCTTTCTCCCTTCAACCGATTTAACTTGACTGTGAATTAGGGACTCGTGAGTGGTGGCCCGTGGATATATGAGTTACTATGCTTTCGTCCCACCAACAAATTAGTTAAGGCCATAATTGAATAACTGTTTATTTTATCCGATCCGAGACCGGTTCTGTTTTGACTAATCACGGTGGATAACTTTTGCAGAGCATGCTTAACCAGGCTGAGCCTTGGTTGCAATGCAGGGCATTTCTGCAAAAAATCCATTCTTCTTTAACCGTCATTTCATAATGAGGGTTTTAGACATTTCCTGGCATTTATACCGGTACATTCTCCATATCATATCGTGACATGGCCTATCAATTTTTTTCATTGCGTCGCTGGCCACCAGGCTTCATAGAAAATTTGAATGTGTATTTTTATTATTGGTTAGTAATTTCAGTCTATTGTTTTTTACGTTATCAGCAATTGAATTCAATAATTTTTTAAGCAAACACTTACGTTCTTTTAACACGATTATTATTGGCTTAGTTTTAGAATTATCAGTTAATATTAGGTCTTTTATGTGAATTTGTTCCAGCTTTCTCTGTTGTAATTTATACTTTAATTGTTTTGGTATGCACAAAACCCATCAACAAGCATAAACCTGCTGTATTCCTAATGTTAAATGCATCAATTCCTTATTTATGAAAACAGTACCCGTCCTAATTAAACTGATAATTTTCATACCGTTACACGTCGTTGAATGCATATCACAACAACTATCTCAGGTATCCGATACATTTTTATTTTGTTGCAACTTTAAAATAAAACCGACAAATCTTGTATTAAAAAATATACCCGCCCTCGTTGTTGTGATAATTGCCATACCGTTACACATCGTTGAATGCATTTCACGAATGACTATCTCAGGTATCCGATACATTTTTATTTTGTTGTAACTTTAAAATAAAACTGACAAATCTTGTATTAAAAACTATACCCGCTCTCGTTGTTGTGATAATTGCCATATCGTTACACGTCGTTGAATGTATTTCACGAATGACTATCACAGGTATCCGATACATTTTTATTTTATTGCAACTTTAAAATAAAACTGACAAATCTTGTATTAAAAAATATACCCGCCCTCGTTGTTGTGATAATTGCCATACCGTTACACATCGTTGAATGCATTTCACGAATGACAATCACAGGTATCCGATTCATTTTTGTTTTGTTGTAACTTTAAATTATAACTGTCAGGTCTTATATTAAAAACTATACCCGCTCCCTTTGTATTGATAATTGCCATAACGTTACCTGTCGTTGAATACATATCGTTAAAGAATATCACAGGTATCCAGTTCATATTTACTGTGGATACAAGGAGCGTCACTGCTAGGACATCTGACAATACGTGTTTTGTAGATTTAGAGGGTATCATACACATATTTATTTAGCGCCTTTTATATGTACCATTTACGTCATTTTCTATTTCCATTCTATCCATCTTTCACACATCACATACTTGCTTATACATGAATTTGTTGTAATTTTCGCACGTATTATGCACTGCTTTGTTAAGCTTAGCTGGCTCATTTTTTATTTAATTAACAAAGCTCTCTTTCCATTATATAAGACTGGCTTCTTGTATTAGATGCTGAGCTATATTTCAGTAAAAGTGCTGTATTATATTTCTATCGCATTAGATAATACAACTTACATTGTGAATATATTGGGGGTTTTTGATATCTCCAAAAAGCATGTAGGCACTATTTACCTTTTCAGTACCCCCGCCCCGCCACCCCCATTGTAGAACAGAATGTTCAGGCAATCTTTTTTGCGAATACATAAACCTTTGTTCTTCAGTAATATTTCCCGGATCACTGCTCCTGAATTTGAAAAAAGGCCATTTGTTATATTTTATGACAGGTTTTGAATCAAGTTTCTTCTTAGAAGATTAGATCATAATTTTCTTCGTTTGTGAAATAGATGCCTTTGAATTCCAGGCATTTCGTAAATATGAAAGAGGAAAGATACTACAAGGGGAAAGATATTTTTACTAGTTCCTTTATTAGTTTTTTGAGACTGTAATGTGTAAGTCAGTTTTGAAGCCAAATGTTTTGTTTTCTATAACATTCGGACCACTGCATCGTCTTTCTGCTAAATTTGTAATTTTTATTTAAAGTTAGATCCGTGTTGTTCTGTTATATTCGTCATTTTATCTTAATTGAATGAATTGAATGCTTGTTTAAGTGCAATTTAATCAAAGGGAATATTAAATCATATTTAATTAGAATAAGTGTAGTTAATAAGCAAAACGAAAAGTTCTGGTCTACAAGCCTCATTGTTGTATACAAATCATCAAAATCAAAATTTACGTTGCAAAATTCTGGCCTTCATCGTTGGCTTTAAAGTAAGAATTTCACAGAATGTTTATGGTTGAGCCGATGTTGAAGAGAGGTGATTCCATTCGCGCTCATTTTGTTGGTACCAGGACTTTTTGTTGCAAATAAAACGAAACGAATCAATGACAAGCCTGCTTTGCTTTTTTGTACGCTTTGCATTTTTCTAGATGATTACGATGGAATGATCCTAATTTTAGTAATGAATTGCAGTGGATAATTAGATATAACCCTCTGAACTGACGACTGTATTTTTTTTCTTATATTCTTTTGTTTATACATCATGCTTAAAGTCCTTTTATAAACATTGAAAGACGTCGGTGAATATAATTTCAGTATCAGTTGGAGGACAGGAAAAGGAGAATCTTAGACTGCGGTATGAGCCCGAGAACGGTATTTTGCCTGCAAATGCTCGCTATATCTAGTTCCGTTTTGTTCAGTGATTCTGCTACATAAAAAGCAATATTTATTTAATTTATGTGATTAATGTGAATGCAGACAGAGACTATTTTGAAAAGAAGAACTAAAAAAATTCCTTAAATACCGTACGAGATGGTAAAAAATAATTCGTAACATTAGATTTGCTGTTGCTGGTTTTTCATCCAACGTATACATGGTGGCAAAAATTTTCAGTGCCTCAGTTGTCAGATTTTGAAAAAGAAGTTTTAACTTCATCGATCATGTATGTCATCTCTTGCCAGGGCCATTCCAAGCACACATGAAACTTTCTGGACGCTTCTGTTTGAAAAAACCTCCTCTGACTAAACCCCCAAAAAATGCACTTTTGCCATAGCTACAAAATAGCTCCAATTTTTGCCAGTGGTACTTTATAAAAAGCCTTCAATGTGACAAGAGGGCAAATACATATACAACCAAACACACATATTTACATAAATACTTTATATTTGTTATACATAGTATGTAGCTGATGTGGACCAACATGGCTATAAAATATCTGACAAAAATCTTCGATGACAAATGACAAAAAAAGACCATAGCTAAAAATTGAAATTAAAACAGAAGAAACCTTATTAAAACATCTATTCAACCTTGCTTAATACTAATACTGATAGTAAGGGAAAATTGTGTAAGTTTTTGCTAATTCTTTTATAAATTTGCAGCTGCTTATTTTCCCTTTGGAATGCAATATCAGTTCGACATAGCGAATATTCGAGTTTTCGGGAGTTTACTTTTTGCTTCAATCAGTGGCGGTTTGGGGGCGGGGGTCCAGTGGGCCACGGTTCCACGCTTATGGTAGATAATAGGGTCCCACAACTAAGAAAAAAGTAAAAATTATAAAGAACAAGGGCCCTGAACTCCCTAAAAGCACCGCTGGTTTCAATGTTTGTATGTTCAAACTCTATGGTCAAAACCTTACGTCACAAGTTTTGGGCCCTTTCGAAAAGGTCTCGATTTCAAGTTTACACGCACTTGTGCTACTACATTGGCCTAAATGTGCCGAAAACATTTTATTTTTAAATAGATACCTTCATAAAGACTCTAAGGATGGGTGGTGGTAACAAACAAAATCAAAGAACGAAAGGAAATGTTAAGGTAATATTCGCCTCAGATAAGTTTTATTAAGATACAAATTTAAATCGATTCGATAGTGGATTTTTCTAAATGAAAAATTGTTGCTATAGAAAAGGTATATGGTGGCTCACTCGCTAAGTGATCACTTTTCAGTTTGAATCCAGTTAAGGGAACGATGGTTGGCTTTTTGAATTCCTGCATCTTATTTTTATTTGGTCTAAGCTGGCAGAGAACAGGCAAATTATGAGCACATCATGAATGATACTTAAAATCAGAGATTTCAATTGAAGCTTAACTTAAGCTTTATAAAAAAGTTATCGGTTTAATTTTTTTTTAATTCCACTTCATACAAATACTTGAAACTTTCAATCAAACATTGCATACAACATACAATCAAGAGCACGAAAGCCGGGATGGAAGTCATGTAAAGGTTACGCCAGACGAATGCTAATAAACAATAAATATACAATTGAAAATCGTTATTGCACACCCATATTTCTTTGTTGTAAGCTAACAAAGAGAACTGTTATAAAATTATGTTTTAATGCTAATAAGTGATCAATATTACAGATTGTTATGACAATTGTTCATTTATGTGTACTGAAAGTATTCCATTCATTTGATCATTAGGCTCTGCTTAACTTTCACTGCTAAGGTCTACAGATGCTAGAGTGTTCTGTTCTGCTATTGTCTATTTTGTCATTGTTTTACTTTACATACCAGGGCCCTGTGGTCCTGCCTTGAAGCTTTTATTAGAATTACCTTCGCATGCATTCCTAATACTGAAAGCCCAAATAAGAAGCTGAACGCATCCAGGCATTATCACTTTTAATGTTTCCCACTCCTAACAGCCCTGCAAAGGATCAGGCGTCTGGATCTGTGGCCAAAAGCTTACCCAACTAAAATATAAACAGCTTTTGCAGGCCTGGCCATAATACTTTTAGCAGGGGAGCTGTACAAAGCTCTCCTAGTAATCTGCAGGTGAGCAATTTCTAGATGAATAAGAATACAAACAAAGGAAAAATTTAATTCAAGGAGAGCAATTTAGGAGATTAATCTGTAGCTCTCCTCCAGCATTCAAGGAGAGCCTGTAGGGGAACAAGATCTATGGCTCTCCTCTAATGGTCAGGCCTGCTTTTGGCTTAAGAAGGTCATGTTCAGAATATGAACAGCATGGGTAAGGGAGGTTGCCTTCAGAATATGAACGGCAGGGGTAAGGGATAACGGAATCAAGGGAAGCACATCCTTTTAAGAAAAGTGCAATTTGTTTCAGTGGTAGCCTCTCTAGAGCGGCACTTCTGCATCAATGCACCTTTGTTACTTACTCTAGGGGTTGAACATTTTAAGCATGTTGTGACTGCATGTAGTTGAATACTTAATAATGATTTCAATTTCAAAACAGTAATTCAAGTATACATAAAGAATATAAAGCTACAACAGCATCATAAGAGTACAGTATTCTTCGTACACTGCGACAGGATACCTACCTTAAATTCTAGAGGGGGCTTATGCAACCAAAACATGCCTGTCATTTTCTATTTAATTGGTATTTCCATTTTTTCACTAAAGATAATCAAGTATAATTTTTTTTTGATGTGGAAGGGAGGGTGGCTTTGTGGGGATGGCAATGTAATTTTCCCCTACTGTATATATACAATTGGCATAACCAATAGGGGGCAACACTAACAAATTACCTTGCTAATTATATACCCTAAATAACTTTGCCCAAGTTGTAAACCTCAGAATGCTGTACTTTTCGTATTTGTATTGTATTTGTATTTGTTGCTACCTAGCATCCGAAGGTAGTTTTTAGGACACTGAGAAGCTATCTTATCGAGCAGTGTCTTGGTCCTTCCTCTCGATGTGACCACACCTTGTGATTCCAAGAAGGGTCCATGTGTACTGATTGCAAAAAGAGTCACCAGGGCCTAATTTAGTGCCATTCAACATGTTTCTTTCCTATGAGTGACACTAAGTTGCATGCCCTCATCTGATTTTTATGAGACCAATGTCAGTTGTAGACATAAAATATTGTACATAAGACCAATGTCAATAGTTAATTTTACATTAATTTTCTTTCAATAGATATATATTTTTTATTTCTTTTTAGCCTTCAAGCAGCAGTAGAGCTGCAGAAATGCTTGTTCAAGATGGGAAAACTGGATTCATTGGCTTTGGTACACTTTCTGAAACTGCAGGAAATTCTTTTGGATATGTTCCTAAGAGCATTATTGGTAATGAAGAAGATGAGCATGATATTGACCCAGAATTGAGAATGTTGATGAGAAAGATGTCTAAAAAGGATACCATCACAAGGCTTAAGGTATTCCTATTTTTATAAGTTTTATAAGTGGTAGTTTAAATTTTAAATTAGAAGTGGTAGAGCATTGTCCATGCATTTAAGGCTGCAGATGCATTATTTTAAGGCCTTTTTGGTGCATATGAATGATTACCCTTGCCAAGGCCCTAACAGATTTATTGGCAAAAGCTTGTCTTGCCTGCTAGCATTTGAATAGCAGGGTGCAGCCCCATTCTGCACTGATTACTTTGGAAAAGCTACCCAATTATACTTTAAGGTGGAGAAAAGCAAAATTTGTGTTAGCAACTTGCCTAAATACCTAGAAGTGGCAAGTGGTTGTCTCAGATCCAAACCCTTACAATTGTGAATATTTTGACTTGATCACTATTCCTTAACTAATATGAATAACAGTAGAAGAAAAGGACTAGACCTATTGAGGAGATCAAAAAATTTGGAGGAGTCGAATTTTACGGAGTATGCTGGTTTACATCATTGCTGCCATTTCTGGTTCTACTGTACTTTCTGTACTGTACATCATTACTGTACTTTCTGTTGCGCTGCAAAATTTATAGGGTTTTATGCACAAATGTTGCTTGTTGTCTTACCAAATGTAACCTCATACATTTTGTCTGCATCACAGTCACTGACCGAAAGTCTGCCCAAGTTAAAAGCCAGTGATGGATCACATACATGGTAGTGAGTGTTTTTTAACTTTTCTACTTTCCAGGCAGTACAAGAGTTCTCACAGATGTGCTTAGAAAAGCCAACTGAAGAGGTAGTCAAGGTTCTGGCTTTTTGGCCAAAGATTTACAACAAGCTGTCAGAGGTATGCCCATTGTTAAGCACTTGTAGTACATGTGATTTGAGTAGAGATAGCTAAGCTTTATTGAACTCTAATTTCTTTCAAAGATATAGACCTTAGAAACAGACAAGAGTCAACACATATTTGAAGTTAGTTTATGTCTATTAGATGAAATCATGTTTGAAAAGATCCAATCGCCCTTCAGAGTCAAAACCTCACAAAGTTAATCCCTAATGTTTTATCTTCAAAGGCGGCATTAGATCTTAAGGAAACTGTATAATTGGTACAGTGCGAGCGGTAAAATATGTTTTTGACCAGACAACCCGATTTTCACTAATCCCTCAAAGGTTTTGTCGTATAGCCCCGAAGCAGCACTATTTTATGAAAATCAAGGATTAAACAGCATGAAACAGGAAATAGATGTCATCATGTCTGAAAATTGAAAATTTATTCATAGGAGGTACTAACTTAAAGAAATTCATCTTTTTTGTTATGTAGGACTATGATCACAGGGTACGAGAAGCAACACAGATGGCGCACCTTGAGATAGTCTCCAGAGTTGGGCGAAAGCTAGCACCTCAGCTGAAGAGAATTATGTCAAGCTGGTTAAAGTCCCAGTTTGATCAGTTCCCCCCAGCTGCAAGTGCTGCTAGAAAGGCTTTCAATGTCACATTTCCAGAAAATAAGAAAAGAGATGCAATTTCCTTTTGCAAGCAAGATTTGTTATTGGTATGGAAAACGTTTATTATCTGAATTACAGGCTTTACTAGGAATGGCTTGTGGATGCATTTGTGCACCTTGTCACGCATCCAAACTTCCGTAGAACTGCTCTTTATGCCATGTATAATTTTTCTAAACAGCTAAATTCATAAAGCAAAACACAGCATGCTTGACATTGACAGAAGTGTGATTTCCACACACCTATCCATTTTTTCCCAGTAACACCTGGAATGTATTGTTTCCTGTCTTTGGCTTTTTTATTTTCAATAGAAATGATGTTTTTGTGCTCAAATATAAAGGTTGAATAAGAGATGAATCACTAAAAAGAGATGAATAAAAAAATTCCTTTTTGCTGATGTTCATTATAAAAATAAAGCCTACACTGCTGATTAATAGTTTTTTGGTAGGCACCATTGTTTAATAGTTTTACCATTATTTATTAAGAGCTGAAGCGAAATGAATACTGAGCAAGTGACAATTCAGGAACAAAGTTACATTTTGAAAATAACTACATCTTTTATATTGATACCTACAAGTCTGGCATAAACAAAGAAAAAATTGTGGAGATTGTTTTGTCAAAACAATTTTATCTTGGTCAAACTTGAGACTCATTCGTTTAGAGAGATTCCATCAATATGTCAGTTTATCGCTTACAAAACTTTAACAGCTTTTTGATCCTACAACTTTGATTTTTCGAATTGGCCATGAACCTTTTTGTAACAATGAGAAATTGTATGTACCTTATAACCTTCCTTTTCATAAAGACAGTTGAGTGTCTTTTAATGATTCTTGGCTTAAATGTCTTTCAGAATATTTATGACATTCTGATTAAGCAAACAAAGGATACAGTTAGTGACCCAAAGTGAGTATTCTGCTCTACCTTATGACAATGGATTTCAAGTTGATATTTTTCAGAGTTTTATCTGTATGATATATTCAAGGTTTTCTGATGCCCGATGACTCTGTTAGGTAAGTGGTTGTTAGTCCTATGCACACAACAGCTCTTCAGATTTGGAATGATGCAGTTGTGCAGTGACAAATTATCTGCAAAACCGTTCATCAAGAAACTATAGTACTAATAAGAAACTAAGAATCAAGTTTTTCTTGTTAATGAAATAACAAATCGTTTGTCGTGTCAGAGATTTCTCAATGGTTTAATTTGGTGATATCTTAACATCATCAAATACTTCCCTTTCACAAAGAGCCTTGCTATCATAAAGCCTCGGTTTGTTTGATTTTTAAAAGTTTATGTACAGTGACAATTTTTTTAAAAATAAAGCCTGAGTTAAGGGAAGATTTAGAAGATGCAAATACTTCGCTTATCATTGCTTGAATTGACAGATGCAAAGTATTTATATTTTGAAATACGTCAAGTCTACAATGAAAAAGTTGAAAGAAAAGAGAATGCTTTCTGTCTTGTATTAGATGTCTGAGGATCTTGCTGCAAATGGGGACAATAATAGTGCAATGGAATGAACGCAGGGCTTCCACCATGGTGACAGAATACTGCTGCTTCCATTGATATTCCCTGTATCATATCTACTGTATGTACTGAATGATCCTTGCTTGATATGTTGTTGCGATTTCAATTGCAGATTGGTCCCAGAAGAAGAGAGAGAAGCAAAGTACAACAGGCTTGTATCGTCAACTCTCCTTTCAACGGCGTTTATTATGGAGTCCTTATCAAAAGAAGACACAGGCCAGATAGCAGAGCATTATCAAAACATCTTCCAAGAGAAAAAGTTTTGGAAATTCTCAAAACACGCTTCATCAATGGTAAGTAGACAAACTGCAAAAGAGTTTCTACTTGTTAGATGTTATTATAAGGGAACACCGGAAAAGATTCATTCAAGTTCTTGTAAGACTACTGTTTCATTGCCATCTCGAACTTACCATTTTTATAAGACCTATTTATAAGAGATTTTCGAAATATTTTACCTCGTAGATCAGGAGCGCTTTCTTCACAACAATATCATCGGCTTGTCAGTTCAACACTGAAATTCTTGAAGGCTACAGTTCAGTTGTATGTCCAACTGTTATGTCATGTCTGGGCGAGTCAGATCCGACTGTTATTGGACCATATTGGGAATCGCTACTACACGTAGTTAGTGCCTTTGAGGTAAGCATTTCGGATTATTACCATTACCTCTCGGAAATGCCTGCTTAACACAAAGGTACATCTTGAATGCCAAGCTCTGGTATCAATCCGAGCTATGTTGATATGCACTAACGATTAACGATTGTTTGAAGCGAAAGGCAGGCAGGTATTTTAAAAAAACGATAAGAAACAGTGACACCTCCAGTTTAGGCCTAAAATTCAAAACAATGTCATAGACTAGGCAACGAAAAGTGATTTTGATTATTAACTGTCATATTTTGAACTAGGCCTTGTAGTTCTAAAATGGCAGTTCAAGAGGGTTTCACATTATAATGATCTGTCTTACCTTTAATGCGAACATAAACAACCGTTGTTTGATATTTTTTGTAAATCTGACATCAAGTGTGAGACGCTGAACAATAAAATCTAGACTTTCAAGTTTTAATTTTTGCTACTTTTTATGAATTTCGTTGATATATTTGTACTGGCCTAAAATTGTCTTTGGATTGGCAATCAGCCGTCTTTCGAAATCGCAAGTGCATTGCTCCTTATTGTTGGTTCCTCTTTAATGTGGATCGATATTGTAGGATTCCCTTTTATTTCAGGACTGTTGGATGCACGTAAATGCCAGGAAAGCAATACTCCCTAAGCTTTGGATGGTTCTACGAAACGGTGGATTCGGAAACGCTTCTACAATCTTTCACAATGTTCTGCCTTTTCTAAGCAAAATTCCACAATCAGTAAGAAAAAAATCCCTTTTATGCTTTATGTATTATATACTTTTCTTCAGTTAAAATACTGTATGCATTTTATCCTACTGTTCAGAAACTATCAAATGAAATTTCGCAATTGAACCATTGATTGGCCTCGTTGTTGTGAGCATTAAATTATTCTTGAAATGCTTCTGACGTCATAAAGATAAAAGATAAGATTTAGGTGGTTCATTTTATTATTGGGATATGGGAGGGATATGGATGAAATAATGATGTGATAACTGAATCTGCATGGGAGGAAGGATTTGTAACTACTGTCTGATTAAGCTTTCACATGGCTAACTTGATAAACTCGATACTGTATTTTCTTGATTGGAAACCCCCTCTCGGTTAGAAGCTGCCCTTGATAAGAATTTGCAAAGGTTTAGCCTTTCATTTTCCAATTAATCTTGGCAGTTTAAGCCTTTGGCGAAAATTCCTTTTAGGCCTTGCGTGATTAGGCCTGTTATTCTGCAAATAGGGTACGCAAATAAACACAAGTGTGGTATTTCAAAGCCAAGCCCAATTTCAGACAAATTCGTCTTTATTTAAATGCTCGTGTTAGCAATGTTACTATATTCTCAAATAACCCCTAAATAAAAGCTTATCACTTTTCACCTAAGTATCACTTTTCAGGGTATCGATGTTCTGCTTTTGTAACGAAGTGGTTTTTGTTGTCTGTTATTTCTCCATTACTGTTCCCTGTCTTATTTTTGCATTACAAAAGAATATCTTTGATTTTAAGGTTATCGGTGAAGGGCCCGGCTTCGCAAAAGAGTTTTTCACAAATATGAAGGAAGGTCTTTTTAGTGAAAGAGTGACAGCGACCCACTCTGAAAGCATTGCAGTTATGACTGCTTACATGGAATGTCTTCGTTACATGTTGTTTAGCTGTGCGGACAAAGAAGATGCAGAAAACGAGGATAAAAGAGAAACCATCGAATATCTTATAAATAATGAGGTATGTCAATTGGTATTTCCAGTATCAAATTCTTGACAGATTTGATTTTCTTTCATTAAAACAAAGTCTTCCCCAAAAGGATTATTTTGAACGCCCTGTTCCTTTATACCTAATTTTTTCTCGTTAACTTGATTCATTTCGCTAGGTTTTCATGAAATTTTAGTATTTTGCCATAGTTGATTTAGATTATAATGTGAAAAATGATTCTTGCTTATTATTCTCAGATTAAAGTGTTGCTGGAAAACTTCTTGGAGGACAAGAAATTTCATTGGAAAAGAACTTTCATCTCTGCTTTGAAGGACATGATCCTATATCTCGAAAGCAAAGACTCTCGGGGAACTGCGGGTTATTGTTTACAAGATATGTTAACAATGATCCGCAAACTCATACGCGATTCTACACTAGCAGCAATCAACTTTGAACATGCCGCTGACGGAAGTTTGTCTTTAAAAAAGAAATTTAAGAATCTAGAAGAGATGATCAAGATTATTGTTTTTGATATAAAGCCTTTGAAGAAAGAGCAAAAAAAGCAAGTTTTGTTTACCGCAGAAAGTGTCGTTGATTCCAAAACTGGTGCAGATGGCAGTAGTTTTGAAAGAAATGGAAGATCATCCGAGGAAGTAAAATTTATGCAGAATCAAAGTGATTCTAAAGATACTTATAGAAATGTATCTTTATCAGAATGGGAGAAATTGGTTTTGAAAGATATATGTTTTAATTGCATTGAACTTTTATTCAGAAGGAAAAATTTGTTGTACCTTGAAATTTTAAGTGAAATTATAAGTTGTGTGGAAGGGAAAAATGACTTTGAAAATATGCTTACACATATAATGACCGCAAAGTATTCATTATTAGAAGAAAGTCAACGCCAGGAAAATATTAGGAATTATAGTGATACAAATGAATTGGATAGGTTAGGTGATGGATTTATCGAGAAAGTATTGCTGCCAGTTATGGATGAAGGATTCTCATTACAAGATTCGTATTGGAGCTCAACAGATTGTCAAGTTGCAGTTATTGATTTGTTGTGCCGGCTAGTGGTACTGTTGGAAGGAGATTCAAAGCAGAAATGTCTAATGAAAGTTATCAAAGTAGGTTATTTACTGTGATTTTTTTACAAGTTTCTACATCCTAGCTGGATTTGTTTTTATTGAGACATTCTCTCCACAATGTTTTTAAGTTTTAAGAACCTTGCCCTTTATGGTCATCTCCCTGCCCTGTATGGTCATCTCCCAGCCCTTTATGGTCATCTCCCTGCCCTGTATGGTCATCTCCCAGCCCTTTATGGTCATCTCCCTGCCCTTTATGGTCATCTCCGTGCCCTTTATGGTCATCTCCCTGCCCTTTATGGTCATCTCCCAGCCCTTTATGGTCATCTCCCTGCCCTGTATGGTCATCTCCCTGCCCTTTATGGTCATCTCCCTGCCCTTTATGGTCATCTCCGTGCCCTTTATGGTCATCTCCCTGCCCTTTATGGTCATCTCCCAGCCCTTTATGGTCATCTCCCTGCCCTTTATGGTCATCTCCCTGCCCTGTATGGTCATCTCCCTGCCCTGTATGGTCATCTCCCAGCCCTTTATGGTCATCTCCCTGCCCTGTATGGTCATCTCCCTGCCCTGTATGGTCATCTCCCTGCCCTTTATGGTCATCTCCCAGCCCTTTATGGTCATCTCCCTGCCCTTTATGGTCATCTCTCTGCCCTGTATGGTTATCTCCCAGCCCTTTTATGGTCATCTCCCTGCCCTTTTATGGTCATCTCCCTGCCCTTTATGGTCATCTCCCAGCCCTGTATGGTCATCTCCCAGCCCCGAACTTTCTTTATCTTGCCTCCAAAGGAATTGTTTTGTTTGTGTACTTTACCATTCCTCTTAACCATTTTATCTGGCTTAAAAAACTCTTTTTGCCGTAAACCCCACCCCAAATCCGTTCCCCTTAAACTTACTTTGCGAAATCCGCAAAGTTTTCGCAATAGAATTTTTCCATTTCAATCCTTGACCTGTTTTCTATGTTATTGCTGAAAATTTTTCAATGTGATATTTTTTATTGAGATAACACAATGCAGAATACTCGATTGCCTGCTTGAATTTATGTAGTTTAGCTTTGGTAGAGGGCCATTCTTTTCTTTGTGCTAATTTTATTTGGTTGGTTCTGTTTCTACTTTTCAGCTCTGTTTTTGTTTTTTACTTTTAAAATATCAATATCCCTTCTGTTTATAGGATTCGTAGCATTACGTCTTTGTTCGTATCTATATATGGTTCTTCTTGCCTTACAGATCTCTTCAAAACCCTTCATGTTTTGCAAACTTGTTGAAAAGGTTCGTAGCTATTTTGATATTGATACAATCGAACCATATAACACGTGTCCCATGTAAACTTAAAACTTAGGACCTCCATGTATAAGCATCTTTGACTGAAGTTATCTAGACTTGGCTATGCTACACATGTTTCATAAGTCAAGAATAATGAGTTTAGAAATCGTAAGTTCTCTCAAATTATTATTTAGGGACTGATTGCAAGGAGTTTACTAGTCTATGTTTAGTTGGCTTACTGAAGGACGGTCAAGTAAGTCATTGCTAGAAAGTTTCACAAATCTCTCTTTTTTAAAGGTTCTCGATACGGAAGACATTGATGTTGTGCGACTATGCTTCAAAAGAGGTGAAATCTGGCCAAAACTCATTAACTTCCTTTCTTCGTACTTTGATGGAACAGAAGGCAAAACTGGCGGCTCTTCATCTCTCAATGAAATCTTCTCCTGTTTACAGTTATGCCTCTTTTTTAGAGAAGGTACGCAATAGCTTATTCAAGCTTTATCAAAATATTTGTCAAGGCTCTAAAGATCGTTTTTGTGATTTATATACGTTTCCTTGGATACGGGCAGGTTAAGTCTTTAAATTCTTCTAAGAGACAGTAAATAAAGAACAGCATGAGAGCCGAAACCCTATTATGATATTTTTAAGCGATTACAAGTATTTAGCAGCTGTGATATCGCTACACATAGATTGTTTTTAGAAAGTAGAAGTTCTGGAATTTTTCTAAATCTGACTAAGAAATGAGTATTTTTCCTGTAACTAAGGATTACGTTTGATTCGAACCTTTCTTTTTTTATAAACCAATTCAATTACAATACAGACATATTACATAACTATGCTCTAAAACAATATCTAATTTACAACTCAGACACGATGAATGGCTACACTCGGGATGAAGCAAGCGGAGTATTAATGAAAAATTTATGGAATTTAATGGAAAATTAAAAATTAAGGCCGCAGCATAGGGCAGCTATAATTGAAATTTATCCCTACTTCATCACCGGTGCGGTCATTTGCAATTTGAAGTAACAAGAAGAAAAAGAAAAATATTTTCAACACAGTTAAGGTATTGACACATTTAGCAGTAAACAATACAGGACGATACCACAAAGACATGAATGCGAAAAAGAATCATTGTCTTTTAACCTTTAAGACACAACCACTTTGTCCCAAGCCCAAATTCTTCTGCCTAGCTATTGCTTTACTCTCAATTCCTGAGTTTTGCCTCATCTACACTCGTGGATACCCGATATCAAACCGTTCTTGTTGAAAAATTCATTACATTTCGTACAACTTAGAGGTTCAGTTGCAAGAAAGCTCTTTGATTTGACAGCTTATTGGTTCTCATCTATTGGCTGTCAGTTAATGTGCTTTTGAACTGTCTTATTTTGACTTGAAGGTGAAGTTGTCTATAATTATGCTACGGTTGGGTAGATTGTTTTGTCAAAAATTCTCTCCTGCGATGAAATAGCCTCCTAAAAGGTACAGCATCTTTGGTCCAACGTGTAGCCGTTTTATGTTTCAATGCAATCTAGGCAGTCTACTGTTGTATCAAGCCAGAATTTTATTTACGTTCTAATTTGTAAAGTTTAATTTCCTAACTCGGGAATGAAATACAAAATAAAGGGCATAAAGCTCCCTCAGAAAAACTGCCATAGACATCAGAAGAATAGTCATGAGGCCACGTTCCCACATCATCGAGAGCGAGTTGGGCCGTTGGTGCATCGGCGCAAATTGCTCAACAGTGCCGTCGGAACGAAATTCATATTGGGGGGCTGCCCATTGTTCTCCTTCTCATTCAGTACACTGTTATAAAGGAAACACACTACAGTTTGACAATTATTGGGGGGGCTCCAGCCCCCCCCCAGCCCCCCCGGTTCCGACGGGCCTGCTCAACCTACCGTAAAGGGGTTACTAAGGGAAATTACACAATCACCCCAAATATGATTGATAATTGGGAGAGAATGGACAGGAGAAGCCTCTTTTCCTCACAAATAGCCGATGCACCAGTCCTACCTAATAGCATCAACAAACCCTAAACAGCATTAAAAATGCCCAAAGGTATGAGAGGTTTTTACGATGCCGTAAAAGAAACTCAACACGTAAAGCTATACTGAAAAGGCATATCATATCAAGAAACAAAATGGGGGAGGGAGGGTAGGGAAAATAAACACCCTACTTGTATTGAGGCGTCACCTAGCAAGGTGAGACCTGCGCTTTGCCAAAACCTTAAATACCCCTAAGTTAACCAAGGGAATGAAAAAGCACCAAAACACACACCTTACCCTATTTCACAAATCAAATCCACAGGCGGCCGCAAAACTCTCCGCATTGCCCTTAAACTAGAAGAGCAGATACAAGATGACCACGAGGAAGCGTGGCACAAGCGAACATAACGAAAAGAAAATTATATCAATCTCAAGAGAATTAGGCTCAAAAAGCTCTTTGTGAAATTAACTCTGATTAAATTTAATTCAATCACCATATGATTAATATTTTGGCAAATCCTACCTTTGAAAATTTCCAAAAAAATATGTTTATAAAAAGTAGCCTCAAAGGTGTTTATCTGCATATAGAACAGATAAACAGTTTTAAAACAGTATTTTTTATTTTTCTTTCCATTTATGATTTTCTTCCCTTGTCATAGTGTTTTTCATTTTTCAGGGACACTCTGTCAGCCTGAGGAAACTGATTGCCTGTTTGACATTTTCAAAACGTTTTTGATATCATACACCATTGAGACAACAGCTGTCACAAGTAACAAAATACTGTGTTTGTTGGGAAAGTTTTTTGAAAATGCCAATCCGTCCCAGGAAGTGCCAAAGGGGACTGTGGATTTGCTGGTAGCTTCGTTTCAATTTCTTGTTAACGTCGGCGACAGTGATGCAAAGGCAGTTGCAGAGAAAACGGTCAAAGCTGGAATTTTTTCACTTTTACATTCATCAAATTTTACTAATCAAGCGAGTCTTGAGAGTTTTCTTCAAAAGACAGCTTCAAAAGACAGCGTATTGGGCTCAAACAACGTTTAAAAACACAGTTGACAGACAAAAGCAAGTATTCTATGATTGGTTTAATTTGATTGAAATTATTTAAGTCCTGTTTGCGAATTTTAAAAATCTTTTAACATTTATATAATACTGTTCCTCGTTGCATCCCACTTCTGTACGAATTTTCTATGATCTAGGGAACGGTTATTAGTTGGTTTTGGAAAGAATGGCTTTGTCATATACCGATTGTCCGGCTAGTTAAAATTGCAATTTACTAACATTATTGTCATCTCAACCGGCCTTTTAATTTGTTTCCTTTATTTAGAGTGTCTATTATAGATTGTGGGTTATATTTTGTGTCCTGTTTACTCTTCAACCTAATTTTAGCTATCCAATACAGATGGTACTGAGTGCACATGATGAGCCAATGATCTTATCCTAGTCACAAGTACAATATGCCCGCCACGCAAGTTTTAGTCTTCAAAAGACTTCACCATTCGAAAATAGGCTTAAATATTAGCTAAGATAAGCTCAGTGAGCTTTAAAAGATACTTTAAACATGTCATTTCTCCCTTCTAGACTAAAAGGGCTAGCTGGTTGTTGTGGCACTATCGTGAACTACTTGCATTCGGAGAACCACCCGTCATCAACAACTTACTGCGTGCAAACCTTCCTTACACAGCTCGTTGGTGGTTTGAGGAGACCAGTCGATACTCAAAGCGTATACTTAAAGGCAAATGTGTTTGAAGCAGTCTTGTTAGGACAGCTAAGCATCGATAATTTGCCAAAGAATCAAGTGCCTGATTGCATAGATGATGGAACAAACCTCAGCTCAGCATCATTTGCTGTTTCTCTCATAAGCCACTTGGAGAGGCTGGATTCTCAGCAAACATTGCTACTGACGGCCATATTGGATTCCTTAAACGTTCTTTGCACAGTAGACGGAGAGAGAAAGTCTAAAGAGGTACTATAAACATAAGCATGTAGAATTTTGAGCATACTTCTTGCTAGAATATGTAGTTTGTCAACAGTTTGTGACGTGAAATACATTGAAGTAAGTATATTTTCAAAGCTTCTTGTTTCTCTTATATTTCTTAGGTAGATGAAGAGTCAATACTAACATTGGACTCAGTCTATTGTGATATCAAAGAGTTGATGACTAAAGAAATATTTCCTGTAAAGGACCTGGTCAACTATGCACTGTCGAGGTTTGTCTTTACTATCAAACCATGGTAAACTAGTTGCTTTAGTAATCTGTGCGTACTTCTTGCACATATGGCACATAAAAGGATAAGCTTAGTATGGGTGTACCAGATAAGAAGTAGTTTCCTTTGAAGCACAAAGCCAGTATGTTCTGTGAAAGACTTGCTCTAATAGTATGCCCAGGTAGTTTTATTTTGGCTCTGTCATGATTTCAGTCTTGTTTATCCTCTTATTCGTACTTATTCGCTTTATTGAAAAAATATATTTTTGATTTGAACCGAGATGAAATTTCACATCAAGGTTGGCTTGACTGTGACATTATGAAATTATGAAATTGGCGTTCATTGATGTCAGTTTTTTTCAAGTAAAACTGCAGAAATTGCCTAGATGCATTTCATATGTGAGCTCCATGACCCTTGGAATCCTACCCTGTCTTTGTTTTTCGTGTTTTTGAATGATGCCAAAACCTCTCTTCTCTACTTAACTAAAAGAACCCATTTGAAAGATTAACATAATGACATTTCTTCTGCTGTTTGGCCAAGGTTTTTTCTTGTAGATAGAAACTTGTACTCAGTAATAACATAGTCAACACAATAATCATTTGTTATTCATTCGTTATGTTACAAGGTCTCTTGAAAATGGTGGAATCGATGCCCTTGCTTTGGAAAGACTTTTAAGTCTACTACCACAAGCCTACGTGTTTGATAACCCAATAAGTGACTTGCTAGGCCAAGCAGTGTCCAGATGTGATAATGGGTCTAGCTCGGTTGATGGGCTGAAAATTGTGCTTGCCAATGTGGATGACTTGTCAATTGCAAGAGCCATGGTGGAGCAGTATGTTGATCAGCTTGGAAATGCAGCCAGTGATTGCACTCTTGGTAAGATGTTTTCAATCATAGTTTTGAAATCCATGTCAAGATTTCAATACTTGATATTTGTATACGTATTATAGCGTTAGATAAAGAAAGAACGATTTCTTAGGAGTTTTAGACTAGAATTTTGGAAATATTAAACCAGGGTATGTTTGTCAAAAGTACAAACATGAAAACAAAAGCAGCTTATCTAGCCCAAATTTGATCTGCATTGGTACATTTTAACCTGCATTCTATTGTTAATATTCTCACAAGTTATTAGTTTAGCTAAGCCCCTATTTCAGAACACCCTATTTCAGAACAATTTAGGCGTTCATGATTGAGGAATAATTTTAGTCACCAAAACAGGAAATGATTTTGAAGTTGTAGTAAAATTGCTTAAACCTTTATAAATGTAGCTTATAACTTCATTTACATAAAACTGATGACATATCATGACAGTTTTTGGAACGTGACCCCTTCTTTGTTTATCTTCACATTCTTGCAGAAAATTTGTGCATGATTTTGGTCCGGTCGCAGGAAGAAAAAATCTTTTTCATGCCCTGTATTAAACCTTCTTCCAGACAGAGATGTGTTTTCCATTGCACCTTATTCGGTTTTGAATGGTAGATTAACGATTATACATGACAGCCCTATACTCTCTCTATAAGAACCCTCCTTAATAATGGACGACTTTAAAAACGAAATGAGCTCCTGACTGTCATATCGTTAGGGGCATAAGCAATATATTCAGTAATAAACTACTTCTTTGGTCCTAATTTCTATAGACGATGTATTTCTGAGTCATTTTAATAATTATTACCAGTAAAAAGTTTGGCATAAGAGAATGGCGTAATTAGTATTGGTGTGAAGCAAGTTATATTAAGCTTGGGGATACTGTTTCTTAATCAGCTAATCTGTGATTTTTACTGTAAAATGTAATTCGTTGCAGGGTTCAATCGGTGCATTGACCTGTGCATCACCACTCTTGTCCATTGGCAAAATATGCTGCAAAGAACGAAAGACATGTCAAATGACTTTGGCGATGTTATTGCATCTGTTGTCACAGCCTTGGTTGAATGGAGAGACAATTCGAACGATGCGCTGCTTTTCTCTGCCGATTTGCATGATGCTACAAACGAGCAACTGGCTTTGAATGTCAATTTGATGAGGCTGCTCAGTTTTATTTTGGATTGCGGTGGAGCAAAAAGCCTCGCTGTGAATCACTGGGATTTTATCCTTTGTGGCCTCGCTTCTTGGATACAGGTCAGTGACTGTGAATTTACTTTGTCAGTTTTTAAATAACAATGGAAGGAAAAAATGCACATCAAATTAAACACTATGTGCTCGGTGATTCTGAAGAGGTGATTCTGAAGAGGTGATTCTGAAGAGGTGATTCTGAAGAGGTGATTCTGAAGAGGTGATTCTGAAGAGGTGATTCTGAAGAGGTGGCACTTATATCTTCTAGCTTTTACAAATAAGGAATGCTAATTATTTTTTCCTTTTTTCTGAGCAGTTTGCAAATGGTTTAAGATATTGAATTAGTGTTGAACGGATAAAGCAGTTGGTCTTGTTGAATAGTGAGGTGCTCCTGTGACGTAGTGAATAACACGGTCGCCCCATCACCATTGTGGGAAGATATATTTTGGCTTGGGCGTTACTCACTGCATACAAAACAGAAATCGGGTTAGGAAGGCCTATATGAACCTTTAAAACAAAAAGGTAAGAAAATCGAAGAAAATACTTGAACTGTCTTTATAGCGAATTTGACACTAAATCAGTATTCTGAACGGCAACTAAATCCATTTCCCGGTATTAAGACGTTTAGTAGTTAAAAAGCTGTAAAGATCTCATATAAGAAGAATGGTGCTGATGGTATTAAGATATTTTTTTAGTATTGAGGTGAAGCTAATGCAAATACAATTTACTTTCCGGTTTTAGAGTGAATAGTTTCAAATTTCTAAAGGTTTACGATAGTTCTTTAATTGGTCAACTAATTTTAAAACGTTTTTTGGCAAAGATTTTAGCCACGTTTGCTACCTGTGTACATGATTTATTTTAAACAATCTTTTGGTGGTACAAAACTTGTAAATGGCTTTGAAAAAAGCAAACATTTAGTAAACTAAAACTTTTCGTCTGACACTCTTCAGAGTATGATTTATTTTCTTTACCTAGACTTGTGAAGACAATGCAGACACAATGACGGAATCCTCCCGCTTCTCAATATTTTCATTTTGGGCCTTCAACCTTTGCTCATCTGTAAGCAGGGCTTTCGAAGTAGCAATCGGTAAGTCTTTTTGACAAACGGAGTAATGTTGGTGCAATTCTATAATTTTAAGGGCTGTAGTGAATTCGTCCTTTTAATTCTCGTATCAACGATTATTTTAGTGAATCGATGTCCTAAAATCTTTTACAGTGTTTCCTTGATCGTTGTTCCCAAAAATGGGTCAGAGAATAGGAAAACAAGTGTCCGTTGTTAACAAAATGTGAAGTGATAAATTGGAGCTGCTTCATCTTAAAACGGGGGGGGGGGGTGGTGATGTTTTTACTATCTTGTGAGAAATTTTCCCAAAACGAACCCTAAACAAAGGGACATCAAAATTTATGATGCATCCTGTTCCACCTTTAATGATTCACTTGGCAACTATCACCTTTAACAAATGCCGATTGTAACGGTGATTCTGTACTTGCGGCCGAAACAATAGTCCCTTTTGGCCAGCTTGCATTTAAGAATTTTGATGCTGATGATATCTCTTACAGGCTTTTTCTAACACTGTGTTAATGAGAGAACTCATCAACTTAAACCTTCCAATTCATTTTTATGGTAGTTAAAGCGTGAAAGTAGCTCAAAACTTTCGGAAATATATACATTGATACTGCTCTGCTGTTTTACATTTAAAAGAATTTAATGAAATTACTGTTTGCCGGTCTGTCATAAAGTGCTCGATGCCGTAAAGGAGAGCTGTGCACACTATTTGGTGTATAAAACAGGACGGTTCTAAGCTGCTACCCTGAGTTTCACGCTTAATGCCATCCACTGTTGCCTGATGATCGCATTAAGCGTGAAACTCGGAGTAGCAACTTAGAACTGTCCTATTGTATTTACCAAATAGCGTATTAATAATATATAATTTTTCTTATTGACTTTTCAGGAACAGACGGTAACGCTGAGACCCCTACATTGATATCAAAGACTTCTTGGACCATTGACGCTGAATGGAGTGAGAAACATCAAGGGCGGTTGGTGGAAGACGATTTATTGACGGAATGGCAAGAATTCTTTACACCAGCGATATTTAAAGGAGTTTACTGTTTATATCAACATTTTTCAGGTAATTTTTCAGCACTTTCGTTGCTAATTCTTACTACAAAAGTTTTTAATGAGTGGATTCATGTCAATAATCTGCAACCTAAAATAGGGAAAGGTAGAACCTTGTTGTAATTTGAAGTAAAAGAAACTGTTTTCTGGCTCCTGGAAAACGTCTTCATAGCCCTGTTTGTGACCTAGAAGGTTTTTTTTTTCTATTCGGTATGAAAACTTACAATAATAAATTACCTAGAAAAGTACGTACGAACTACTAGACTACATTACAAGGACGGAACCCAGGAGGAGCAATATAACATGACTGCCTCCTGGGATATGACATGTATCTAAATATAACTAATAATAAAACTATAGCACTACATATACATATACTAGATTATAATAATACATACATAGTAAAATATAACAAGATACACATATACGGTAAATACTTAAGCCATCACACTGGACGCCATTGGAAAACGGGATTTTTCTGGAAGACTTAGTAAGTTCATGAAATCTGCGTCTTCAGAATCTAAAGAGGATTTCCAATCTACATATCAGAATCTAAAGAGGATTTCCAATCTACATATCAAAACTTGAAGAGGATTTCCAATCTACATATCAGAACTTAAAGAGGATTTCCAATCTACATATCAGAATCCAAAGAGGATTTCCAATCTACATATCAGAATCCAAAGAGGATTTCCAATCTACATATCAGAATTTAAAGAAGATTCCCAATATTTGAAACAGATAGCCCTTGACATTAGCAGAAAACACATTGAGATTGCATCTCAGAGAAGGAAGGCGTTTTCAACGTCTTTTATGGCCCATTTTAGCTTGTCAACTAATTTTCTTCATGGCATAGAAGTCTGTGATTCATATTTATCTTAAAAAGGCGTGGTCAACATCTCCCACAGTTTAATGGGTATAATAAAAGCAATGCCTTTTGCACCTCAGCTATTCAATGCTGTTTCAAACCAGGACGATACTGCATCGCTGGCAGCGTGGTTTTACTTTTGCATAGTCTGACGTGTTTAATAAAGACGGCGAAGAAAGGCGATGCAATTTGATACCCTTACTTTCCTGTCAGAGAAAATGGATAGGTCAGCTTCAATTGTTCCCTCGCTCCGCATTTTGTCTCCGCCTGCCTGCTGTTATATTAGCTAATTCCGTCCTGCAACTATATTGGACCCTTAGTTGCTTTAGGACAATTGCCTTGCCAGGGACTGCTAGATTAATCACGTTCACAAAGTGACATATATGACTTATATTGGCTAATCTGTATATAGACGTAGTCACCTTAGGATCATTGCTTTACTTGCCAGGTGCTGCTAGGTTATTTCATTTTTACGTTGAAAAAGTGTCTTATGTACATTTCCTTTTGGCAGCCAAATCTTCAACCACAAGCAGCGAAGTGCCGCCGTATCTCCTGAACGCTGTGTGCAATGCGTTAATTCGGATGCCATCCACGTTGCTTGTTGATATTCTTCTCGACACTAAAACTGTGGAAGAAAAGCTTCGCCAAGGCAGTGATTTAAACCCTTCGCAACCTGAAGGACGATCGTTGAATGACTCTCAAGCAGAAGTAATCAATAAAATGTTTTGCATGTTTATCGATCAACTCAAATCTGAGGTTTGCTGCCTGCAGGTTACTGCTTATGCCCTCCTTTGCAAGTAGGTTCTGTTCATTTCTCTACCAACTGTTTTCTATTCTGCATTTTCTTATTGAGGCCATTTTTGCTTAATTTTAAAGTTTAAGCATTAAGTTTAGTTTTAGCAATAAGTAAAGTTTAGGAATCAATAAGTTGTCAAAATTGCTAATATCATTTGATTTCATGTTTTAAAGATCCATCGAATTTTTCAGGTCTTTCCAGAAATTTTGCAAGTTAAATGTTATTAACAAATTAATCTTTGACATCTTTTGAAAATAATATTCTCTTGAAAATTTTTTTCATTTTGTATCCTGTTTGATTGCCCATATCAGTAGTTTTCTCCATATCATATTTCAGACAAATTTGTTCTGTAGCCATCGCCTTTTTCCATATTTTACTAAGTTGTAATAAGTTGTCAAAATTTTGTAAATGAATTGTTAATATCATGTGATTTCGGGTTTAAAAATATTTCTATCGAAAATTTGTCAGGTCTTTTCAGGGTTTTACACGTTATTCAACGACATTATTACACGTTTGATGTTATTAACACGGTTATATTTGACATCTTTTGAACGGAACATTATCTGAAATTCTTTTTTCGCACTGTCTGGCTACCCATCTCCATATCGCATATCAGACAGATTTGTTCCGTAGCCATCGCCTTTTACCACATTTTACCCTCACCTTCTTGTACAAGAGATTATGACATATCTTATTGTCTATGGCAAAAAACTTTGAATATAAAAGTTCTATATAGAGTTTAAGTGGTTTGGCTTTGCTTGGTTGCCTAATATATGTCCATTGATTACAATATACTCTCCCCCTTTCTTATTAAATCCATTTTATAGCCTCTTAATGATGTTAAATTTTCCTTTTAAATCAAAGGCTAATGCTAGTTGCGCGATCAGCTGTGCTTTCAATGACAAGTGAATCTATGGAAGAGGACGAATACGAGGCTGTTCGGTATGAAATATTTTCCATATAACTTTTTATCAATGATGGCTGCATTTTGAGAGCCATGCTATATTCTGCAGGTGTAACCTAAGGAGTGTATTGCAAGACCAGAGATTCTGATAGGAAAGAATAGATCTTAGAGTTTTATAAGCAATGCGGGCACAAAATTAAGAAAATGAAAAGTAGCGAAATCCTGAGCTTTCCTTTGTTCGTTTGATACGTTTTTTGCATGAGTGTTAAATAGGTCAAATTTTAAACAACACAATGAAAACTATCATTGATAATTTAATTGTTTCATTTGAAGTGTTCGATTTTGTTTCTGTGTGCTGGCTGTACCAGTGCCCTCAATTCACTTCAATTCGCTAAGTTCTTCTACTGTATCTCCGTGACGCTTAATTCACTTTCATTTTCCTTTTTCTCTTATTATTTTAAGTCACGCAAATCTTTATTCTTCTCGAAAGCTGTATTCCTGATAAACAGCATGAAGTGTTGGTATTTTGCCAAGAGAGGCTGCTGGAATACATAGACGATACAGCACTGGGTTTTGGATCATACGTAATAGAGTCACCTCAAAGGACACTTTCACATTGCTATTTAGCATTTCTGTTATCTTGGCAAATTACCCTCACTCAATTTCGAGATGCTGAGCCTGACAAAAGAGCTGGGTATGCGAATTTCTTCCGCCAACGAAACATGACTGGTCCGTTGCTGAAGATTCTATACAGTATCCTCCCTCATGACAAAGGAAATCTGTTGAATGCAGAGCCAGTCTTTATCGAAGGTAGGAAAATGCTCCTCCCCCCTTGTGAAAATTCCCTATCAATTGAAAGCCCCCATTGACAGCTGCAAAAAACATATAAAGAGTTTCGTCATGATATTTTCTCTTTATGTTCATAATCTTGTATTTGTAGAAGTATTTGTGAACTAGGGGATTACATCATATTCTACACGATCTGGGATTGGCCCCTGAAACCTTCAACTTAAAATGATTTGAAAAAGAACATTGTTAAATTCTGATTAGCTTAATTTGCATTAAAAGGAAATTTCAAGTTATTCTGCAAGTGAAGGCATCATGACTTTGTATTTAAGAAATTTGGTGCTGTAAAACAGATCGATGGTTATGAGCATTTTGAAATATTGTAAAATAGAAACATTTCATTTTTAAAATAGCTCTTAACTTAGTTTAGTAACATACAAAAATTTTTATTCATCTCGAGAAACATTTTTATGAAATAGTTTGAATATATGATTTATTCTGTAATCATGTTGTTTAAAGATTCATCATCAATCTTTCTGATCCATCATAAATAAGTTAGACAGGCTTGTTCAATATGCTGATCAAATGAAAATCATCCTTTTTTCAAATTTTAATCATTTTTGTACATTTTATAATGTCACAATGGGCTTCCCCCACTTTTTTAAACAGTGTTCCATTGACCTCCTCTTTTTCTGCATTTGTGACTTTCCTGCGCTTGCAACTTTCATTAGAAATCAGATTTCCTATTGAGCTGTTGCTGTCAACTTATCTTCCAATTCTGTAGACTTCCCCACCCACATTTAAGCATTCCATAATTTATTCTCACCTTTAGGTGGTGAATTGACTCTACACAATTTGAGACAGTGCGCATTTCATGTCTACTTGTCAGCTCTTGAGTGCATACCTGCAGTGATTAGGTCCTGGTGCAACAACAACCTTGACAAGAAAAGTGCTATCATATTGGAAAGGTACAGGGTGCATGATAATTATTGAATATAGAACGATAATTGTTGAGTAAGAGTTGATGTTGGAGTTGTTCTCTAATCTGTTTAAAGGCTCCATATTCCTTTTGATTAGATAGTTTTACCCAGTATTTTCTGCCTTAAGACTTCGCAATATCGGTTTCCCTTTATCCAAAATGTCAGAATGTTGTCATGAGCTGTAACATATCACCTGAATACTGGGCTGTAATGAAATGCTAGTGCTCAAAGTTTTGCTTAAATCATTTTACCTAACCTAATGCTATAACCTATTCTATCTGACTTAGATTCACAACCGCTTTCGCATCACCCATACTCTGCAGTCGTGAAATCGAACAGGTTTCTAAGTCTTCCAAAACATTTACCAACATGGCAATTAAGACGAGGCCAGCTGCAAGAGAGGTTGTCGCGTTGTATACAGTAGAGGAGATTTCCATGGAATTGGTTGTGAAGATGTCTCAGAGTCACCCATTAGGAACTGTTGCTGTTGACTGTGGAAAAAGAGTAGGAGTGTCTAGTGCGCAGTGGAGACAGTGGATGCTGCAACTTACAATGTTTCTTACCCAGCAAGTAGGTTTCCTGTTTGCATATTTTGCTTTGTGTACTCAGTTAAGTACAAAACCCGTGTAAAGGGGAAACTTTGTAGAAAGAAGAAAACCTGAAGAACCAATATACATATACAAAATGTTTGTAGAAGTATTTTTACAATAACAAAATTTTACATTAAGAAACATCCTCTATGAAGTTGCTATGAAGTTAGATAACTAACGGTGGTCAGTATGATATAACCATATTTCGCTTACACTTTTTCTGAGGTGCAACCTTTTTCTTCTTGGTGTAATGCAAACAATTTTTAATGGCCCTGAGCATCCCCTGGAAATAGCAAACCGTTTACAAAACCGAAACGAAGCTCGAGATCTGTTAAATATTATCTGCCTATACGGTATCGAGCACATTATGACAGCTCGTAAACAGTAATCATCATTGAGCTCAAGATATATACTGTTTTTCAACGTGAAACAGACTGAAAATCTATGCTAAGTGAGAACCTCCATGGGGCGTTCAATAGACCTTTCCCCTAATTACGTCATGACGCAATGCATCCTGGTACTTGTAGTTAAACTCGTTCCGACGCCAATTTGACAGCGAGCAACGATATGATAAAGCCTAGGCCAAACGAACGAAAAAATGCAAAATATGGGACCAAGGAGAAAATGCTTCTAGTACTATGTAGTTGTGATTTCAGAAAGGGCTTTGAGGTGGCAGTTACGGTTGTGCCATTATGTGGAAAAAAGTGGGAAAATGTTCAAAACTGGATGCATAAAGACTGTTTCCCGAAATCTTTTGAAGCACAGCTTGGTTTAAAGCCATTTACAAGGGTTATCCACTGGTGGGATTGGTTTTGAAGTTTTAAACCAATTTACAAGATTATACTACATCTGAGTGTAAAATTATACACTGCTTGAAGACTAACATCCCATCAAACCTGATAAAGGCTTTGATTTTTAAAAAAGATTTGCCATAGATATAACCCCTTCTTTGGGAAGGGAGGGGGCAAGGATTATCTGTCAGCACAAGAAGAGCTCAAGACAAATTTCTGCAGTGCAGTTAGACAAAGAACTTCATCATGCTTGACAGGGTGCTGCACATTTTTCTATCAGTTTTGAAGCAGATCTTCATTAACTCTGAGTAAATTGTTTATATTCAACTTTTTTGCCACCATTGATTCAGCAGAAGTAGCTATTTAATTGTGCAGCAAAAAATTAAATTCATTGTATAATTATGAACATTAAAATCTCACAACAAATCACAAGCAAATTTCAGCACCAGGCTGCCAAAATCCATTTTTTCCTGTGTATAGATGAAAAGTTCTTGTTTTAGCTATTAAAAGAATCAAACATTTCCCTTTTATACTTGTTCTCATCGAAAGATTAAAGAACTGACACTTAAGTAATGCCTCTTTGTTTGCTTCTTGCACCTCCGAACCACCATAATTTCTTAACATTTAACTGCCTTTTCTAAAATTTGTTTCCTGATCAGGAGCATTTCGTGCATAGCTGCTGCTACAGAAAATTTTCTTTGAGTAGCATTTGCGTTGTCGTGTACTACCTTGAGACTGGCTCATCAGAGAATCCTATTTTTGATGCTTGCAGGATATTGTGGTCTTAATTTAAGTTTTGCTATTATTCATGCGCTTTAAAAGCTAGTTATCTCATTGCTATTACATTCAACTTAGAATGGAACGATTGTCGATGGCCTGTCCTTGTGGAAGAGAAACGTTGATAAGAAGTTTGAAGGCGTAGAAGAATGTATGATTTGTTTCTCTGTTGTTCACGGAACAAACTACCAGCTACCAACAATCACATGTCGAGTCTGTAAAAAGAAATACCATTCCGCCTGTCTGGTAGGTACTAGTTAATGGAATCACGTGATTTGTCTCAGCCAATCCAACTAACGTAACTGTAGCTCTTAAGGAGACCAGGTGCTCGACTCGCTTTATTGTCAAGAAGGAACTTTGCACTCAAATACAACATATTCTGTCTTTTACCATTCACCTTTTTATTGATATGTTTCATATATTTCGCTTTATGTCTGTGTGTTTGTTTAATTTTCCATTGTTATTAAGAGAAACCTGGATGTATTCTCCTATTTACCTTGGAGAAATGTTGTGTAAAATTTGCTTGATTGCTGAAGTAATTAAGTAAAGCATTTCAAATTCTTGACAATTTTATTGATCTTTGATGATTTATTGAATATTTTTAAAGGTATGTTACAATATCATTAAGCATTAGAACAGAAAAAATCATTCAGTTTAAAGTGCAGTTTTCAAGAAGATGCTGTACTTTTTTATCGATTTTGGGTTTTTCTAATACACCTTTCTATCTTTCTCACTTTCTTTCATTTCTCTTTTTGCAAGAAATACTAAGGTTTTTTCATTGTTTGGAATTGATATGACAGCTAATTGATAAGAATGAAAATCTTTTAAAAATGAAATTTTCTCTTCTCTTTCAGTATAAATGGTTCAGCACAAGCAACAAGTCTACTTGTCCACTCTGTAGAAATTCTTTCTAATATCTCTCGAAAAGACGTAAGAAGCTGAACTGCCACAAAGTTATATGCTGATGCTCAACAGAGATCGACAATGCACGAGTCAGCTTGTGCACCAAAGTACGTGGACATTTAGAAAATTGTAAACAACACAAAACAAACGACAATCGTATCTATAAAATCGTATATTATAACTATAATTTTACCTATGCGAGTACCCATCTTATATAATGAAACATACTTGTGTTCTACTTGTTTCTCAGTCATTACGTCATTTGACAAAAATTGACAACCAGAGAGTGGTATTCTGCCTTTTTTTCCGACACTCCTGCCTTTGGGTGTCAAACCTAATATATGAGCTTTTCCAGTGATCTGCACTTCAGTCACCTCGATGTTGGGGCTTCGATCGTTATCTCTTCATTCAGCTTTCCTTCATCAGGTTGCCTTCGATATCATACTCAAAAGACAATTCAAAGAAATTGACAATGCAAGAAGAGTAATCGAGGAAGCATGTAAACGTTGTGAAGGAAAAAATAGATAGCCATATCGCTAAAGCCGCAAGATTTAGATCCACTTATAAGCCCCTATATCCGGATGAAAGCGCGTGCGCCTTTTAGATGAGGTGCGCCTATAAGCGGGGTGATAGGGTAGTGTCTTCATGTAACATCTTTACACTTGAAACGTTTTATGAAAATACGAGCCTAAAAACGGACAAAAATTTAGCAATAAGTTTATAACAAGCATAGACTGCTTTTAACGACACACCTTTCTTAACACTGTATACTTTGCTAATGAGATGAAAAGCCAATTCCGGATTTACCGTTCCTGAAGGCTCTTAAGCTTTTCCTTTCTGATAAAATTAATTGGCGTCGAGAAAATGTAAGCTCCAGATGATCGTACCAGGCGCTGTTACACACACGTTGTCTCTTAACTGGTTTTAGTGAAGTTTTGCCACGCCTAGGAGCAATTGGTAGGCGTATGTTTCTAACTGTTTTTACATAACAACGAAGAACCATAACACCAAAAGATGAGGTTACGATATTTGCAAATTGCTTTAATTTTACGGGTTTCTGTCAGTTTGTAGAAATCCACTGTTTATATCAAAAACGTTATCTAGCCCTTCGACGTAAGAGTGCATTAGGGTGGAAAATAGCACATTGTCTGTTGACTACATCCAACGCCGCATACCCAATTCAATAACTCACGCTACGCCACTGTGAGCATGTACAGTATGCATGACTGTTTGTGACATAGCTTTATATGTCAATAACTTTAAATTTTGGGTAGGAGAAATCCCCTTGAGGTCTGAGGATACTATCTCTTAGGAGGACTGGCACATTGTCTTTTTTTGCGGCAAGACCAAAGGGTTTTTCCCACGCATGGCATAGGGATACAAGAGGTATAAAACTGCAAGTAGGCTTGTCCATTGCAATCGATCGAGATCAGCTAACTAGCAGCAGCATTAGTTTTATAGTTCTCACTAAAAATACATCAACATTTTTGCATCATGATGTCTCAGAAAATAACTTTGTACTTTTCGACCATCTCAAGCAACCAAAACGTGAGTATTTTTCTATTTTCTTGTAGCATTAAGCAACGCCTAGGCCTATAGAAGCAACGAAGGGTTTGACCCATTATATTGTTAGCGACTACATTAATTGTGCAGCTTTCTGCGATGCTTAAAATATGAATAAAAGGATCAATTTCAACTGAAAAGGAAGTTTTAGATTCTATTAGTTAAAAATTTTGTCCCAACAGATACTTATTTTCACTTCTCGCTGTTGGTGTGCTTCATTTGCAGTTTTTGCCAAAGGAAAAGGCCCGTCCAGTCAGTAAGGGTCTATTGCAGCTCACAATAACTTCAATTTCACGCAACCTGAAATCATAGATTCTATGTTCTTCTAGTTGAACCACAAGAGTTTGCGGGGGTTTGCATCATTTTGTTACAGACTTGCAGCACCGCCCATTTCGTTTCCGTGTTAAAAATTGTTTATTTCTCCTCGTGCCATTTCTTTTCACCTTCAAAAATGTATCAGTTACTATTTGTTCGACCGTTAAACAGGGAATTTGTAATGTATGTTATAACAGAGGCTGTAAATGAACAAAGCGCATATCTTTTTTTTACTTTGTCGCTGGCATATTTTTTTTACGTTGTTCTCGTAGTCGTACGAGAACAAATATGGCGGTATTTGGTTTTTTGTAGTTGTTCTGCGCTAAAAATGTCTGTTCATCGTTGTACTTGAACATCATAAGCTTTAACGCGTTTTAGCGACAGTAGAGTAAATTAAAAACCTGGTAAAATTGTTTTTTAAGTAACATTGCCCGCTGCCAACTGTGCTTAAGGAGTTCTTTCTCTCAAGGAAATACCTATTATTGATCCTATATTGAAAACAATTTCATAGGTTTTCTCACGTTTTATCTGCATTCCATGCTCAATATCAAAGTCTTTGATCTTTCCTCTATAACAGAGTAACTGCATGCTAGATTAAGTAGAATTTGCTCAGTCGATTTAAAAAGGCAAGACACTTAAGGATTTAATTCCATTGTCTTTACACAAATCCTAACCTATCTCAAAGAAAAAATTAGGCTTAAGGCTCAATTGGTTGCTTTGAACATATTATTTCAATTTTCTTTATGAAGTAAGTGAAGTGTTCTTCACTCTATAAACTTGTTTTGCTCCTATAAACTTGCTTGGAACTTGTTTGGCCTAATCTGTTTCTTTATTAGAGGATACTTGGCTGCATTATTCAGTTCAGTATTGATCATGAACAAGGAGACTTTGTGTTTCTACTGAGGATAACTGTTTTGTTTTTGTATTCTGATGTGGTCCAACTGTTATCAAGAATGACTTAACTTTTTATTGTTACTAAACAACATTCCTTCACATAGTTTCCCTAGGCATACAGTCTTTTGTTTGGACATTGTGGAGCTATTTTGTCCAAAATACATTACTTCTAAAGATGAGATGAATTTGTTATTACCTTGAAAATTTTATGGATCATGTTTGATACTCTTAAAAGTTACACTTTGAAACAGTCAAGACAGAAAGAAGTTGTCAATTCTAAAATTTGGTATATATATATTTTTCCTAATTTTTAAATCAGTGAAACAAGAAGCCTTTTAAGGTCAAGCATGATAGTTGAATATAAGCAAATTGCTTTCAATCAGTTACATTCAAATGCTGCAATTATCATTATTGCTTGATTAAAGGATGAAATTTATAATTTTTGTTAAAGATGAAAAAGATTCCATAAATCAAGAGATAGCTCTAGAGAAAACACAGTGTTAGATTTTACAAACTTTATCACTTGGATATGGTAGTGAGTGTTTTTCACATGTAAATAGATGCCAGTTAGTCATTAGCCTAGAATTGCTGGTATCTGTCTGTTCAAGAGTTTCCATGCAACACACCTTAAATAATTGCCAGTTATTTTGTTTCTATGAGCACTAACCACTCTCTTTGTTTCTAAGATAAGGCTTTAAGAATGTCTTATTTGATTATAATATCTTTGTTTGGGGATATAAAACACTGAATGGAATGGTGAGGTCATTGTGATATTTGAATCTGTGTTTAGAAAGCAAATAATTTCTGTGTCCAAGTAGCAAATTTTATTTTGATGGTTTTTGGGTACGAAAGCTACTACGAGTGTCAATATTTGTTTATATTTTTGTTATATCATAAGGAGGTTGTTAAATTCCAGATTCACACAAGTAATTGAAAGACCCATGGAGATTTATTAATTAGATTGAGTAAAAATTCTGAAGCACAATTTTGCTCTTCAGCTAATCCTGTTTGTTCGTTTTTGTTACATATACTGGGTGTTAATAAAATATGCTAAATTATGCTAATAACTAAGCATAATCTAATAAGCCTTTGATGGGTTCTTAAACAAAATGAAAGATTTCTAATAAAATCAGGCAAGGTCAATGGTATATTTCAGGTTTTCTGTATGTAATAATCACTTCATATTTTAAGCTAAATATATATATATAATTATTATATATCTTACTCTTATGGTATATAATGTATTTTAATGCAGATAAAAAAGGCACAACAGAGAATACAAATGGTGCTTGATGGAAAGGGCATAAGCTATGAAATTGTTGACATTGCTTCATCTGTAGAGGACAAAACTAAAATGAGGGAAATTGTTGGTGATGACACTGCACTACCACCTCAAATTATCAATGATGGAAACTACTGTGGTGTATGTATCAGCTGTATCAGATTGTACTTCATTTTTTAAAGCATTTTCTGGAAAAAATGTTTAGCAAAGCATCAAATGTTCTTTTTATATTTAAGACAATTGACTTTTATTTTTCCAGTTTTCAGCAAATTCATTTTTCATCATGGGAATTTAATAGCAGTCTATTACTATTATATGTATGTTTGAATTGTCAGACTGCAGCCAGTTTAACATGCCATCCCACCTTTCAAGTCATTTTTCCAAATGTAAAACTTTTTGGTGGCTGTTCAGTTCTCTTTTTTCTTAGGGCAAACCTGTTTTAGTTTGCAGTAGAATTGTTCGGTTTGCAGCAAAACGTCACGCAAATAGCATTTTCTGAAATATCCCAGTGCCAATTGAGTCATTCCATATGAAATCATCAGATTTTTTACATAATTGTAACCTACTATCTCAGAATTAACTGAATTTGATATCAATGGTTGGTATTATTGAAAAACAAAATTTCCCAAAATTTGAGGTCAATTTCTTAAGCGCGGTTCCAAAGTTATGACAAATTAAAATAATCATTGAAATGGGCGTGGCCCACCCTGATTTTTGCACATCAAAAAACAATCCGTATTCAAAAGACAGTTTAACAATTTCTATGTACACTGTGATTTTAGATCAGCTGTATTTAGTTTATTAAAAGTCAAATTGTTAAGAAAGTCAGCATGCATGAAAGTATACTCTTTGCTGAATAATACCATTTCTTATTTTCTGATTGTAGGATTGTTGATTATGTGAATAGCAATATTGCTTAATTTCCCTACACATTAATCATACAGCAGAATCATGAAAAAATACTTTATATTTTTTTTGCAATGATATGATGCCAAATTGTCATCCTGTTGAATACACAATGCTTAATTTGTTCCTTGATTTTTCTCCATCTCTACTTCAACAGGACTTTGAAGCCTTTGATGCAGCAGTAGAGAATGAAGAGTTGGAGCAGTTTCTCAAAATGAAGTAAAGCACTACTATAAAAGGGAATATTTGAGAGATGAAAGATATTTCAACACAGAATAACATTTATTTTGGTCTTAAACCTTTGCACTTTTGATTCCTTGTAAATTGACAAATTGACTACAAAAACTATCAATTCTAAAGAAAACAAGCGATTCTCTTTACATCCCAAATGTAATGCATTGCTTTGAATGAACTTTATCAGACTTTGCAACCAACACAAGATGTTCACAAAAAGCCAAGAATCAGAGATGTGATTTTGCCTAGACTAAGTTTTGTAGAATATATGTTACTAAACAGTTTCTGAATCTAAGTTTTCCCATGAAAGTCAGTCAATGTCCTTATTTTTCTTCTCCTCTTTGAATTTTTTTCTTCATATTTTGTCAGTTAATTGTTTTCTGCATTGATGCAACAAGTTAGTCACTCTTTCTAAATATAAGAAAATTCATGATTTGATCAGATCAGTGAAATGTTGTTTCAGAGCCAACAATACATTGTCAGGGACTATGAAGAAGGCTGGTGGAAACAAAAGGCACTAAAATACCTCTCAAGGCAGGCACAGTGGAGCGTTGAGAAAAGTGGGGGGTCTATAAAAGTGGGGGGGGGTAAACCACAAAAAGGGGGCTTGAATGATGATTCACTGGCTAATATTTTGTATTTTTGGTAGAAAGGGGGAGCTAAAGCCCTGTAAGCCCCCCTGCTTTGTGGTGCCTGCAAAGACCCTCACCTTACATCACAATTATTTCTGAAGACTTCTCCAGAGCATATCTGTATTGCCCAGAGGAAGGATAAACAATTCTATGGACTCTGTGTTATTTAGATTTCATTGACTCTGAATGAACCACAGTAGAAAACCTCATTTTTGCACTTTGATCACTTATCAACTATTATCTTATTCCATTTTCAGTCATTCCATATATAACATTTGAAGTATTTGTTATAAATTAACAAATCTGCTTGAAGAATAAGTCTATTTCTTGTATGTTCACTGTTTTATTTTGAAACTTGTGCATTCTTTAAAATCTCTTTCAGAACCTTTTTCCAGTTATTTTGCTGGGGACATAAAACCCCTTATTAACTGGTTACCTTTCTGAGTCTTTCTTCGTTTATCAAAGTTTACTGTTGGGAAGAATAATTTCAAAGCATAAGATATTTAAATTTCGAAAACTAATTTTCATTCTAGCTAATTCTATTCCAAAAAAATGCAAATAAGGGGTTAGAGATCCAACTATATTAAGAAACTAAACAGAAAATTGAAGCCTAATCTTAAGTTAATTTTAAGATTTCGAGCAGTTTCTTAACGATGAGAGTGACCAGTACTAGGATTTCTTGATTTTAGCGGTTTCTTAAAAATATTAATGTACCAACCTGAAGAAATGAAGAGCCGAGAGGCTGCTTAGATGCGTTGACTATTCGCCGCACCTGCCCCCCCCCCTGCAAACTAAGACTATACTGTATGTGGTTAAGAAGCTTTATCGTTTCAAACTTTTATGCGCTTTAAAACCGTATTTTACAGTTAAATGTGTTGTTTATCTAACGGGCTTTAGCTACAAGCTTCAGATTGGAAACCCAGAATTTTGTTTTGGCAACCCGTTGATAAAATGACTATTATGCTCGCGATTTTGTTTGCAAAAGTGGTAATGACTGTCATGATAAAGCGTTCATTTTATACTACTATTACTAAGACGTCACACGCAGTTAATACTGCACGACGCGTCTCACTTTGGCCTCCCAATGCCACGCCAGTTCTTTCTATCCTGTGTCAGTTCAGATAACGTTTGTGCTTCTTTTGAGAGATCCAGTTTAATTCCGATGCTGGCCAAATCTTGCCTTACTGTCTGCATCCAAGTCGTCTTTGGTCTTCCTTGTGGCCGTTTTACTTTTATGAGATATTCATCAAGGGTTTTCCTTGCTGGTGTTTCTGGATGCAAGCGCATGAGATGTCCTAGCCATGTTAGTCTCCTTTTTCTTATCATTTCACCCCATGGTTCACATTTCGTTATGACATAGAGCTCGTTGTTGGGAATATTTCTTTGCCAGTGACTTCCTAGGATCTTTTTTAGATGTCTACGATGTTTATTTTATGCCAAGTATAAAACCGTTCCACCCCTTAACTAATTCCATTCGCTTAAGAAACGATCTAAGATATTTTTGAAATCCTTTTTTGTTCATGTAAAACCTATGTATTTCATGAAACCAAGTAGAGTTGCATTTCTACTTGGGTCAATCAGACGTTGTCGAGAGCTTTTGGCCAGGCTCTCGACTTTCTGCTCGACCTTTGTGAATCAATGCATGCGCAATATGCAGCATCTGAAGTTTGCCCGCCACAGTTTTGTCTGTTTTGTGATTTCTTCGGATTTCGGACTTTTGGTTCGAATAATTTTAGAATGGAAATTTGCAGTGCGTCGACTTCGCGTTTGATGAATGTTCAGACTGCAATATCTACAACAAAGAAGAGCAGATTAGTAGCCCTTCAATCAGCGACGAAGAGGAACCCGAAGGCTTTGACGATGAAGCCAAGAACAATTTAATGGTGCTAGCAGCAAAAAATTATAATCGCGAGCGAAAAGCCCCTAACTAGAGCCTTATTTGTGAAAAGTCGAGTGAAGAGTTGAATGAAAGTCGAGATCGTTTGGACACCCCTCTTTAAATAGCAATTCACCGCTCGATGAAAAAGCACCATATTTGACAAAGCAACACAGTGGCATAAGCCACCTGCCAATCATCTTTTGGCCAATCAGTAACCGTATTTGTTGTATCGCGCTTATTGATTGGCCAAATTTTTTAATTATCAGTGGCTTAAAAACACTTTAGCATCTCTCTATTGCCTATAATGAAAAAAGTGCTTGTGCCGTTTTCGCTGTCCTTGTGTGTTTTTGATATTGCATATTTGCTGTGTCTTTGTCTTTCTACTTTTGTTTCTGGTGGCGTTACTTAATGCTGTAGCAATATTCACGATAATTTCATGTAAATTCATCAAATATGGTAAAATACTCACATTGGGTAAGTAATGAGGACATAGCTACTTGTTTGCCTCTCTTTTGCACTTGTAATGTGTTGGAGAAGCAGCAAAAGTGATTTTCAGTACCAGTATGTAAATTATTCATAAATAAAGAGTCAGTATATAACTATGCTACATTTGGTTGAATCTGTTGGTTTCTTGAAAGGAGGTTGGTTACTTACAGAAGTATATTTATACGTAAGTATATTTAAAAGTAGGCTTCACCATGGTTATCTTTACACCTAGTCTTCATGTTTTGTATATTACCAATATCAAGAAGTTACTTTATATCCTTATGTTACCACATTCCAGCTTATTCAATAAACCATTATTTTTCAGAGAAATTAAATATGGGAACAAGTCTACTCCTGCAATCATGTCTTCTCTTGCTCTCAATAACCTGGATTGGATGTGTTCCCGTTAAAGAAAATGTGGTTGGTCATTCTAAGGTAAAATGGAAATCGTTGGCTTTTTGTCGTGTCATTTTCAAAGTGTCATTGCCTGGGATGATCTTTCTTTCTATCATGCCTCGCTCCATCGTATTCCATTCAATATCCCCCCCCCACTCCCCCCTAAACTACACCAACAAAAAACACAGCAGATAGGAGCGTTTTATTCTTTATCGTCTCCTTCATTACATATAACTGGCCCATGCCGATAGTATTTTTTCAATACTGTGAATTCTCGAATTAATTCGGTGGGGGTTCATTAATTTAGGCAGTTATTAGACAGATGTTTTTTCAATGGAGGGGACCTTATATGAGGCAAAGACCGAAATACAACTTTTTGGCTGAGGGGGGGCAGCTCTGATAAATAAGTGTAAAAACGGCCAGCTCTTACAAAATAGAAGTATTTCACTTATACTACTTAGGTTTTTTGGGGGTCAGGCCCCTACGGCCCTGCGGTACCTCGGTTCTTGATGTGAGGAGTATAAAAATCATCTGATGGGAGGCTTATAAAGATCATCTTTAAAGTTGCGATACAAATAACTAATTGTGTAGCTAATTTTCAAGTTAATTTCTTTTCCAATTTGCTTGAAAATTCTTTTGGAAATATTAAATCAAAGTCAAGAATTGTTTATTTTAGTCTTTTCATTCACCACTGATTATGCCCCCGCGAGGTTTATTAAAGCGCAAAAATTGGCATGTGGAGGACTTGTTTCATGGTGGAGACTTAAAACTTTTCACTGTCAGGGTGAGGCTTATACGAAAGAGGGGGTAATTCAAGGATTTACGGTAAATGCTGCTATTGACATAAAATATCAACTTGCTTCTTCCTTGTTGAGAACTTTTTTTCAATCAATGCAATTCCACACATCAAATCAACTTTAATGCAACAAAGCTTCCTTGGTCAGTTGTATGGAAACTTCTCTTTTCATTTCATAGCGAGAAGATTGTGGAAATTTTGAGACATGTTCCAGCCATTCAGATTGCAGCCCCGGTTGCGATCTTTCTTGCAATGAATATTTCGGTATCTGCGAGCCACGCCGTACTAACCAAAACCCGCAATTGCTTATGAAAAGATCACCATTTTCATCAAAATTTAAAAGAGGTAAGGATATTTTTTTCGCAAAATCCCATTTGTGCTCTCTTTGTTATAACAGTCAAATGAAAATCGTTCTTATGTCTACTGTTTCTGAAACCTATTTTCAACGTAGAAGCCATATAGAAAGCTTATTATCTTTGTTCTAAGTAATTATACGATACCTTTATGATAAAGCTTAATTTTTCCCTTTCGACGCCCCTACGACGAATGCATGTATCATTCATGCACAAAGGTGTAGTTAAACTACGGTAATACAGGTTTTTGATCATCTATAACCAGATTGTCAGACTCAAGTACCGAAGCATTAAAACCTAAAAACAGGTTCTAGTCATGTGTAAAACAACATAAGCATCTATTTACGAAACCAAAAGGGACTTTTGAGTTGGCTTTGGAGAATCGGACTACTGTCAATATTGTCAACAAGAAACAAATTTAAATAGCAATGTATAGCAAAAAATATTGTATAGCAATGTATTAAGGGAATAAAAGTAGATGAAATGTTATTCTATATCAAGTTGTGTGAGAACTATATACTCGGAAGCAGGGGTGCCGTCCTGAAAAGTTTTGGAGGGGGGGCTGTGTTGTAGGCAAATTCACAGGCCACACTACACTCTTACCACACCCAATATTCTTGCATTTGTTTTCAATCTCTCCGTTGTGTGTCAAAATCATTCAAACAGTGCGATGACACAAAAAGAATGATAAGAAACTGCTCATTCATGAGAAATTTATAATATAATAAAGGGTTGCCAACACAGAATTCGTCCAGCTAGACATGGACTCACTTGTTAAGGGAGGGCTGAGCCTCCCTAAACCTTTCTGAATTTTTACAAGGGGGGTTGAGCCCCCTTAGTCCCCCTCCACGGCACCACTGCTCGGGGGCTATTGCTAAAAGACATTTGTAATCTTTGCACAGAACGCTTAAAATCGTATAAAGAGCTGGAGGTAGCTCGAGAGCCTTGAGTTTGAAACCCCTGATTTCTAGAACTCCTGTTGCCTAAGATTTTTTTGTTTATTCTCACTTTAAATCTTCTAACTTGCAGGAAAGAAGCCTCGATTGCATAAGAGCAACCAAAAAGGAAGATCGTCATTTTGAAAATCTTGAACAACAGCATCTTCATCTTTTTAAGCTACTGTCTTTATTAACTTTAATAATCATAAATTTGATGTAAACATGACATTGCCTATCATATCTTAAAGAAAATGTAATCTAATATTGTATCTTTTCAATGAATATCTAATCATTTTTGCTCATTTTGCTCTTTAAATGATAGTTTGTTGGTGTATGTATAAAGAAAACAATTAATCTTGTGAGTAATAATAAATAAGTATCAAAATACAGTGTAAACACGATTGCTTATTGTCATTGATAAAGTTTTTCAATTGAAAAGTTTTGTGTTTTTTAAAGAGCAATGCTTGAAAGACTTTAAAAGAGCTCAATCATCTTGTAAAAAGTGGGGGGCCGTGGCTCGCTCCACCCTTACCCCATCCCCAGGGGCTCTTCTTGGTTAGTCGACACACTCCATAGTATAATTTATTGTCTTCGGGCAGATATGGGTCAATTGTTGAGCAACATGTTAATGAGCAACAGGCAATCGACGTACTAAAGGGATATGTCATATGTCAATCAAAAATTGACCAATCAGTTAGTGTGATTCCACTCACACGCTCATTGATTGTCTAATATTGATTGACACTTTTATGTTTATCGATTGCCTTTAATATCTTTGACAAATGTTTTGGATCATGTACGTTTATAAATAAAAAAGAAGCGCACGTGCCCATACCTGAACTTGGAAGATTTCGTTGCGGGACTCTAGAAAATCCTTCTTTATATTCTGAAATTTTTATCACTTTTCTTGAGTTGATAAGATAGGCACTTTCATTTGCATTATCATCATTGTAAAGCTGACTCTGAGGGACCTTTTTGTGTACGAAGAATGAGTACACTATGTGGTGGTGCGCGGGGAACGCATACATATACCTATATTCTTCATCGTAGTGATATGACTTTTGCAAATTAGTGAAATTGCTTAGGTTTAATGACGCAATCTTTTTTGTATGCTGTCAATCAGTCTGTTTTGATTTGTTAAATGCAAACAGCTCGAAACCAATGACTTTTCCAACTTACTACTTCGAGTAAAATCAATCTGTTTGAAGTATGCACAGAATACGCTTAAAAAAATTCATGGATATGGCAGATGTAAATAACAAGTTAAAATGGCTAACGTACAATAAATATCAATATACACCTGCATGAAAATGGAAATACCACAGCTCCAAAATAGTCACTGTCTTATGTTTTTTCGAAAAGAGAGTCTTAAATGAAAAATCTCTAACCATCGCTCTTCTCGCAGCCCTTCTCTTTTTCCCCAATCATAGAAATTTTTGCAAAACGGCCTGATAATAGCATTAAAGTTTTCAAGAATGAGATAAACCGAAAATATACTGTAAAGCCTTGTAAGAATGACGCACTCTACATCAAAGACATCCGAGTTAATAATGTCAAAATACATAACTCTGTCATTATAAATAAGCGAGATCAAGCTGTCTCTTCTGCTTTGTGGGCTCAGGGTAGATTTTGCACAAAGTTCTTTGTTATTTAATAAAAGGCTAAACAATTTGTAATACAAAACAGATGTATTGTTTGTAAGGTGCAGATGTATTTTTCACTTGGAGAAACAAAAATCCTATCTCAGTTGTTTGAATTTATGTACAATTCTCTAGATCTGAACGTACAGAAAATGAAATCTGATCTTAATGAAGAAATGGATACTGAAGCAAAGTTGTTTCGCAAGGATTGATTTTAAGGCCATTGTTTTTTAACTAACATACTATAGCAATAAAAACATTTCTTTATTTATATGACAAAAAGATCTGACAATCAAGTGACAATCCGGTTTGACTTTGAACATTCAGAATATAGAAGATAAATCGTTCTGCAATAGTTTTAGTTTCATTTTTGGTTTAAATACTTCCAAGTGATAAAATGCTCTTGAATTTATTCTAACATAGATGAAAATACGAATCCATCTGCATCAAGTGGAGCCAAGATTCAAATCAATGGCTGTGTTATCAATAAATGAAAGTGCAAGTAATGAAAGGGCATGATCATTAACTGTTGTGAAAAGATCATTGTATCTTGAATCGGTTTTCGTGTCTGACCAGATTATCTAAAAGAATAAACATTATATAAATTTAAATGTGCAAAATCAGCGAAATTTGCTGCATATTGCTTGATTTCTGTCCAGATGATCACCGGATCTTTCGCACTCAAACCACTGTAACATCGCTTTGGCTCTAAACTTCATGAACCAGGCCAAAATAACAGTAATCCTTTAGCAAAATGAGTTAATTACTGATTACTAGCTACTGATTACTGGCTACTGATTACTGATTACTGATAACTGATTACTGATAACTGATTACTGGTTACTGATTACTGGTTACTGATTATTGATTACTGATAACTGATTACTGATAACTGATAAATGATTACTGATTACTGATTACTGATTACTGATAACTGATAACTGATTACTGATTACTGATTACTGATTACTGATAACTGATAACTGATTACTGATTACTGATAACTGATTACTGATAACTGATAACTGATTACTGGTTACTGATTACTGATTACTGATAACTGATAACTGATTACTGATTACTGATTACTGATTACTGATTACTGATTACTGATTACTGATTACTGATTACTGATTACTGATTACTGATTACTGGTAGTAGTGATTACTGATTCAAAACAATGGAGTTGTTATTCAAGATATATGGATAAGATATTTTATCAAACTATACCACCTTGTCACAAGAATATTATGAAGTTGCCCTTTTTTGTTTTCAATAGTTCAACTAAACTTGTAGCCTAATCATGCATTAGTAATTACGATTATATTTTTTTAATTTTATTGCAGTACAGAAACACTAATTTCAAGACAACAGTTTTTTAGTGCCTTGCTAGAATTTTCACATAAAATATGTTGAATGTTGTAATTTGAGAAAGCCAGTGATAGTTGATGCATTGTAAGATCGATAGCCTCATAATCAACACAAGCGCATGGATGTCACATTTAATGCATTAATGCTGTTCAAACTAACCCGAAACATCCACGCAAAATAGTTCTTTTGACACGTTTAAGCTACTACAGGTGGGTAAGTGAAAACTAAATAATTTTAAGTGTCACTAATTGCTGTATACTTAAATGAAATTTTTGGATGTGCTTTCCAATATCACGAGTTACATACTCATCGGCCACGTGTCAAACTGTTAGAACAAACATCTCTATCGTTTAATGTGTGTGCATAAATGTTACGGTTATTATTAGATACTGACTAAAATTGTTATCAGGTCTTAATAATTAATGAACATATGTTTATTTAAAGGAAAATGATGATGACGGTTAGAAGCTAAGATAAGCTGCGAGGACCATCAAGCAAAGAAATAAAGAAGGTGAGTGAAATTTTTAGTTGAGTTTTACTCTGACATCTTTTATTTTTCTGATATTCACAAATACGCTTCAATATTGCATAAGAAGCATCATATCTGAAAATAACGTTGTAGATATTATCTGGCTATTAGGCCAGTGTATTAAGGAAAAAGGAAACAGGCATTTTGCCCTTATGCGTCTTGCGGTAAACGTTCCTCTAAAATATCTTCCTCTCAAACTATTGATGCGTTGCCATTAATGAGTTGCATCCTTCAAGAATGAGATCGAGCCCGTATTCCCGTTTCTTTCGACTATAAGATTGGATAAAAAAAGACATATATTGCTATTTTGAGCTTATTGGCAATTGGTGAAATGCTTCGTAAAGTCGATAAAAGAACATACTGCAATGCATTTAAAGACCTTTTAACATTATAACTAGCAGACAATCGCTCTTTCCTAGTGACTTTCCTTTTTTAAGACGATGGGCTATTGCTTGTTTTATAAAAGAACTTGACCCCGCAAGTGAAGTCCCCAGAAAAGCCGTAACAATAAACAACAGAAAGATGTTTTTGCAACCTGTTATTCTAGAACAGCATTGCGTATGATATTTGAATGGTCTGCATTTCGAACAAATGCGCCAAGTAAAAATAAACAATGCAAACAAAATATACAGCTGTTTATCTCTCTCTAATTAGAAACCACCGAGTTAAGTAATCTTTGAACGAGACGTCTGTGGTGTTAGGTATTCCGTAAGATTACGTATATTTGATTCTACAGGTTGCTTGCAGATGCAGCTTATTTAGCACAAAATGTAGTATCATTCCCAACACATAATTTTTAACTAAGCAAAAGTTACCATTTGTTGTATCAAACATTACCAATCTGTAAAATGCAAAAATCTATGAACAGCAAACGGGACATGTCATGTAAAAGTTGGATAGGGACCCTAGGACTGCGTAAGCGGGGGATAAGGACCAAAAATTCGAAAAATGTACTCAAAACCATACAATGAATAGCCTTACACTTTTCTTTTAGTTTCTTTTGATGTACAAATCCTTTCAGCCTCTCAAGTCCGTAATTTGTTTCTGAATAGTACAGATCGCAATCAACTAAAGAAGATCAACTACGCTTTAGATTGAATATTTTCGACCAATCGGTAACCAGTAAACCCTTGCACTTTTTCTATAAGAGACTTCCAATATAAGCCTGTCAAAAAATGTTCATTGTACTTGATTGGACAGAGAAACATTGCTAATTATCCCTTCCCGGAGGCCATTTTTTTATTCTTTTGAAAGAAGTGGATATTCATCTAGAGAAATTTAGGCCTTATGACGACTTTTGTATTGGACGACTGAACGCAGCTGCTCTTGATGATAGGCAGTTAGGGTATTACGTCCAAAATATAATTTCATATAATATAATTCCTCGTCATATATTTTCCTCGATGTGTTTTGAAAACGAAGGAATTTGTTTTAAGAGTTCTCCACGGAAAAATATAGTGACGTTTGGTCTATAATTGCAGCGAAAATCTAGCAAAACTGGAATTAGGGTATAACTATAGTTTTGTTTTGCAATATTTTACTGATACATCCTTGCCATGACATAATTTAATCCCGAGATAACATATTCTTCAGGAAAGCAACATTCATCATGGTTTATGAAACACTCCTGAAAACCAGTTTTTTATTAATGTTCATTGGATATGCCATCTCTGTTCCTGTAACTACAGAGAAAGCTGACGATCAAGAAAACGAAGTGTCGATTGACTTTCAGAAGGTTAGTTGCCGTTTAAAACCAATCTATTAATCTTAATAACCTTTTTTTTCCATCCTGGTACTTCAAATGATATTTTTCTTTAGAATAGACTTGGAAACAGATAAGCGCTGTGAAAACCCGGACCAACGATCGTATGAGTAAAGCCCAATACGAAGCTGCTTCTTAATAGCATTTTTACATGTTCTACGCAAAAGCCTATAACGACCTTTGTGAAAGGTCCATAAGACTCCTCCCCCTTTGGCCTCTTGATATTGATTCGAGAAACACTGACCACAATCTGCAATTCTTAATATAATTGAAGCAAAGAGAAGCCATTGGTTGGATTCCAGAGCTTGCTATTATTTTGATATAAATTTCCCTTCACAACAGAGCTTACTTCGATTGTCTCTCTCTATTGAAAAAGATTTCTTCGATAGTACGTTGTCCGAATATTTTACAATATTTTCTCTTGAATGGTAAGAAATATTAGCTGAATCCCTTTACTACAACTTCCATTGTATATTGTGTATTTGTGTGTTTCAGAGATCATCTGAATGCCCCATTCTTTGCACTGACTACTTCAGTTATCTTCAATGCAAAAGTTGCTCTATGAGTTGTAACCAAATTACCCACATATGTGAACACAAAATCAAAGAGGTTCCCATGAAGATAATCAAAAAGCTGCCTGGGGACACTGCCGAGGACACAGAAGATAATGAAGTATCCGAAGACTCTTTCATAATAGATACGGAGAAATAGAGACAGAAAAACGATTAAAGGCCTACAAGTGACTATAGAAACAGCTATTTCTTGTATTTTGAACTTGCGCTAGTTATGCACACCTTTCGTTAGAAATTATAACTCAAAATTAATCATAGCTCATTAATTTGTAACACGGTTTTAAGAAAATGACCTTGTTTTCTCCTGAAACGTTTAGGAATGTCAAAAGTTTCTTGGCATTTTAGAGCTAGTCCTGAGAGCTTCATAGCGGCTCAAAAATACCAATACTGAGCTTCTCGCAAATCATGTGTGGGTATTGTTTTTATCGTTTATCTCATTGAAAAAAGTTTGTACGTTTCTGATAATAAAAGTTCGCCATTATTTTCCTGCATTTAGTTCTGATCCGATATTATTGTGAAAGTTACACTTTGTTTTAAATATCAGACTTGTAAGAATATCATATAATATATAGAATGACTTTAACTTATCCCTAGTAACTTTGTTAGTTAGTGTACCTAGAAGAAATCTTACATTTTTTGTTAGAAGTGTTTGGTTTTCACCAAGAATTTATGTATCATAACGCATGTTGAGTTCTGAGAAACAGAAATTTTTTTTGACGTTGACAACTTCAATTGCAAATTTGATTGTGACATTATGTTCCTTTTGCAATTTTTCTTGTAAGTACTGTTATTATTTAAAAGAATATCCGTGTATACTTTATTCGCAAAAAATGTTGATAGAAAGATAGGATGTAGTATCACATTGCGTTAACTTAGAATTCAATCAGAACCAATCTTGAATTTGCCTAAAAATCCGATGCATAACTTCTTCTTTGTGATAATGCAACAATCAATGGAAAAGGCTAAAAACAATTTTACGTTCATATGGGAGAAGGTCTCATATTTTCTGTGAAGGATGTGAGACATGTCGATACATAAAAACAACAATAATCTTGTCATGTTAATCAAAGATTTATCACATTTCAAGAACCGTTTGTTACGGCTGCAGTCCATCTATGCAATAGCTGAACGCGTTTGCAGCTCCTGTGACGTCTTTATTGTGAGAAAACCCTGTTTGTTATCGATGAAAGGTTAACCTTGGGTATTTTTTTCCAACGCCTTTAAATGTCCTGCAAACGGCATCTATTTGATTTTATGGCCTGTTACACACACAACTACTCATCCCTTTCACCTACACATACCCTTGTGTGAGGATGGCTCAGTTGTTAGAGGCGCTGACTACGGACCCAAGGGCTTGTGGTTCGAGTCCCTGGCATGATAAAACTTTCACCCAGAGGTCACATCGAGAGAAAGGACCAGGACACTGCTCGATAAGCATCAGCTTCTCAGTGTCCTAAATAACTACCTTCGGATGCTAGGTAGAAACAAACAAATACACATACCCTGGGTACCAGACTCACTATATATATATCTTTCATATAGTGAGTCTGGTACCCAGGGTAACCTACACACAACTTCGCTTTTCAATACAACTTACATGATACTTAGCCTCTCACTATTACCAATTGCCTTTTCGTCGCTTTGATATTCTTCTTACAACCATATTTTGTTAGAAGGCAACGCCAAAAAAAAATATTTAGTGAGCTATAAAGATAAGTTCAAACGAAAGTGCATCTTCGAAGCTGGCAAATTGTTTACTTTTAACACCTAAGAACAATTCTGGCAGTCAGATTGAGAAAGTCATTCGAAGACAACAACCATTTATAAAGTCGTTAAAAGAATTCAAAGTTCTTTTAACTACAAAGAAAAATTTTATCTTTAAAAATACAGATTAACAGTAATTATGTACAAAATTGTTCCAAGATTCAGTTATTTCACTTGCGATACTTGTGGTAATCCTCTTGGACTTGTATTGAAATAACAATGTTTAGAATGCTTCTTGCAAACCAATTGGCAGTACTTTTCGCTGTGACAGTCGCTATCTTTCTTGCATGGCGCAAATAGGGCATTAAAACACTTGCTGTTTTGCTAGAAAAAAGGAATCGATCACACAGATGGAGAAAAATACAAAATGGATGCATGATAAATTATAAACAAAATGAAAATATTCAAATCATAATTGAATGTTTGGACAAAAAAACCATGATGCTAATAATATAGAAATTATTAGGAATTTGTTGGGTTTCTGAAGAAATTATTAGAAAATTGTTGATTATGTGGCGAATTTGGTGGCAAATTTGGTGACAAATGAGAATTCAATGATTAATTATTCAGGTTTCCAAAGAAAAAGAAGCTCAATGATATTTTGAGAAAATTTTCAATTATAAAACACAGTGTTTTTAATCAATATCAATAATTTAATCAATAATTTCCAATAATCGAAATCGTTATTAGCGTTTTTAATGAAGTCTTTTAGATAAATGCAAATTGAAGGAAGTATGAAAACCTGCAGGTTAATTTAAACATTTGAAAAAATTCCTATTTAAGATTGAGCCTGAGCCTGAGAGTGCATCGCCTTACATCGCAGTAAAATTGAATGAGGATTTTAATCTATTATGATGTACAAACTGACAAGCCTAAAAAATATCTTACAAAAGTCTCAAAAAGTTCATCTTCTTGATACAGCTCATCTTCTTCGATGTAGCGAGTTTTGCACCAGGGAATTGTGACAGTAAGCAATACCACAAAAATGAGGAAGCTTCTTGTTGCATTATTTGCCATTACCTGTAAAACCAGTTACAATAATTTTGTGGTAACAAACATAAGATTTTCCAGTTCTACTTTGTACACAAGTTTCTAAATGTTGTATCTACAATTGCTTTAAAGGTGTAATATAAACAATCACTTTTTGAGATGGTACACTACTTTTTGAACGAAGTGTATATTCTACTTGATTATATAACAATGTAATTGGATAAGGTTAAGTTGGATAGGGTTAAGTTGCCTTAAGGTTTCTCTTAAGGTTTTAGGGTTAGTCATAATTATCAAGGTTTCTCAAATGCTCTAAATTAAGGAGTTATGGAGTAGGTGGAAAATTCTGATGACGACTGAGTGGCAAAAAGAAATAAAAGGAGACAGGAATTGGGGGTTTGGGGTTTATGGAATATACTTTTATATTTAGACAGCCAACAAACACAAATTTATTTGCCGTTTAAGCTAGGTTTTACAGAATCATCGCCGCAACCAAGCTCAGCCTTGATTTTACATTGTGCAGTTATACCGGTGCCAAACCAAACTATAATTTTACCCATAATGGAAAAGTTCGTATGACAATTATTTAGAAATTCAACATACTAAAAACAAAGTGTAAAGCATTGAGTAAATAGTTAAAAACCATACCTATATGTCCTTCAAAGGATTTCGTTTTCACTTGATCTTAGAAACACAGCACGAGCCTTTTCTAGCAAAAACCAATTCCTTCAAGAATGATTTGAATCTCGTGGCAGAGCGGATGCCTCGATTTTTATGTCCTTCATTAAACAACAATGCTACAGAAATGTCAATTAAAAAGTTATCCATAAAGACGACTGAAAAATGAATGGTTCCTTTGCATTCTTGACAGTTTCAAACTTCAGATTAATCATTTTGCTATTGTTAATAATTATCGTTATTATTAGTAATCGAGCCTCTATTTATTTATTGCTGTGCAACAGTGGCTCTTTAAGGTGAATAAGTGCAATAAGAAAATGTTAATTGCTTCTTGTTTACACTTGTATATCTATCTAAGTGTGAACAATATGCCGGATGGAGCTAACAACCATTAAGATGATTATCAATTCAGGGCGTAATGACAAATTAGCAAATAAAATCTGATTGCAATTTGGTTGCTGCTGAAATGTGGTAATGAAATAGAGGCAGGGCCATGCTCCTTTACATATCTGTGCTCCTTTTCATTTTACATCTGTGCTCCACAGTACACAAAAAGTCGTTGAAAGCTGTGTACTGTTGACGTGAGGTACATTCAGTACAATATGTAGCTATGCCTTCAGGAATCCATTATCCCATGATCATATACCAGAGACCTTAGGAAGCTCAGGAATACCGTTTCTAATTGCCTCCAAAATACGTAAAAGACGGTTCTTTAGCTCCCTCTATCTCTATTTATTATTGCCGTCCCTCCTACCCTTCAATTCATAAGCATCAAATATGGCCATTTTGGGGGAAATAATTGCAGGCATTGAAATTGGCTAAAAGTAAGTACACGGGCAGGTGTTCCTTGAGAGAAGGCCCAATATATACAACACATTATCATTAACCCTATGACTGCACCACCTTCCCCAACTTGTTGGCCGATTTGTTGTTGTGTTGAGCCTCGTTGTCATGATTTCCAGGTATGAAAAATGGCGGCAATCAAAACTAGTTGTGCTTGTGCATTGCTCAATGATGCTCACTGAACTGCGAAGGATGCTTGAAATTTAGGTAAGACTATTAAATAACATTTTTATCGTTCGGCCTACAATAAAATGAATGGAAAAATTATTTTACTGCGGCTATGGTTTTTTATTTAACCCATTATGATGTACTCAGTTGAGGGGCCATTATCAGCGCTCTTGGTCATTCTTTTACCAGCCTTTGTATTGGTCAGTGGTTGGGAAGACTACGATGATATACATTACACAAATTCATGGGCGGTACACATTGAAGATGGAGACCCAGAAGTCGCGAACAGAATCGCCAAACGACATGGATTCGTTAATTTAGGACAGGTATTCACAAAAACCACAGTGACATGTTCATGTTGATAAATCGATATATTTTACCTTAAAAAAGATTCTCTTTTATTTTGTTTAGGATTTTCCGTAATTTGAAATGTTTAAGAACTTTTTGCATAATATGAATAACGAGTAACATTGAAAGCTTCGTCTGAAACTTTTCACAGGTATGATGGAAAATAACACCCTGTATTGCATTTAATTGGGTTCTTATATGTTACCAACGAAACTGTTCTGATATGTTACCAAAAAACAGATACAAAACCGGCTAACACAACATCTTTAATAGGTAACCAATCGTAATGAAGCTGCTCCTTGTTACCACATTCCATACAACTTTGTTTTTGAATGTAGCTCAATGCCAATTTATAGGAACTGTAATTTGAAATTATTTTTGAGCAAAGGGATTTATGAGCAAAGGGATTTATAAAAATTACAATGTTTTCACAAGGAGATAACCAGTGAAATGATATGACAACACCAAAAATAATTTGATATCAAATGTATACCTGTAGTTTTAGTGATATTAATTATTGTCACTGTTATTTGACAGATTTTAATAACAAAGTAGGTTTTACTATATTTTATTAAGATGAAGAGTGCACTATTCTATCAGAAGGGACGTTTATAAGATCAAAGAGATAATAAAGTTTTAGATTCTGAAAAATTCTTAAACACTAAATGTAGACCCAAATTTGAATAATGTTACATTCATCAATGAAATCCACTGTGAAATGAAAACAGACTCTCAACTAGCACATGGTTACGGTGTTAATTTGGAGTTTTTTGATAGCATGAAAGGAATGATAAGGAAAAGGGGACAAACATATTTTGATATGCTCCTCTTTTATGTAGCTTTGTTAAAATTTAGGATCTAGTTTGGAATGATTATGAAGATAAACTGATTTGATTGTTGTTAATGTTGAAATATTAATTTTTCTTGAAACAACTAATTTATTAGCAAGAGCAATCTAAGGAATCTAGATTTTTCTTGAAGATATACCACAAACTGTATTGTTCTTTGTATTGTTAACTTTGATTAATTGAAATTGGACATTACCGAGGTTTTTTCTGTAGGTTGGTAGCTTGCCTGGATACTATCACTTTGTCCACAAGGCAACCACAGGGAGGCGAAAAAGAAGGGAAGTTGATAAATCAGAACTTCTTCTCACTGAAAAAGAGGTATGAAGTTTTGTATACAGTTTAATGTCTGTCAAAACATGATTGTATTAAGTTATCAGCTTAACTGTGTGGTGGCAATATAAATGTCTCAAATTACAACTCATATCAGACGACTTATGTCACTTATGTCTTGCATTGCAACTGAATTAAAATGCTTAAGGCATTCATTTTGAATCAGACGTGATTTTTGGCTCCTTTTAATTTCACTTACACTTTCCCAGTAACCTGGCTTTAATTTGATAAAGAATAATGGGCAAATATTTGTTTCCTATATAAAGGCAGAAAGGTGGGGACCCTTTCAGCTGAGTCTAAAAAGGCATCTTATCTTAATATTTTTTAATGATTTTATCTAATTTAGAGACTCGCTTTAATTTTCTTTTTATTTTTTTAATTAAGGTTTTTAATATTTTGGTCTTTTGTAGTAGCAATTGGTTTATTTTATACATACTTATTTATATATGCAATTGATGCTTTAAAAAGGAACCTTTTAAAGGGTAACCTTCAAATGAAATAAAATAGAAAAATGAAAAAAACATCTGAACTGGGCCTAAGATATAATTAGTAAGTTCTATTTACTTTTTAAAATCAAAATGAATTGAAACATATTGAATTAGAGTTTTCAAGCCAAACCTCATTGAAAAAGAATAATAGTAAATATAAATATTTTACTTTAAACTTGTAGGTAAAATGGGTAGAACAACAACAGGTGCTTGAAAGAGACAAAAGATCAATTATTCCAGATTTTGTTGGTATCGAGCGCCCAAAAGCAGTGATAATACAAGATCCTTTATATAAGGATCAATGGTATTTGGTATGTAGCATAGTTTCTATATTCTTTTTAAACTCACATTCCAATTTTTGTCCCTGGTAGCAATTGGATTTTAAAAAAGTGAACTTTAGAAGCTAGTATAATTAAAAATATTAACTTAATATAGTTTAAAAAGGAACATTTTATATGAGTTTATGTTTGATAAATTTGTATGCAGATAATAAAAGTTGATTTGAATAAAAATTCAACAACTGTTTGAAAGTAAAACATTTTATATGTGATAAAGATTTAAAATTTTTTTCTTTACAGTTATAGCTAATTTTTGAAAGGTAAAATTTGTGCTTCATTTTTGAACATATAAAATACTTTAAGATATTATAAATTTTAATGTATTGATCAACTCATAAGCAAGATGATTCAAATTAATAAGAATTTTAACAACTGGTTGAAAGCACAAGTTTAACATTATTAATATATGTTGTGCTAATGATTTAAAAAGTTTTTCTTTTTGGTTAAAACTACATTTTGAAAGGTTTGCCCTCCCAGCATATATGTCATGAAATTTTCTCTTCAATATAATAATAGACTAGTAATTGACATGAGGAGGAGCAATCAGTTTGGTTTTGGTGAATGTTTTTTAAGTGCAAGTGATAAAATCTGATTATAAAAATGCATTATTTGGTTTAAAGCAACTATTATTTTTTTTCCTAGAACAATATAGGGCAATCATCTGGGCCACCAAATTTGGATATCAATGTGCTGCCTGTTTGGTCAAAGGGTGTCACTGGAAAAGGAGTAGTTGTTGCTATTCTTGATGATGGTATGTTTACCTGGTAGCATTACTATCTTTTTTCATGAATGATTAATTAATTGTGATGAATTAATTGATTAATTGATTAATATTTTGTTAGGCAAACACATGAAACAGAATCTAAGTCACTTAACTACTACCCTTAATCCTTACCTCCCTTTATCCTTTTCTACTCTCTTGCTCTTTATGTACAGAGAATGAATATAGATAGTTACTTGAATTCTTCAATAAAATTAATTATTTTCTTCCCTTAGATTTGTTGCTACTTTTGCACAGTTGACACAACTTAAGATAGAAGAAGGTCCTAAATTTAACAAATGGAATTTTTGACAAATAGTGCAAAGAGTCATTTGACATTTTTGGTATGGAGAACTTTGCTGAACTTCAGTAAATTTAGCAAACATAAAAGTCAAGCAAGTTGAACAAATGAATGAAAAACTATGAAAACAACATTTTGCTTTATGTCAGGGAAAGTGGAATTTAATGCTAAAGTTTTAATTTTTTCTTAGTTCTAGTGCATTTTTTCTCTTTTAGGTGTTGATTATACACATCCTGATTTGGTGAAAAATTTTGTGAGTAGAACATTTTTTCCTCTAAACAACTTTTTTTGCTATCTTTTGTAATATATTACCATACCAGTAAATATTTGTCATAGGGCATAAGGACAGTCAAACTTGTTTTTCTTATGAAGCTGCAAGACAAGCCAAAAAACTTTGTTTGCACATTTTACAAAAAGTGCCTTTATCTGCAGCTCTCACAATATGGAACATTGTTTTATGACAGAAAAGGTGGCCATAAGTTTTATTTTGACATAATGACTGAAACAGCCCTTTTTTAAATTTGCTTTGTTTTGACTTACACGTATTCTCTAACCATGTTTGTTATTAAATGTTTAAGATTCACAACGGAATACTTGAGATAAAAAGTTTTTAAATGCTTTATAAATTCCTCTTAAATTTTTGCGCTGCATCACTGTTATTAAAATCATTGCTAAAATTTTCTTATTTTGCCAATGTTTTCTTGATGAAGAAAAAATCCATGATACATTTTATTCATGATATATTTTCATTATGCCAAAACTCTTAATTCTAGGATTCAAAAGCAAGTTATGATTTCAATGATTATGACAATGACCCAATGCCAAGAATATCTGATCCTAACAATTGGTAAGTTTGACTACACAGTTCATTTTATTGAAATAGAACTCTCTTAAGATTCTGCAAAATGTCCATCATAATGTAATAGCAAGGTTCTTTCTTATTTTTGTCTAAAGGGCTTTGTGAACTGGCTTTTTGAGTATGAAAAATAAAATCTTTGTAAACTTTCTTTGCCTTATATACATTTGCATTTTAATGTTTTATGCATTTGAAATTGATTAGGTTTGATTTTAGTTTTCTGTATTTGTTTTCTTCTTACCACAATTTTAACACAATAAACATGATTTTCTATACCACCATAATTTTTTAAATGACAATTTTGCAAAAATATTTATATATATATTCTGAGGTCAACAATTTTTATCAAGTTTTTATCAAGAGACACTCACTCTTCATATTTCAGCCCCTAGTTCCTTTTTACCTGTTAAAATTCGAAATTTGAAATGTAATTGCGATTACCTTATGCAGTAATTTATCAAAACCTCCTGCTTATTGGATTTTAGACTTGGCAACGACCCCTTTTTCCGCTTATTTCAATCCCTGTTTATTACCTTCTTCAGTGCATATACTCAATTCCTGTTTTGTCAGAGATAAGGGGGTAAAATAAAAATCAATTTTTGGAACTCATGTGGCATACAGGGTCTTATAGAAGTGAATCCGGCTAGGCACATACTCAATTCCATAAACGTAGCTTGCGAGAAATTGATTCTATATCGAATCTGAATATGTTTTTTAAATCTTATTTGAAATATACCAAAGAAAACGTTTCTGTGCTTGTACGTGTGGTGTTTAATTAAAAAGTTAACATAATTTTTCTTTAAGTCATGGAACCAAATGCGCAGGGCAAGTGGCAGCAGAATCAGGCAATGGAATTTGCGGGGTTGGAGTTGCATTCAATGCAAGTATCGGAGGTAATTGAAGTTAAAGATTTGATTTGTTGCGTAATTCCGTTCAGAGTGTTTGCTTGATTTCCACTCAAACAAAAAGTTGCAGATAAAGCAGTTTATGGCATGAAATGGAGATAAAAAGCAGCGGAAAGCTTGTGAGGATCTTCGAGTAAAAGAGAAATATGATGTCGATATACCGGTATCTTTAGCTTATGGAAAATACTGTTTACCAGTCTGTCATAAAGTTCTCAATGCCGTGTAGTCACATTCTATTTTGTAATGAATTTCCAAATATTTCACATTGTTTCTGTTACATGCAGCCATTTTTACTCCGGACTGAATTTCCTAAAAGATTGTTCCTGAAAGATTTTCCACATACCCTACAAAACCTTTCCAACCTCATGGAAAATTTTTTCAGACCAAAAAATGCATAGAAGGATATACCATGACACTTAATTTCCTCTTTGAAATTGTGTCAGATAATGGTAGGGCTCGAAAATCTACTTTTTGAACTTTTGCGTATTTACAATCGAGACTATAAGATGGTTGAAACGAAATAAAAAGTATAGATAAAGTTGATCTAAATGAATCGGAATCCTCCCCTGTTTTAACAGTATTCATTTTCTTTTGCCTGGCTTTGATCCGGGCATCTATTTACACCAGCATACCATAGCTGAAAAAAAGATATGGAAAACCCCTCTAGGTGTTTATTTCAATCATTTTATGTCTCGCAGCTATAGAATGCCCTAGGCACCATGGAACGTTAAGAAAAATGGGAGGGGGGCTAAAACCAAATAAAAGAGGCTTGACTGGTGGTTCATTGGTTAATTTTCTGCAGTTTTGGCAAAAAGTTTGGGGACTAAAGCCCCCTTGCTCAGCGGTTCCTGGAATCGCCTTGTTATATTGCTTGCAGCTTACCACATTTCTTCCCTGCACTGCTTGTTAATCTTTATTTTGCTCGGCTATCGTCAGGTATTCGTATGTTGGATGGCAACACAACTGATACGATCGAGGGTAGTTCTCTCAGCTACCGCAACAATTACATCCACATCTACAGCTGCGCATGGGGCCCAAAGGATGATGGGAAGCGATTTGGACGGCCTGGAACTCTAGCAAGCAAAGCATTGCAACTAGGGACTAAAGAGGTGAGTTCTAAGGCTTTGTTTAGGCTTTAGGGACGGCTATGTTTATCGAGCAGTGTACTGGTCATTCCTCTTACAAGGTGTTGTCGTCGTAACCACACCTCGGGATTCCTATGCCTAGAATAACAGAGAGCTTGTCTCCCAACTCTAAGGGGAAGGCTGGTCATGTCAGTAACTCAAACCAAAGACCTGTCTATTTGTAATCTGTGACGCTTACCATTGAACGATTCTCTCCCTTTTAAACTGCAACAATCTCATGGAGCTTTCAAAATAGTTCTTGTAACCATGTGCGTCTCGTTGTATTTTCAAAATATTACTCGTTTTTCTTGCCGTTCTTTATTCTCTACCCAATCTGACAGGGTCTGCCTTTGTCTCCTGCAATTTTTGAGTTCACTGCGATTTTCAAATAAGCTGGTTTACTTGTCAAGGCCCTGTTACAGAATCAGACTTTTCCAACAGATATTGATATTGTTGAATACTCCTTTTTGAATGAATCATAATCTTCATTTTTGTGAATAGCAGAAGCACAAGTCGTAGTAGTTTGCATAGAAAGTAATCCTGCTTTTGGCAATATTAATATATGAGAAGTATCTGATGCAATGGTCTGAGTCTTATATTTACAATTGCCAGTCGCTTACAAACATTCTACAGGAGTATATTTCCAGGGTTTGCAATAATATAGCAATGTGGTAATTATTTTACAAAGATTAGAACAGCTTAAGTGATCCAATATTTTCTGTAAATGCATTATTGAAAAGTTTTTGCTCAAGTCTTTATAGCATTATTGAAAATGCATCATTGAAAACTCATGGCGTAGTAATTTTCCATGCAGTTTTGGAGAATTTGCTTGCTGGATCTTCCAGAAAATGTAACTCTATTAAAATGTTAAGGGACAGCCGAGCATCGGAAATTTGCCTGTTATACTTAAAGTCTACGTGTAACGATTAAAAACTCTTTCGTTTTAAACCCTGTTGCTAAGGATAAGTCTGTTTTTTTTCAGGGACGTGGAGGACTGGGCTCAATCTTTGTCTGGGCGACTGGAAATGGTGGCCTAACTGATGACGATTGCAATTGTGATGGCTACACAACCAGTATCTATACCGTTTCGATTGGAGCCATTAGTGATCATGGTTTATCGACGTACTACACAGAGAGTTGTGCATCAACCTTGGCTGTCACCTACAGTGGCGGGTCCCATAGGGAAAAAAGAGAGAACAAAATTGTAAGTTTAGGCTGTGCTTTGCAAGACAAATTTTTCCCGGATAATCTAAGAGGATGATGCCTGTCGAAAAAGAATGCAAAACTGGCTAACCATATACAATAGCAGTGTTTGCACAAAAAGTGGCAAAATTTTTAAACACCTTCCCTCTCTTTGTCATTTATTGAAAATGTTTTTTTCCTCGACTCAGCGGATTTTATTGTTAGGAGATATATATTGATGATTTATTTTGCTTGATACGTATCTTATATGTGGAATGGCTTTTTAGTTATTGTTAACCACTTAAGAAGTACCCTTCGTCAAAGGGGGTAGGGTGCGCTGTACCCCCCAAACTTTGTCCGTCTGCACATAAAGGATTTTTGCCGGTCAAAACAAGAATTTTTTCACAATGTAGTTAAATTGTAACCTTTTTGCAACAAATGTAACGTATTAACATTTCTGTAGGAGTTGAACTTTCAGAGTATGGCACCAAAGTATGAATTATGTATAACGTATGAAAGTATGAATTTGAAATAAAAACGCATAAAAACAGCATATAAGATTATTATATTATTACCACACCCTTAAAGAGTGAGTCACGCCTTCTTTGTTGGCAAAAATCATTTCTGTACCCCCTGTTTGGTTTCGCCCCTGCCCGTCGCTGGTTCATATTTTAATCAAGGGCAGTGATGGGTGCAATGAAAACTAGAATTTATTTTGACAAACACGTGTTATCAACATACAACGAATTTCAGAATGATTTCTTTGCTTTAACCCAAAATTTCCAACCTTCATTAGAATAATTATGCCTGGTTCCTTGTATTCGTTTCAAAAAAAGTATTTCAATGCAATCTTCTAAAAACCTCACATCCTCATAACGCAATCAAGTCCTGTTGCTGGCACTTAGTCGGCAGTGAGAATGTCACTCTATTGTTTTTATTCTAGTTTGTAGAATCTTATGTTTTAGACAGTTTGTTTACAGTTTGTTTCTTATGTAGATCACAACAACACTGAATCATAAATGCACTGATCAGTTCAAAGGAACGTCTTCAGCTGCACCTTTGGCTGCTGGAATGATCGCCTTAATGTTGGAAGCGAAGTAAGTCACTCAGACATGCCCCTGTCTTCCCTACTTTTTTACCATTAGTTTTCCCAGGCCTATGCAGTGTGTAAAGCAACTTGGTCTCATTTTGTTATATTTTGTTGAAAATTAAAGTTATGATTCTAAAGTTTATAATGTTTCTATGATCTTTTGTTTTTGTTCTTCCAGCTTTCCTCTTTGAAACTTCCGTTTCAAAACCATTCCCTTCATTTTCAAAGAATTTATGTCCTTTCTCTGAGGAAATACTATGTAATTCTCAAGAATATACTGTAACATATTTTGGAAAGGTTTTCAAAACAAGGGTAATCCATTCAACCAATCAAAGCGCATGTTCAAACATTTCTTGCAATATTATGGCTTTATTTTTGCATGTAGAATTCATATTTAGTAACATCATTGAGGCATATCTCTGACGCACTAGCAGGATCCGGATTATTCAGAATTCATACATACGTCAGTGAAGTATATCTCGGACGCAGTAGTAGAATCCGGATTATCTAGACTTCATGCTTACTAACATCATTGAGGCACATCCCTGACGCACTAGCAGGATCCGGATTATTCAGAATTCATACATACGTCAGTGAAGTATATCTCGGACGCAGTAGTAGAATCCGGATTATCTAGACTTCATGCTTACTAACATCATTGAAGCATATCTCTGACGCACTAGCAGGATCCGGATTATTCAGAATTCATACATACGTCAGTGAAGTATATCTCGGACGCAGTAGTAGAATCCGGATTATCTAGACTTCATGCTTACTAACATCATTGAGGCACATCCCTGACGCACTAGCAGGATCCGGATTATTCAGAATTCATACATACGTCAGTGAAGTATATCTCGGACGCAGTAGTAGAATCCGGATTATCTAGACTTCATGCTTACTAACATCATTGAGGCATATCTCTGACGCACTAGCAGAATCCGGGTCTTTTGTTGAGCCGAAAGGTGTAGCGTTTAATATCATTTTCTTGACGAATTCTAAAAAAGTTAAGATTGACTGTTTTCCCTGGTCCTTATTGCTTGGGCTACTTTTAACAAGATTTTGAGTTTCAAGTCCTCTGCCTCAAAACAATCCCCTATCAGATAACATGGAAGCATGAAAACGTTTTGCTACATAGTTACTAGGTTTTATAAATGAAGTATACGTGTTTATTTATCTTTGTCATTCTTCATAAAGGAAGATGGAGTCAAGTTTATAGTTGCTATTTGCCTTTGAAATTGTTCACAAGTTCAGCCCCAACATCCAAATGATAGTCGTTTATTATTTCTAGCATGTGGCTCAGATATTTTATTTTGTTCTCGCTGTAGTCTAAGAATGAAAACTTTTATTAAATTTTGTTACAGTTGGAATCTACCTAATTAATGTCATGAAACCATGAAACTGATTGAAAAGCATCGGCTCTTATTAGTACTGTCGTTTTTATTTAGTTCAAAACTGACATGGCGTGATGTTCAATCCATAATTGTTGAGACAGCGCTCATGACGAGTCCGTTAGATGAAGGCTGGCGAAGAAACGGAGCTGGAAAGTGGTTCAACCAAAAGTTTGGCTTTGGTAGAATGGATGCATCACAGCTTGTCACCAAAGCAAAGAACTGGGATAATATCCCAGAACAGAGAAAATGCTGGGGAAACAAAAATGACGGACCTTGGTACGCATATCAACCTATTTTAACCTTCGTTGACGTTCACTTCTCTTGTAAAAACGATTATAGAGATTTTTTCTTCATATAATTCCTTGTTTGAAAATCCTGATTTCTTTCATCGTTTGTTTTAAAGATCTATGCTTTTTTTATTATGGTCCACTTTTAGATCAGACAAAATATTAAGGGTATCTTCAGAACCACCCAACAGATCAAGTCTTTGAATAGTCTGGTTCCTTTGATATCCTATATTGGTACCCTTCCTGATCCCAGCAGTAGAAATTCCAGAATTTTCCTCGCTGCCAAAGTCTATGCAAACATAGCTATGTACTAACAATTTTCTGTCGCTATCTCCTAATTCTTCATAGTATAAACAAGATAGAAGTCTGTTGGAAGACAAAAAATTTTATCGTATTGCGTCTGCTAATAAGGTACCATTTCCATCTCTAGGAAAATCCCGGAGTCCGGGACGGTGCTTGTTGCCACAAACGCATCCGCGTGCTCTGACACGGCATTAGAAATCCGAAGCCTGGAACATGTTCAGTTGGTGATATCCCTGAAACATCGTTACCGAGGACATTTGAGCATCGAGCTGATCTCGCCATCAGGAACACGAAGTCAGATATTGAAGACTAGACGGAATGATCATTCCAATAAAGGGCTCAAGGTGAGATTGCAGCCATTATTTCAACAATGTCCTCTAACGTGTTAGGGTCGCTGAGATTGCAAGGAACAAGGAACCTTAGACCCAAATATTCCTGCCCTCAAACTTGGCTAATTGATATTTTTCAATTTGTTTATTTTTTCGGTTCAAAGTAAGAGTGTGTTAGTTTATAGGAAGAAAGCAAAGTGTCATACGGGATTCTAGTTACACAAATGCTGATTTAGGGACACATCAAGTCATAAGCCAATTTAACTCCATACATTACGACACTGTGTATTAAATATTTTAAAGGAAACCTCTGTATAGCGGTAGGATGCCAGAAAAAAAACAGAATTTGTTGACGTTTTAGAGAAGGGCTAATATCTGTTGCTACTGCCATACATATTAAACCTCAAGGGAGAGAATTTTGAGCAAAATTATTTATCCGTTTTTTGGAGGTGCCCCGGGACTGGAGGTATCCGCTAACTAAGATTTTCGTTAAAGCATAAATATGTTACCCCACCCATTTAGTTGAAAGTTTCGAAATGCTACTCTACTGGGGCTGCCAGGCATTTTCCCAGGACATAACCCCAAAGGAGGCATTAAGGTGGGTATGAAAAGCAAGAATAGCCTTTGTAGCGAAATGATCTTACTGACCACATCGGTAAAGGTCTTACACGTCTTGGTTGTATGCGTTCTTTTTAAAGAATCCGGTTGACCTCGAATTTTTAGTCAAGCTTTATGGATACTTGAGATAGAGGATTCTACGTAGATTAGGGGGGGGGGGGATGATAAGTCCCTCGTAGCTACTTGGATAAAGAGATGAAACTGACGCACTATAATGCAAAAAAAGTAGTTCTGTAAATGGAGTTACTGTGAGCAAATTCTTGGCTTTTTAGACAGCACATTTAAATGCAAAAAGGAGTGATTTTAGTTCATTTACGCACCTAAAACAAAAAATAAATCGAGACTTTTCTTCCAATATGATTATTTAAACGCCACTGGAAGTAACCCGATCATAAGTGCCTTACTGACGGTAATCTTTGGTTTAACGATGCGGCACTTTTTGCCAGCCTTTGATTGGTGTACTTGCGCTGAGTGTACAGCTGTTTGTCATGCATGCATATTAAAAATTTAAACCTTAATAGCTTTTACGGCAATTTTGAGTAATTCCAACAGCCGTGGGAAAACATTACCCGCCGACACAGTTAAGAAAGATTTCCAATCCATATTCCTGCATGTTCACTTAATTAGCCATTACCTATAAAATTATTCATGACATTCACATGTCGAAACAGCACATTCCATTATATGACTTTCAGCTTTCATTTTCTTCTTTTTCCTTTTTCTACTTTCTTTCAACTCAACGTGGTAGATTCATGTGTGATCTATCCATTCATTGCGACTTTCATTTTGAAATACATCTGACAAGCTTGATACCATATTCCCAATTACGTATCTAGACCTAATAGATTGAAACTTGCTTTTGCTTTTTCCAGGACTGGATTTTCATGAGTGTCCATTTCTGGGGAGAAGATCCACGTGGCACATGGACGCTGGCCGTCACTGACAACAACAACAATAACAAGAAACATTATAGGTCAAAAGTTAAACACGGTGACGTAGAAGATGCAACCGAAGCTCTTCAAGATGAACTAATAGGCAGGCCTCGTCCTCAAGAAGAGGATGTTGAAAGCTCTTCGCAGGAACACGAAGGTGTGTTAGAAAAATCAGAAAACAAGGAGACATCAAAGATTTCAGAAGACTTTGAAGGTTTGTCAATTTATATGATCAGTTAGTTGTTTATTTGTATAATCCTTTATCTAAGGTATTTCATTTCAAGATGGATTATGATCGTCCATAGCCTCTCTTTCTTATGCTTTGCTGTTAAGTTACATAATAAGTTTGCTGTTCACTTTTTCGTCTTATGACTCTAAAGCAGGGGTCGGCAACCTTTATAAAACAGGGGGCCAAATTTGATTTCTGAAATGCATACCAGGGCCGCAACTCAAAATACAGTATAATTTTAACATATACCAATTCTACCGAACTGCTAATCTAATCAATAAAATTGTATTTATCGGAAAATTATCTGTAACGTGAAAGCTGTACGTAAATAAAAACATAGATGTGAAGTACATGCTCACTGGTCAGTATATTACAAGAAGCTAATGTGCAAGTTGGTGCTGCATGTCCTTGTCGAACTCTCAATATTTGGCAGAATTTTTTATGTTGGCAGCCGCAAGTTGCCTTCAAGGTGCTGATCAATCATTCGAGATCGCAGTCGACTCTTCGCATACTTCATGTTTGAGAAGAGACTTTCGCAAAGGCAAGTACTGCCAAACATGCAACACATCATCCACCATGGAGATACTCCATATAAAACTGGATGATATGAGTTTCCTTGTATTTCTGTTTCAATTCACTGGTACCCTGCAGCTCGATCAACTTCATTTGAAGATGGAAAATGAACTAGGTTCCCTTGATTTAGCTGTGTTTTCCAAAAATGTAGCATGACCAGGAACATGACAACATGCTCATACATGACATTAACAAATTGAACATGTCCTTGAAGCTTCTTGTTCAGCTTGTTCGAGTGAATAGTAATGACAACGAGGAATGCTAATCTAGACAAGACTCTAGGATCACTGAATCCGGGTCACTGAATCCGGGCCGACACTCGTGCATTGGGCCAAATTATTTACAGGTTAACAGGGGCCTTCCGGGCCACACAAAAGTACCTTGCGGGCCGCGGGCCGCGGGTTGCCGACCCCTGCTCTAAAGCATTAGATTGTATCTCTTTTGATATTAATGGACCAAATAGAGAAAGAAATCACTATAGACAAGGAATTTCAATAAAGAGTGATATGAATCTCCATTATAGTATTGGTTGCAAAAGTTTTTCGTTTAGCTGCAAACGTCCAACACGAAAGGCCCAATCTTGATGAAAATTATCACATTAAGCTTTTAGTTCGGCTTTGTAGCCAGAGTGTTAATCTGGGTGCAAATATATCCCCAAAACAAAGCAAAGAGCCATCATCTGTGGACTGAAGATAGATTAGACACGACATAGCTTGCCATATAAATATTTCAACCAAGCATGTTGATTAGGTCGGGTAAAACGTGGATAAACCCTTTATTCTCGACACTTGTGGAAATTATTCTTTCTATTCGATTGATGACTTTTTCTTAACAAACAGAGAAATATCATGAATTGCTAATTTGGTATGAAGTCGTATTTCACTGCACTACTAGTTCAATTGGCCAAGGAATTAGCAAGCTCACGTACTTTGTCAAAAAGGATTTCCGATGGCCTAAAAGTACAAATATATGTTTTTTAGGATATGGCAGGAAATTTATAGGAAAATAAATCGATAATGTTTACATCATATAACAGAAATACCTTTAAAATGTTGGTTATACAATAACTCATACCTGGTATTCTCTTAAGGTGGCATTTTTGATAAGGAGTCATACAGAAGCTCTAGAAAACACAATAAAAAGAAGAAGAAACAGAAAAAGAAACAGAAGAAGAAAGGAAAGAAACACAAAAAGGAGAAGAATAAGAAACATCACAGACATTATCATTCACACAAGAAGAGCAAGCCGACAGGAAAGATAAGAGAATTCACTGCAGAACCAACATTTTTTGGAAAGACATTTGGTGCATTGACTAAAAATAGGCAAGGTAAGACACAAGTCACCTTCTTCAAATGTTTGCTGTATACTTTAGAGTAAATTGTTTTCGTTAGAGTTATCTACTCTGATTATTTTTATCATTGACACGATTATCTCTGCGTTATTGTCCGCATTATTTAGGTCAACTTAGGTCATCCTTTTCCTCTTTGGTTTGATTAAGATTCTTAGCAAAATTGTTATTTTACCCTTATTAGCTATAAGGTCTCTGGTATTCCTTGCCAAGCGTAACAGAATTGCATAAAAATCATTTCGAAAATACAGATAAAGGTTTTGACACTAGAAGGCATATCTCTGTCAAAAGTGGCCTAGCTACTGTTACATTACAAAACGAGATGAACAGATAATTGCACTATGATGACGTCATTACTTACAAATCTTTCGATCTTTACAGGCCAAAACCAGTATCACATTACACCGACGCAGCCGAGAAATGGACAAGGACCGAACTTAATGCCTCAGATGAGCCAAAATATGAATTCTAATCGAAACGATTCGAATTCAATTGGACAAAATGGTCAGGCAAACCAAGTACCTGGAAGTCTGGTCGAGTCAAATGCTCGTTACCAGTCCCTCAATGGTGCTCAAGAACCCGCGTCACAAAGCTCTATCATGGAAGTCAACCCAGACCAAACTCTAAAGCCAACAACCCGTCATAGGTTTGAAAGTACCACAACTGCAAGCTCCCAACATGACGTCGTTCAAGGTCTGGTAAAAAGTGTGTTATCAGAATTATTTACCGCGTTACGTGCGCAGAGAAATGAATCTCAGGGAAACATGTTAGGCCTAGTTGGAAGCGAGCTCCCAGCCAAGGTTTCTGAGCAAGAACCAGCGGAAAACGTCAGTTCTTCTTTGAGTAAAGCATGGAATAACGAAAAGGGCGTCAAAAAGATAAGTGCTTTGATTGCTATTTTAGACAAACTGAAAACTTCTCCATTAAAGAGAAATGCGTCGGATATTGACAGTAACAGCACGGGTGCAGATGAGATGGTCAGTGACGTGTTAAAGGTTTTGAGAGATATTCTGTCAGCCAGCAAGACAAACGACAAAGGAAAAGAGTTCAAAATGCGCGTGGCGAAACTGGTCAATGATAGCTCAATCGAGACACGAAACCTAACACAACGTCTTTTTGATGATCTGCAAGATGCACGAAAAGCTAATAGCACACCGATGGTGATCAATGACGCCATGTCGCTGATTTCAGCAATATTTGAGGATGATTCACAGAAGAAGAAAATAGCTAGTTTGCCTGAAACAATAGGGGCAGGTAAAATGTCAGTTTATCGCTCAACAATTGAAATACGTTGTGAAATACACCAATTGTCCTTAATTGAAGAGGCAATTATCATCACCAGATAATTTAATCTTTCTTGTGATTTATTCGAATTTACTAAAAATCAAAATTATTATTATTAGCTGGCGTAAACACTAAAGCAGAGATTGGTATTGATGGAAAAATATTTGTTGTCTAATTTCGAATTATCAGGGAAACGAATTATCGGGCTTTGAAAGTACTTCAAAACTGTAAGGGCAGCCGTCTTTGCGATGGGAAAAGTTTTCAAAAATGAGTTTTGATATAAAGCTTAAATGCATGTATCGTGGTACCTCTGACCATTAGCAAAATAGTTGGTATCAACAGGATTTAAGTTGAGTTTCGGGGGCGATTTTTAATTGAAGTGAACTTAAGGTAAATTTTGGTTTGTGAGGTGGTGTAATGATTTTATATTTAATGTATTTTTGGTACGGCAAAATTTGAAGATGGCGCGAAAGAGCGGAAAAATAGAAAAGTACTTTTTGTCCGATTCATTATCTGGCGTTGATAGTCTGAAGAGTGTCGGACGAAAAGTATTTCAGAATGCTATGTCTCCACTATTTCGATTGCTTCATTCTTAAGACATAGCGGTATGGCAAGCTGGATTTGATTATAAAAAGAGACAAGATTCTTTTGTTTTCATTTTATGTCATTATGCAGTTAGCCCGTTTTTTCTTGCAATTAAAAAGTTTGAAGAATTTATCGATCGTGCATTGTTTTTGTCAATAATTTTTGATAAAAGGGGCTCTAAGTTGAGTTGTATAAAAAACTGATCTTCAATAGCTGGGATAGTCGACACCAGTGGCCGTAAAACTTACTAAAAACGTTTGAAGAATATATTTTGAAAATCAATAACTAGTAGGTATTTGGAGATGAGGCGTAATTTTATAATTGTCTGAGTTTTGATTAAGTATGCGAGCATATCTAAATGTGCCCGGATATCAAGTCAAAACAAAGAGGAATCAGAACGCTAAGCAGAAGGTTTGCGATTAGATCAATACCCTGTTTTCAAAAAAACCTGAAATAATTAGTTTCATTGAATCCATATTCTTGTTCCTCATCTCTATAGAGCACAGTTCTGTATTATGCTATTATATTTTTTACAGTTCCTTTGGATCAAATTGGGATTATCGTGAGACGACCGGATGGAAGTTTAATAATACCGAACACGGTTGGTGCTGGCATCCAAATCCAGTCGAATCCGGAAACAATGCTGCGGACATGGAGCAATGGTAGCCAAATTGAAACAGTCCGAATCGAGCACACGAAGGTGAGCCCGGTAAATTTTGCTAACGTTGAATCGAAAGCCAAAGACGCAGACAAGAATCAGGATATCGATGCAAACTTGATAAGTAAAGCTAATGGCTCTGAAAAGCTTGTAAAGGAAAAAAGCAAGGAAAAGGATGGGGACAATGATATTGAAATTGAAGTGGAAAGGTCAGGTGATGGAAAGGAGAAGGAATTTGACAGCCGGAATAAGAATGATGTCAGGCCAGGAGGAAATGGCCAACAGAACTTAGAAAAATCAGATGTCGCTGACACTGGGTCTATTCTGAATATGAGAACCATAGGAAGTGGTGTTAGCAGTCAAAGAATGACTGGAGTGAAATACCGCAATTTTGGACCTATTGGCAGTACGTTTCTAGAAAACACAAAAGGAAAGGATGTTAGTAGCGTGCTTGGAATGGATAAAAAGGAAGAGCCAGTATTGGATGTTAAAAACGAGAGACATAGGCATGGTCAGGAAAAGCCAGATTCAGAAAGCAATAATGGAGATGATCAAATTGACGTCACTGTCTTTTTTGATAACAACAGTGACAACGATTTTACATCTGAGGTTAAAAAAATTGAAGCTGATGACTCTAGCAGAAAGCACGCGACCCCTTCTTCAAAACAGAGAGGTCAAGCAGCGATCGAACGGAGCCCTGGTGCAAAATATGGAAACATGAAGCATTTAGGAAATATGGGTCAAAATTTTCCATTTCAAATGGAAGAAGATGACGACGAAAGTGAAGCTGGGAGATTCAGGCAATCGAATGATGAAGGTAATGCCCGGTCAAAAGGTGAGATACCAGAGAATGAAGATGATGAAAATGAAGATGAAACAGAGTCATCAACAAACGGAGTAGAGGATATGCGCGACACGTTGCCATTCTTTACAGTACCTGTCGCGGATCAGCATGGATACAGTCTTCTGACGCAAGTGTTTGACCCCTTCCAAGATAGCAGTTATACACCAGACTTTGATATCGTGAATGCCGAAGTTCAAGCACCACTTGTTGAGGAAGATAATGATTATTTTGAGCCTCAGGCATATAAACATGAATGGAGAAGGTCCCTACCGGACTCCTTTCCTTCAACTGCTAAGAGTATGGTTCCCAATTCACACGCTGGCTTTCCACATGTTAAGGATTCAAATTTGAAACTCCTCCGAAGCAGAAGAGCCGTTTCCAATCAAAAGCCTGCTTCATCGGTAAGAGTAAAATCAAAGCCTGCAACAGATATTGCTTCTGCAAGGAAAAGGTTTGCCGAAATTGTACGTCGTGTTCATGAGAATTCTGCTGGGCCGAGCTTGTTAGGGCTTGACCGAGCACCTGTTTCGAAAAGGTTTGTTGATAAGCCAATGTTACAAACAGATTTTGCACAGAGACCGTTCCGAAATCGGCAGAGACGCGCTGTAAATAGCGCTCAGCAATCGATCTTGAAGCAACAACAGAAGAGCAGCCCCGATGTCCTCAGGGAGCCAAAAGTATATCATAAACGAAGGCGGCGATCGGTTGATACAGGTGGATCGGAGTCGCACTCACAGCCAAAGGACAGTGCTACAGCTGCTGCTGATTCATCAGATAGAGTTGTGTATCGTCAGAAACGCGATAAGATCATCGATGACTACGATGGAAATGGAGACGATGGCGATTACGAAAACGAGCCGCATGTGGTTAAACGTTCTGCCATTTTTGATGACTTAGACTCGCTTCAAGAACCAGAGAATGAGTATAAGGAGATGAGATCTAGAAGAGAGGCCGAAGATGACGAGTCAAACGACGAGGATCAGCCTCCTTCTCGTAAGCAAAAGGTCTCCTCCCTGGAAGATACTTTGCGCACAAAGCTTCTGTCAATGAAGACGCAGAGCAAGGCAGTTTTGAAACTTTTGAAGAGAGTGCACGAAGACATATCGAGCGGTAATACGGAAGACTTGTTCAAGCTTGAAGCAGATATTGCGAATGTTGAGAAGCGCGACAAGGAGAAGCAAGAATCTAGTTCTGACGACGAAGAAGACGAAAAGAAGCACCAAAAAGCTAAGAAAAATAAGAAGAAAGGAAAGCGTGTGGATCATAAAAAAACTAGCCAGGATAAACTGAAAGCCAAGTCTGTTACACCGAATGTTAGGCCTGGTTCACAAAGCAGGCCGGTTTCAATCAATTATAAAACAGAGGACAGCGTTGAAGCCCAAGAAAAACTAGCTTATAAACAAAACCCTGATGAATATCTAAAATACGGAGCCGGTAATACGGGGGCATTAGAATCATGGACACTTGTGTTTTACGGTACGTAAGTCGATGTCAATTGACTAGAAGCTTAACTATTAATTTTAGCGTTTCTCTTGTAATATATTGATAACCCCAGGCCTTGCAATGATTGACTTTCGAGTGTGTACGTCGCGGAAGGATTGCTCCAACGCAGAAGCTATATTGATTATGATACACTCAAATATCTTCAGCACATTTCGCCCTAAATAACCTAATTATTCATAAATGTGTATTTGTAAAATCTTATTTTGATTGGTTCATATATCTTATGATATTGCCAGATCCTACAAAGGTGATAATTCTTTTTCGCCCTAGCCAAAGCTTCCGGAAACTTTCTAATAGATTTCCCCAAATTTCCCTCGTTCATTTGAGTTTGCGCTTGCAATACCGTAAAAATCCTTCAAATACTTTTCATAGAATATATGAGATTTTTGTATTGTCAGACTGGTATCAGTACTGTACTTGAAGTAAAATTTTCTCATCCCTTTCAAGATGCAAGTTTCTTTTTATTATCTTATCGATTTTTGTGCTTATGCTGAACTGGAGACTTTAGAAGCATTTCTAGAGTCGTGAAAGTTACAATGTGCTTCAAAATTTGTTATAAGGTGGGTCTTGGTACAACCCAAGGGTTTTTCAAGGTACTATTGGTGTAATTTGAGCCTAGTCCTCGTCGGGATATATATTTTGTTGGGTTAGTAGACAGGCTGATGCGTTCTTAATAGTTTGCCCCTCCAAGAGTCTTATCTTGTTTTAGGTAGCTTATCGATACCTTATATGCATATTACAGCTTTCTCAAATCATGGCATTGAAGTTGCATTTCCCAATATAACACTATGTGTTGATTATCGAAGAGAGTACAATCGGCCCCTCCCCACAACCCTCATTCTGCAGTTTCCGAGGGCTCTTGCCTGGCCTTTTTGCATTTTATTACAAAAGAATCAAGGCTCGAATTACATAAGATTGTAACTAAGCTGATCTGGATTCATTTAAATCCGACCTGCGTTTCCTTACAGGATCATATCGCATTATGATTCAAGTTATTGTACTGTCCAAATGAAATCTTTGATTTCTTTTTTTAATTTACTCTTTGTTGATGATAATCTACTCAATAATGTATGAAATGCATTAATTTAGAAGACATTAGCAGTACAATAATTTACAACTAATAAAGGTAAGAATTTTATGAAATAGAATTAAGAAAATTTTTGGTGTTCTTCTTAGCCAACTGCTTTCAGACAATTTGTCCTCACTTTCAGGAAGTTTTCTTGCTGCTCTAAGTTCATTATAATCAAGAACCCAGTATTGTGACCTTCATTATTTCCGCTAAACATTCGTACGTCACAGGCTCCTACAATCCTTTTCGGCATTAAATAAGGTCGTGACGACGTTCTTGTGAAATAAGAACCGGTATCTTCTCCTTTGCAATCTTTGTTCTTGACCACTTCTCCTCGTCAAAATTTCTCGTTAAGCTTGGATGAGAGCTGGTGTAATTCGATTATTTTACATAAAGTTCGATAGGTGTGGTCAAAAAAACTTTTCAAAAGGCAACACCGAAATTTTAGAAATTTTGAAAATGTGTAGCGATAAAAATTCCTTGTCATTGTTTACAAGAACACTGTTTCTGGATCAGATTCATTCAACAGATGTTTATTTTTGTATTTTATCTAAAACTTTTGAATTTTCTATATTTCACTTTATCAAATCCTACAAATTTCTTCATAATTTAATTCTCAATAATTCTGCGGAAAATATCCTCCTTTTGAAAATATTTGTATCTGATGAATATATCTGGTAAATAACTTTGACTCTGTAACAGGGCGGTTTGCAAAACTGGACAAAATTTTTATGAAAAAAATGATAGTTTTAGGGTAAATAGAATTCTAAACTTCTGAAAATGTGAATGATTTTTAGCTAGACTTTCTTAAATCCAGATGTTTGAATTGTAACATGTACTGTGCAAACGCCGCATAACTTGGAAGTTTTAAAAATTGCAAAGAACTAGCCGTAGGATTTCCTCTTTCTCAAATTTTTATAAATGTCTGACCGTCGCAAAAGTTATTTTGCAAGTAGATCTAGGTTGGCTATTCTATTTCATGATACTAAGGAAAATATTATTGTGTCTTTTCTTTGTCATATGGTTACTATTTTAGTTTAAAAAGATATTGTTGTTGGGAACGTGCACTCAACAGTTACGTAATTGCTGCGTATGTAAGTAAACTAATGACCTTCGTAATTAGTAGCTAGTGTAGGACACGTGTTAGAGTAGATTGCTTGCTGCTCTATTGTCAGCTAATTAGAAGCTTCTAGAAAGTTCTAATGATCGCTGAGGTAGAACTTTTTAGCACGCGTCACGTAGAGTTTAGTTAGTTGCATGTTTCGCAGTGAACAAGTCGATAGAATCTCAAAACAACAGGTTATGGGCCCAGAACCAAACCACTGCACATGGCTGGAATTGGAGATAAATTCGAAATCGAAAAATTAGATAGGTCGAACTGGCCTACATGGAAGTTTCAAATGAAACATTTGTTGATGGCGAAAGATGTGTGGGATCACGTAGATGGAACGATTTCATTACCTGACGATAATACAGCATCTAGAGCTACATACGAAAAGGCCAAGCAAAAGGCAATGGCGACGTTGGTAATGGGAATTCAGTCGAATCTTATCTACTTGGTGACATCATGCGAAACACCGAAGGACCTGTGGGATACTCTCAAAGCCTATTTCGAGAGGGATACGATAGCCAACAAGCTGTTCCTCAAGAGACAATATTTTACTTCAAAAATGCTTGAAGGGCAATCGGTCCAAGATCATTTGAAACGTATGAAGGAAATTGCTGATAAACTCCATGCACTCGGGTCTACAGTAGCTGAAGAAGAGCAAGTCGTGGCATTGCTCATAAGCCTTCCACCAAGCTATACAACACTCGTTACAGCTCTGGAAGCTAAAGGAGATGAACTATCACTGGCCTTCGTCCAGCAAGCCCTTATCAATGAAGAGCAGAAAAAACAGGCCTTCAAAGCAACCGCAACGACTAAAATTAATCGAGACTCAGCATTACATTTGGAAAAGGGCATCAGCAGGCCTTTCAAAAGCAAATGTTACAACTGTGGCAAGGAGGGTCATAAAAGCTTTGAATGTCACAAAAGGAAGCAAGTGAGGCCCAGCAATTCATTTAAAAATGAAACACATAATGCAGAGACTGCAGGAAAGGAGGAAGATGATGACTCAGACTCTCAACTCTTTCTAGCTGAAAATGAACAAACAGAAAATGAGACAAACAGACAATGGATTCTGGATTCGGGTGCCTCGCAGCATATGACCTCAAACAAACTGCTTTTGATTAACTACAGAGAGTTCAACCAGCCTGAATTAGTCAAACTGGGTGACGGACATACAGTGGAAGCCCGTGGATCAGGACGAGCTCAAATAACCATGGAAACAAGCCACAACAAGCAGCTGACAATTGAAATGGATAATGTACTCTATGTTCCGAAACTAGCTTGCAACCTGTTCAGTGTGCGAGCTGTGACACAGAAGGGACTCATTGTTCAGTTTGGACATACTTGTTGCTGGATAAAAGACTCGGACGGTAAGGCTGTAGGCAAAGGAAGACTCGTTAAGCGAATGTACGTTCTGAGCTGCGAAACAGATATAACAGCAGCTTATCACCAATCTGAAAGGATGGAAAATAGCAACCCTAGCACGATGGATATTTGGCATCAACGGCTAGGACATATAAATAGAAAACAGCTATTGGAATCAGTCAAGAAGAAGCTCATCAAAGGAGTTGCCATCCAAGGAAATGACGAACTGAACTTTTGCACAGGGTGTGCGGAAAGTAAGATGAGCAGAAAACCTTTCAAGTCAACAGAGGGGATCAAGACTTCTAGAAAATTACAGATAGTTCACAGCGACGTATGTGGACCAATGTCAATACAGAGCTTTTCGGGAAAGCGTTATTTTGTCACATTCATTGATGACTACTCGAGATGTGTCAAAGTCTACTTCATTAGAAAGAAGTCTGAGGTACTAAAGAGGTTTAAAGAATTTGAAGCCTCTGCAACCAATGAAGCTGCATGTAAAATTGGAACCTTGCGTACAGATAATGGCGGAGAGTATGTATCAAATGACTTTGAAAATCTTCTGAAAAGGAAAGGTATCAAACACGAAACTTCTGTTCCTCACTCTCCACAACAGAATGGAGTGGCTGAGCGCATGAACCGGACTCTCGTTGAATCCGCAAAAGCGATGATGAACCATGCCGGACTCAGCAAGACCTTCTGGGCAGAAGCAGTCAACACTGCAGCCTACATAAGGAATCGTGTTATAACCAGCGCATCAGGTCAAACACCGTATGAAAAATGGTATGGAAAACCCCCTGATGTCTCCCACTTTCGTGTGTTCGGCTGCATAGCTTATGCTCATATTCCAGAGGCTGAGCGAAGAAAGTTGGACAAGAAAGCCAACAGACTTCGATTCTTGGGGTACAGTGCAAATCAGAAAGGATACCGACTTTTTGATATGCAGAGCAAGAGAATAGTGATTAGAAGAGACGTTAACTTCAATGAAAATGATTTTGGATCTCAAAAACAGTATTTGAAGATGGGTCCAGAACCAGCAAAGGAAGATAAACGACAAACAGAGCCTACGGAAAGGAACACGGATGCAGAAGAAAGCCATCCTCGACGATCTCAAAGATCCACAAAAGGGGTACCACCACCTCGATTTGGCTTGGATGAGTATGCTGACGTCACAGAAGCAAGACATGTTGTATTCTCAGCAATCATCGAAGAACCAGCTACCATCCAAGAAGCCTTCAATAGTGAATATTCCGCACAGTGGAAAGAAGCAACGGATTCAGAGTATCAGTCACTCATAGAGAACCAAACGTGGGAGTTAGTGAAGCCACCAAAAGACCGAAAGGCTATCGGGTGCAAGTGGGTCTTCAAAGTAAAGTATGACGAAAATGGACAAGTGGAACGTTTCAAAAGTCGCTTAGTAGCAAAAGGGTATTCTCAGAAGTACGGCGTCGATTTTGATGAAACTTTTTCTCCTGTCGTGCGGTTCAGTTCTATTCGAGCCTTACTGGCTTTTGCAGTTCAAAACCGAATGCTGATTCATCAAATGGATGTAACTACGGCATTTCTGAACGGAGATTTAACGGAAGAAATCTATATGGAGCAACCAGAGGGTTACGTGATACGTGGAAAAGAGAATCTCGTTTACAGGCTCAAAAAATCCCTCTATGGACTCAAGCAATCACCACGTTGCTGGAATCGAAAATTTAGAAACGCGCTCGAATCACTAAATTTCAGACAAGG